TGGTACCAGTGATCAGACTTCCAACCAACCTCAAGCTTGCCAGGCAGGTGCTTGTTTGGTTGAGCTAAATCCCCAGCCTTAAGTCTAGAAGTCTTTTGGTAGACTTCTTGGAGTTTTGTAGGTAGAATATCATGTCATCCCCAAATAATGATAATTTAACTTCTTCCTTCCTTAGCCTTAATCTTTTTCCTTCTCTTGTCTAATTGTTCTGGCTGTTTCCAGAACTATATTGAATAAGAATTGCAATGGTGAACATCCTTGTCTTGTTCCTGATTTTTAGAGTGAAAGCTTTCATTTTCAGTGGTATGATGTTGGCTGTTGGTTTGTCATAGATGGCTTTTATCAGATTGAGATAAAGACCATCAATTCCATTTTCTGTAGAGTTTTTGTCATGAATGGTTGTTGGACTTTGTCAGATGCTTTTTCTGTATCTATTGAGAGGTATGGTTTTTGTCCTTGGCTATGATATATTACATTTATTGATTTGCATATGTTGAACTACTCCTGCATCCATGGAATGATTTCTGCTTGGTCATGGTGTATAATCTTGATGCATTCTGTTTGCCAATATCTTTTTTTTTTTTTTTTTGGTTCCAAGACTTGAAATCATTACCTCACACTTGCCAGGCAGGCACTGTGTCTATTTGCTAATATCTTATGAGTATTTTTGCATCTGTGTTCATTAGGAAGATTGGTCTGTATTGTTCTCTCTTTTTTAAATTTTTATTTATTTATTTATTTTATTATTTTTTGTAGTTCTCTTTTTTGGTTGGATCCCTCTCTGCTTTTGGTATCAGGGTAATGCTTGCTTCCAGAAATGAATTTGGGAGTATTGCTTCCCTTTCAGTTTCATTAAAGAGTTTGAGAATTAGCAACATTAAGTCTTCTCTAAATTTCTTGTAGAATTCAGCAATGAATCCCTTAGGGCCTGGACTTTTATTTGTTGGCAGGTTTTTACTTATATCTTCAATTTTATTAACTGATTTCAGGTTATTTAGAATTAGTGTATGTTCTTGATTCAGCTTCTGCTAAGTTGAATATGTCTCTTGACACCTGGTGCTTCTTCTGCCTTTGTGACTGCAAACACAGGTGGTTGTGTCTTTATCTCAGTCACAAGTAGTTTGTGGAACTGCAGAACTGTCCCTACTCATCTCCATTATTACAGGAGCTAACTTTGGTCTCAGTTTATTTAATGGATTAACCTGTGGAGTAGCTTTAAATGTATTGGTACATTGGGAGGAGGATCCATCCCTTCGACACTAAGCCGGCTTTTCTCTGTAAGCTCATCTTATTCCTCTTCTGTAGAAACCAAGAACAGAGCAAAGGTATCAAAAAAGTTGAATGTGGGCTCACAGGAGCTGTATGCTGTTTAATCAAACCATTTTTGGGCTAAATTTGAAATAGCAGGGAAAGGGCATTCCTTGAGCATTAATTCAGAAAGATGTGTTTTTTCTTTTATTGGAAAAGAGGAGTTTATTTGCTGTAAAGTTGTCATGGGATAACACAAGCCCGCGGTATCCTGCAGCTCTGTGGAGGAGAGCAGCTCCTAGCAGTTCTGCTGGAAACACTGTCCAAGTCATGCACTGAGCTCAACGCCATAGCGCCTCCCTTGCCTCTGCACTGCACTTCAAATTCTACCAAACTTTTATCGGTATCCAAAGAACTCTGGGTCTTTGTGAAACAGAAATGCTTTCTCTGCTCACCCCACTGGGGCATGTCATGAGTAGGAATCTCATCTCTTCATGTGATTCTTGTTCCGGAGGTGACACATAAATTATTATACTTCTCAATGCTTATTTTGACAGTTTGAGGGATTTTAATTTCTCCTTGAAGAATCCTTTAAAGGACTTAATCCTTGCTGTAAGGCAACGTTTTCTCTTAAGGGACTGCTTTGCTGCTAAGGAGTGAAGCTCCCACACTGATGTTTTTCTCTTTGATAAACAAACATCTGTTGGGAGTTCAGGTGCACATTTTTTCTATGGTGTCCTCTTTCATGACCACAAAAATTCTGTCACCTGTATTTGAAAGCATTCCACATTTTCCTCCACATTATTCATTGATAATAAGATCTTCCTCCAACCAGAAAAAGCAATTCTTCTGAAACACTTTGGAGCCTGCTACACACCAGGAAAGCTATGCATGCACAGTACTGACTCAGCCCCAGGTCAGGTCCTTTTCCTACCTTCCCATCCTGCTGGCCAGCGCTGCCTGCAGGCACCATCCAAGAAAAGGTGGCTGCTTTGATGTTGAGAAGCCTGAAGACTGCTGACCAACCCAGCAACAGAGGGGACACTATTACAGCCACAACGCACCAGGTGGCCTCATCTAGGCACCAGTGGCCAGGCCGGACAGCCCAGCCCACGTGGCACAGCTTTCCAGAAGGCAAGCGTGCCCACCCTCCCCTAGACCCTGCCTCTCCAACAGCCCACCCAGCCCAGCCTCTTTCACTAAAGCACGAGCACAGCCGGGGACCCCAGCATGGAATAGCTTGAACTAGGCTATCTCATGGAACAATAGTTTTAACATATGTGCTTTCCCTTGCCCACAATTTGGTAACTAGTAAGAATAAGCAAAGGGTTTTGTTTTTGCTTTTGTGGCACTGAAGATTGAACCTGGGGCCTTCTTACTAAGCTACATTCAAGTCCTTTTTAAATTTTGAGACAGGGCCCTGTTAAATTGCCCAGGCTGGGCTCAGTTTGAACTTGTAATCCTGTCTGCTTTAGCCTCTTACTAGAGTGCTGAGATTACAAGTATATGTCACTACTCACAGCTGCAAAGGTTTTGTTTTGTTTTGTTTTGTTTTGTTGAGTCAAGGTCTCATTATGTAATTTATGCTGGTTTTGAACTCACTATGTAGCCCAGGCTGGCCTCAAACTCCTGATGATCCTCCTACTTATTTCCTGAGTGCTGTGATTATAGATGTGCACCACCCTGCCTGGCTGGGCTGGTCGTTTTAAAAGCAGAGTTTTGGGGCCCGGGATTTAGCTCAGTAGTGTAAGCTCTTGCCTGGCAAGTGTGAGGTCATGAGTTCGATCCCTGGTACCAAAACATAAAATAAAATAAAAGCAGCCTTTTGTAAAGGTCTCTTCAGTCTTCCTGCAGGAGGGAGACGTGGTACTAAATTCCAAAATGCCCTACAGATACTCACTCTTGGCATTTAGTGTTTTTGTAGTTTATACATTACCACTGGTTCTAAAAATTTTTCGCAGTCAAACAATAGTGCCACCGTTGGCAGAAAAGTGCCTCTGGCCTCTCGTCAAAAGGAAGAAAGGCATAGGGTTGCTCCAGGATTGCTTTACTTGCACATGTATGTGTGTGTGTGTGTAATCTTTTAGTTTGCAAAATACGTTCACATCTATTGTAATTCATTTGTTACAAGACAACTTTGAGAGATGTGTGTTGACTGTTAGTGCTGTTTTATAAATGAGGAAACTAAGGCTTGACAGTCTCATTTTATCTTTAGAATAATCTAGTGCAAGCCAGGTATGGTGGCTCATGCCTGTAATCCCAGCACTCGGGAGGCTGAGGTGGGAGGATCGTTGCAAGTTCAAGACCAGCCTGGGCTACAAAGTGAGCTCAAGACCAGCCTGAACTGCATAGCGAGACCCCGTCTCAAAAAAGACCAAAAAAAAGAACAATCTAGTGCAGCCAGGTGTGGTAGCATATACCTTTAATCTCAGCATTTAGGTGACTGAGACAGGAGGGTTGCCATGAGTTCAAGAACATCCTAAACTGCTAATGAGACTGTCTGCAAAAAAACCATAACAACCTAGTGTGGAAAACTTCTTCAAGTATAAGGCCTTGGTATTACTTAGTAGTACAGTATAATGCTTGCTTTGGTAGCACATTACTTTGAAAAAAAGTAGTAAAGTATAACTGATTGTCTTATTTTAAAGTTGGTGTTAGCCAAGTGTGGTGGCTCATGCCTGTAATCCCAGTACTTGGGAGGCTGAGGGAGTAGGATTGTCCTGAGTTCAAAGCCAGCCTGGACTACACAGCAAGACCCTGTCAATAAATAAATAGGTGTTGGGTTGGGGGTTTAACTCAGTGGCATAAGCACCTGCCTGGCAAGTGTGATGTCATGAGTTCGATCCCTAGTACCAATAAATAAATAGGTGTTGAATTTTTATTGCAACTAAGCATTCTTCTCATAACTATTTTTTTTATGGGGAGATGTCTAACCATGGAAAATGTAAGCTATACCATTTATTTCTGTACTGATGGATACCTTTTCTTCAGTCTCAGCTGCATCTTTCTAGATCATTTTTCTGAGGTATAGTGGTTTTTTGTTTTTTTCGAACTCATGACCTTGTGCTTACCAGGCAAGCACTTGAGCCACTGAGTTAAATCCCTGGCCCTATAGTTTTAAAATTTCTTTTAGTACAGGTATATGGGTAATAAACTGTTTGCTTGTTTTTTTAATCTGAAAATGTCTTTATTTAACCCTCTGTTAAGTCGTTAGAGGGTTAAGTCGTTAATCACACTCATACACATGTACATGCGCACCTCTCTAAATCTTTCTCTTGGCACTCTTTAGAAAATTTTCCAGTATTTTACTTTAAGTTGTTATTGTTAAGTAGTCTCCTGTCAGTTCCTTCTTTTTAATTTCCTGTTTTCCCTGTGCTTTCCCAGAAGTGCTAGAAGTGATGTTTTGAGAGGCCACCCTCTGCCTACTAGGCTGGAGCACTTGGGGTGCTGTCTGTACACTATGTGCTGGACAGATCCTACCAGCAGCATTAAGGAATCGCTCAGTCTCCTCATGTATTTTCCTTGGGGCATCAGAAACAGTTAGATCAGGGTGTGCTAGATATTTTGACACCTGACCTGCCCTAGAGCCCAGCTGCTGTCTTCGGACTGGTATTGCCTCCTAAGCTGTTTTGTGTCCTCTGCGGCCTACTTACATCAAATTGTCACACGAAGAGAGATTGAGTCACTGTAACTTTTATTACAAAGGAGAGATGAGTAAGTAATATAGATTCTTTTTTTTTTTTTCTTTGCAGAATTCATCCTGTCTTGTTCTTGCTGCCCGGCATGCCAGTGCTTCTTCCACGGTAAGGTTTTTTAAAAAGGCAGAATTACTGGGGTAACCTGTCCCTGGGACAGAGTGTGTAGCAACCACTGGCTCCTATTATCCAGAATGTCCTGGAAGTATCCATTACTGTTGTTATTGTTACAACAATAATTATTTTAAAATTAAAAATAAAAGAGCTGGGAACAGAAGTGGTATCCATCATATAATCCCAAGACACTGGGAGGCTGAGGTCGGATTCCAAGTTTGAGCCCAGCGTGAGCAATTTAGCAACTTAATGAAACCCTGTTTTAAAAGAAAAAAAAGTATTTAAAAGAACCAGAGATGTAGTTCCTGAGTTCAATGTCTAATACTGAAAAAAAATGTGAGGGTAGGCTAGGAATGTCGCTTCCTGATGAAGTGTTTGCCTAGCATTTGTGTAATGATAGTGGAGACTGGCTTCAGTCTGCAGTACCATCAAAGAAAGACAGAAGGAATGAAGGAAAGAATTAATTCAGTGATATAGTGAAATGGGAATAACAAATACTTTTTGCCTCTAAATAAGTTTTTAAACCATAAATTATACAAGCCATAGAAATATTTTTCTTTTTTCAGTGTTGAGATTGAATGCATGGCCTTGCCATATGAGACAAATGCTTTACCATTCAGCCACACCCCAGCCATTTACAGATTATAAACTTTACCACATTAATCATTTTTAAATGTAGTTCATTTAAGTACATTCATGTTTATGCAGCCATCACTATCGTTCACAAAACTTTTTCATCTCTAAATTGAAACTACTCACTAACTACTTAACAGTTTACCTGGGCACTGCTCAGGTAGGTATCATTTCAACCAGCTGATTCTTTAAGAGTCAGAAGAATTGGGGGCTGGGGATTTAGCTCATTGGCATAAGCGCCTGCCTTGCAAGCAAGCAGTCGTGAGTTCGATCCCTGGTACCGATAAAAACGAAAAAGACAAAAAGGGGCTGGGGATTTAGCTCGGCGGCATAAGCACCTGCCTTGAAAGCAGGCAGTTGTGAGTTCGATCCCTGGTACCGATAAAAATGAAAAAAAGCCAAAAAAAAAAAAAAAAATTAAAAAAAGAGTCAGAAGAATTTATTGAGAGAAAAAAAGTTTCTAAGAGGACCCAGAAAAATGGTTTGCCCCAATCAGTTGATTATTGTATTGAATAAATTTGATAAAGTTATTTTTATATTTCCTGTTATATTATCTTACAAAAATTAACAAAAAGTATGCAGTTTTTCGTGTCCTGTATTTAATTAATCAGAATGGTAAGTGGTAAAACCATAACTTCCCATACTCTCTATCCCCTCCCCCTTTTTTTAAAGACAAGGTCTCCATAGGTAACTTAGTGTCCTCCAGCATCAGCTTCCCAAGTGGCTGGGTTATTGGCATGGCTCCTTTTGGTCTGATTCTTTTATCATGGATACAGGCAGGGTAGTTGACTAAACTTCCCTGACAGAAAAAGCCAAATGATAGTCTTCTCTTGGTATTGCCTACTTTTTGATCATTACTTAGACCTTCTCTCTCTAGAACTTGAAAGACATATTGGCTAACTTGATACCTAAGGAGCAGGCCAGAATTAAAGCCTTCAGACAGCAACATGGCAAGACTGTGGTGGGCCAAATCACTGTGGACATGGTAAGAGCTGTGGGGTCTTGGCTGGGAAAAGCAGGCCTTACTGTATGCGTCAACAAAAGTGCCATTCTTTCCACTGACTGTTCAAAAGCATTTTGTGCCGTACAAGGAAATATTGGGGCTTACTGTGTTCATTAGATATTAGATTGTTTCTTTTTACAAATTTAATATTTGAATCAATCCTAATTTACCTATAGGAAGGATAATGTAGTTTCTAGGCCTGTTGCTGACCCCTCAGCCTTTGGAGGTAGGACTGTGTGTCTGATTTAATACTTTATCAACCATCAACTGTCTGGTTCACCCATAACCGTAGTAGGTCCTCTGGAACAGCTTCAGAATGGCATATTCCCCTCAACATCAAGAGTGTGAGCAACTCTTGATGTAATTCTATTCAGCCATTGGTTTCCTCTCTATTCCTGTAATAGACCTCATTCTGTTTATTTTAGCTGGTGTCTTGGATACTTTTCTCTCATTGCTAAGTCAAAATACCTGATGCTCAAAATTAGGAAAGGGAAACTTACAGTTTTTGGAGGTTTCAGTCCGTACTCAGCTGGCTTCAAGGCAGGGTAGCATGGCTAAGAGGTAACCATTCATGGTGGCCTCAAGTGACCAAAAGTGAAGTGGGTAGAAAAAGGAAAAGCATTCTTCCTTTCCTCCCTTACATTTTGTACTGGTTATCTGCCCCAGACAGATGCAGCACGCAGGCCACCTATTCCAGTGCTAGACAGTGAACCAATCATCAACACTAGTCCTAGCCACCCTAGAAAGGCCCACTTCCCATGACTCAGCATGAGGCTTGGGCAGGACACCCAAACATAAACCATAACAGTTGGAAATCAGGAGAGATTAAGAATGAGCAGGAGAAAAAATATAATAAGAAAAGTAAACAAACAGAAGCAATATCAAAGAAAGTAATAATTTTTCAGCTTAAATTTTTCATTAAGAGTATTAGTAGCTTTTGCAAAGTTCAATTGTTTAGTAAGTTAATTCTCTAGAAGTTTTCCTCCCCTAAGTGAAGAGAATTAGGTTTTGTGTCCAGGTTCCACATAACTGCTAAGGTCTAGTCCAAATAATTCTGACTACTGGTCACACCCTCTTTTCTTTTAGATGTATGGTGGCATGAGAGGCATGAAGGGACTGGTATATGAAACGTCAGTTCTTGATCCTGATGAGGTAAGACATCATTATGTCAGTCACTAATGCCATTGAGTTTACTGGTCATACAAACCAGTTTGCAAACCAAACATGCAAAACATGGTTTAGGCCAGTGGGAACAGCACAAATTACCTACTTTAGTATTTTGGAAGGTAGGACATAAGCTGTATGGAATAACTAGGGGTGGGAGAGTTACCTGTTTAATATACCGAAGTACAAAATGAGGATACTACACAGAGATGAAGCTAGGTGCAGTGGCACACACTTATAACCTAGATACCTAGGAACCTGAGGCAAGAGATTGCTGTGAATTTGAGGCCAACCTGAACTACTTGGGGAAATCCTGTCTCCCCTGGATTCTGTCCCCAGTGATCTACACCCAAATAGTACATGTAAATATGTAAGGATTTAAGTTTTGAAAATCCCATTCTCAATGGTTGAAATATTTGATAAGAGTAGGATTTAGAAGCTAATACACTTGAGTATAATTCTTACTCTCCTCCCTCCAGGGTATCCGCTTCCGAGGCCACAGTATCCCTGAATGCCAGAAACTGCTGCCCAAGGCTAAGGGTGGGGAAGAGCCCCTGCCTGAAGGCTTATTTTGGCTGCTGGTAACTGGACAGATCCCAACAGAAGAACAGGTAAAGCAGAAGGATATTAGCCCTTCTCAGCCCCCTTCTTCTTAGCCTTTCTCTAATCTTAGACACATAATCCGATCTGGCTGTAAGCAGTTGCTTACAGAGATGTGCATTGAAAGAAAGAAGTATGAATGGATCATGTTGAATGCTCTTGGGTTTTTATTCAAATGACATTATTCTTTCCTTTTCTTTGCTAGTGTCCTAAGCAGTATCTCCTTTTCCACAGGTATCTTGGCTTTCAGCGGAGTGGGCAAAGAGAGCAGCTCTACCTTCTCATGTGGTCACCATGCTGGACAACTTTCCTAACAATCTACACCCCATGTCTCAGCTAAGTGCAGCTGTTACAGCCCTCAATAGTGAAAGTACCTTTGCCCGGGCATATGCAGAGGGTGTCAACCGAACCAAGTACTGGGAGGTAGGAAATTTGGGTTGACAGATTGATGTGTGATGGGGATTCACAGAACTCAACTACAAAAGAATAGGGATTGTAGAATCTTCAAGAAGATTACTTTGAGTTATGACACAAACATATTTAACATGTGCAAGAGAAAGGGGAATAGCCGAGTGACAGAAACTTTACTTATCAAACTTGAGGCCTCAGAGTCAATCTACAGCACCAAAAATAGAAAAGAAGACATTTTCACTGTTCGCTTACTTTTGTGTCTGTTGAGATTAGAAAGGTTAAAAAGATAAAAAAGCCCTTGGGCTGGGGATACAGCTCAGCAGCACAGTACCTGCCTGGCAAGCACGAGGTACTGAGTTTGACATCTGGTATCCAAAAAAAAGCAAAATACCATGGTTTCTATCCTGGAGGTTATTGATTTGGCTATTGCTATACATGTAAGAAACTACAATTCTATAATCTTGCTATAATAGAAGTATTTGCAAAGGATTGTTGGAATATTGAAAAGGATGTACTTTAACTAAACAAAGCAGTCTAACCCTAGCTTGACAGGGCTACTTCCTTCCCCATCCTCTTTAAAATAAAGAGAACCTTGAGAAATCTTCCAAGTCGAGGAGATACAGCTAAGGCAATTCTGGAGCTAAAAGGACTAATACCCTGAGCCACCCAAAGTTTCTATTGAGAATGGAAAGGAGGTGGGGCTGGGGATTTAGCTCAGCGGCATAAGCGCCTGCCTTACAAGTAGGCAGTCGTGAGTTCGATCCCTGGTACCGATAAAAACGAAAAAGACCAAAAAAAAAAAAGAGAGAGAGAGAATGGAAAGGAGGTTAGTATCCCAGGAATAGGGTCCTCAGTGAGCTTTATTTTCTGAAAATGAGATGTACCCTTAATAGTTTGAACTCTGTCTGAGCACTATAGCACACAGGACTGAAGCAGGAAGATCCCAAGTTAAAGCACAACCTGTACAATTTAGCGAGACTCTGTTTCAGAATAAATAAAATAGGACTGGAAAGCACTAGCCTAGGATGCACAAGGCCTGAAATTCATTTCCAATCTTAAGGGAAAAAGAATTTGAACTCATGATTGAGACATGGTAAACCTATTATGTCTCATCCTGATATATAGTACAGTATACTACCTGATTCCTTCCATCCTCTTCAGTTCCTTACATGCTTATAAACACTGGGTAAAGTACAGATTTATGTACCTAGGTTTTTAAGAGGACATCCCATTTTGTTTCGTTTCTTATTTGGAGACAGATAGTTTAGAGACAGCAAAATTCCTTTTTATAAAACAGTTACCCTAAATGATTTTCCCCCCAAGACTGGGGGGTTGATCCCAGGGCACTGTCACTGAAGGTTTATCCCCAGCCCTATCTATTTATTTATTATGTATTTTAATTTTTTGAGACAGAGTTTCTCCATGTAGTTCAATCTGGCCTTGAACTCACTGTGACCCCCAGGCTGACCTCAAATTTGTGATAATCCTCCTGCCTCAGCCTCCTGAGTGCTAGGATTACAGGTGCGGGCCACCCAGCTGCCCCAGCCCTAGTTATTTATTCATTCATTTGTTTGGTATGGATTTGAACTCAAGGCCTCTGCACTTAGCTATATCCCTAATTCTTTTATTTTGAGACAGTCTCAATTGCTAGATTGTCCAAGTTGGGTTCAAACCCAGAGTGTATTTCTAAAAATACAAGTGTAAAACATCACACCTGGCTTTATATTTTGTTTTGAGACAAGGTCTTACTAAATTGCCCTGGCTGATCTCAAATTTAAAATTCTTCTGCCTTCACCCCTTGAATAGCTAGCATTACAGGCATACACCAAAGCACCTGGCACACTAAGTGGTTTATGACCTGAGATAGCAACCGCCAGAAGGCCTTGAAGCATTCATTGTGATGTAAGACCCTGAATAGCATGATACACTGATCTGATGAAACCCTTTTAGGCAAATCTTGCTTTATTTGGTTGGTCAATATTTATTTGCTAAATCTGTAGAGAAATGTGTTTAGCTGGGCATGGTGATACATATCTTTAGTTCCAGTTACTCAGAAGGCTGAGGCAGGAGGGTCACTTGAGCTTACCAGTTTGAGAATAAGACCCTATCTCAAATACAAAATAGAATTTTGTTAGCTGTTGGAGGAAAGAAGAGGGTTTGAAATTGATGTTAATCTTGTTGGCATTGGGGAGATTGTTACAGAATGGTTTTTTAAAAGTTTATTTATTTAGTGGTACTGAGGATCGAACTCAGGAGCTTGCATTTGCCTGGCAGCGCTTATGCTTCTGAGCTAAATCCCCAGCCCCCCAAAAAACAATTTTTAAATTTTTATTCATTTATTGTTTGTTACCTGGGCAGAAACCCAAGTACATTCTACCACTGAGCCCTTTTTAAATAGTCTTGCTGAATAGCTAAATTGCCCAGGCTTCAGACTGGGCTTGAATTTGGATTCCCTACCTTAATTTCCCCAGAGTGCTGGGATTATAGACATGTACTCTCAATTAGTTTAAAGCATTTATAAAACTGCACATCAGCTGGTACACACCTGTAATCCCAGCACTCTGAGCGGTTGAGGTAGGAAGGTGGTAAGTTTGAGCCCATCCTGAATGATTTAGCAAGATCCTATCTCAGGGGCTGGGGATTTAGCTCAGCGGTATAAGCGCCTGCCTTGCAAGCAGGCAGTCGTGAGTTCGATCCCTGGTACTGATAAAAACAAAAAGACGAAAAAAAAAAAAAAAAAAAAAGATCCTATCTCAAAATTTAAAAAAGACCTGGAGAGAGAGCTCAGAGCAGAGGCTGAGAGTGAATGGATTCACTCTCCTGTGCTGTAAAAATAGAGAGAAAGAGGATAGACATTCAGACAGACAGAGATGGGCCATGTATCAACATGAATAATATGTCATACAACCTTGATTTGCATTTGCTTTTTGTTGTTGTTGTTTTTGTTTTGTATGTGTATGTAGTGCCGGAGATTGAACTTGGGGCCTTATGTGTCCAAGATAAGAGCTCTACCATTGAGCAACATCTCCAGCCCCTTTCATTTTCTTTTTAAAATGCTGTACAAGTAATCATCTGTGTAGGTCTCCATAACAGAAAAGAATAAGTTAAAACTAACAGGTTTTCCACTCTGAAATTCATCTTTTAGAAAGTGACTGCTTATAGCTAGGCATGGTGGTACACATCGTAATCCCAGTATTCAGGAGGCTGAGGCAAGAGGATCTCCAGATCAGCCTGGGCTACAAAGCAAGCTCAGGACCACCCTAAACTGCATAGGGAGACCCTATTCAGTAAGACCACTGCTGCTTAATTTGGCTGTGGTGGCACACTCCTATAATCCTAACACTCTGGGAGGCTACAACAAGAAGATCAAAAGTTCAAGTCCAGCCCAGGCAACTTAGTTATACCCTGTCTCAAAATAACTCAGTGCAAAGATCTTGGGTTCAGTTCCCAGTGCTGGGGGAGGGGAGGAGTGTGAGTGAGTGTGTGTGTATGTGTGTATAGAATACCACCTTTAATGTATGTTACAGAATTTTCTTGTTTGTTATTGAATTTTCTTTAGAAGACAAAACATAAAAATACTAAAACCTTGTGTCTTAGCACATTCATTTAGTGTAAGGTCATTATAGTGGGCAAGATTGGCCTCCAATTGAATATTCAGTCAGTCTGTATTGAGTTTCTCATCTATAAATGGTGGATAGTATGTATTAAGTGGGGCACTAAGAATTGAGAAGGATGTTATAGTGCAAGTATAATATAGTGCAAGTATATAGTGAGGTACAATTATAATTAAATCAAAATGCCACACACATGTAATCCCAGTACTGGCGAGGCTGAGGCAGGATTGGCATAATTATGAGGCCAGTCTGGACTACATAACAGACAACAAAAAACTACCATAAATTGTTAAGTGAAGTGGCTGGGTTATAATAATTTATTTGGTAAATGGTTATCTTTGTTATCCATTGAAACTGTTGACACCAATAGGCAGATCTGTGGAGGACAAACTGTATTCCTAACTCTTCTTTGCTGATAATTCCTTTTTTTTTTTTTTCTCTTGTCTTCCTTTTCTGTCATCAGCTGACTTATGAAGACTGTATGGATCTGATTGCAAAGCTACCTTGTGTTGCAGCAAAAATCTACCGGAATCTTTATCGTGAGGGCAGTAGTATCGGGGCCATTGATTCTAAGCTGGACTGGTCCCACAATTTCACCAACATGTTAGGCTACACTGATGCTCAGTTCACAGAACTTATGCGCTTATACCTCACCATCCACAGGTGAGCCAGCCCCAGCCACCAAAGCCACAGGGAATTTTTTTTTTTTAAGTTCTAATATTCTTAGCTCCTGGGAACAGATCATATGCAACAAGGACAAGGAAATATATTTTAAGAGTCAGTACGACGACAGAAAAGAGTCTAGGGGCTGCGGATTTAGCTCAGCGGCATAAGCACCTGCCTTGCAAGCAGGGGTCGTGAGTTCAATCCCCAGTACCGATAAAAATGAAAAAGACAAAAAAAAAAAAAGAAAAGAGTCTAAAGCTGGGCATGGTGGTGCATTCCTATAATACCAGCATTTGAGAGGCTGAGATAGGAGAATCCTTTGCAAGTTCAAGACCAGCCTGGGCTGTGGTGAGCACAAGGTCAGCCTGATCTGCATAGCAAGACCCTGTCTCAAAATGACCAAAAAAAAAAAAAAAAAAAAAAGCGTCTAATACTGAGTATGGTGGCATACCTGTCTCAAAAAAAAAAAAAAAAAAAAACAGATGGAGGGAGTCTAGTATGGAAGATTACGTGGTCCAGGGGGAAAATTACCACAGCCATACTGAGACCTAGAGGGTGCTTCTAGCCGGGAAAAAGAACTTAACTCACAAGCTTTATTTATTTAATTTTGGGTTTTTTGACACAAGGTCTCACTGTGTAGTTTAGGCTGGCCTTGAACTCTCTAGCCCATACTGGCCTTGAACTTTGGTGATCCTCTTGCCTCCAGTGCTGGGAGCACAGTCTGAACCATTGGGCAGGGCAGAAACTTGCAAGGTTTAGATTGTCCTTCAGCTTTGCAAAGGCTCCCTCTTGTGGCCATTGTTATTAAAAGCTGAGGGTCGGAATGTAGCTCTGTGGTAGAGCGTTTAATGCCCAAGCATGGGCTCAGTCCTCAGCACTCAAAAGAAAGCAGATGTGGCAGGCTTTGGTAAGAGCTAGAGAACTAGTCACACAGCATCAACTAGTCATTTCTTCAGCTCTGTTGACTGGTGAACAAAAGTAATGAGGACTTAGGTATAATTGACTGGCTATAGACTGGTATAAGCTCATAACTAGATTAGGATATGACAAAAGAATAGCAAGGTTCTTTATCTGTTCCTTTCTTTTCCATAGCGACCATGAGGGTGGCAATGTAAGTGCCCATACCAGCCACTTGGTGGGCAGTGCCCTTTCAGATCCTTACCTGTCATTTGCTGCAGCCATGAATGGGCTAGCAGGGCCTCTACATGGACTGGCAAATCAGGTAAAGCTGTTCTTACTCTTTTCCTGCCCCATGTTTTTCTTGCCCCATGCTTTGTTCTGGAGCTTGACATTATCTTCTGGCATATGTATTCATGTTCCTTTTTTCCCAAATCTTACCCTAGGAAGTACTTGTCTGGCTAACACAACTACAAAAGGAAGTTGGCAAAGATGTATCAGATGAGAAATTACGAGAGTACATTTGGAACACACTCAACTCAGGGCGGGTAAGCAGAGATGCTTAGATGCTTAGCTACTAGGAAGGAAGTCAAAATCCATGTCCAGAAGTTTGGAAGAGTAAAAAAAATAAAAGCATTGTGGGAAACCCCCAAAAATAACCAATGAAAGAAGTAAAATGAGAGAGATTTCTAAATTTGCCTAACCTAAAGAATTTAGAAAAACATTCTACCTGAGAATACCAGTTGTTTTCTCTCCCCGCTTTTATAGGTTGTCCCCGGCTATGGCCATGCAGTACTAAGGAAGACTGATCCACGATACTCCTGTCAGCGAGAGTTTGCTCTGAAACACCTGCCCAATGACCCCATGTTTAAGCTGGTCGCTCAACTGTATAAGATTGTGCCCAATATTCTCCTAGAGCAGGGCAAGGCCAAGAATCCTTGGCCCAACGTAGATGCTCACAGTGGGGTGCTGCTCCAGGTGAGTCCCCTCTTTGCTGCTTCCCCTCATATTTGTGCCATATCCATTTTGTGCCATGCACAAAAACATCTTCCTAGTCTGTTTTGGTTGTAATGGGAATTGAAACCAGGGTTTTTCACTAAGTTACATCTCCAGCCATTTTATTTTTTCATAACACAGGAGTCATTAAATTGCCCACGTTTAGTGGGCTGATCCTCTTGCCTCAGCCTCTGTCTGCTGGGTTCACAGGCTTCCATAGCCATGCTGGGCTGAGAGCAGGGACTCTTAGACCTCCTCCTACACACAGCCTTTTGATAAAATTGCTCATAGCAGAGGTCAGGGCTAGGATTGCTCTCCTTTCAGAATCCTAATTATACTTTTCTCAGTATCATTTCTATTTAAGGCTGACTGGGCTAAGTCCCTAGAAAAAAAGGGGAAATGGAACCTTCAAGGTTCCTTTCACCTAGATTTGCATATGGCATTCCCTCTGTGCCTTTAATAAAACTTCTTTTTCTCTTTACCTTACAGTACTATGGCATGACGGAGATGAATTTTTACACAGTCTTATTTGGAGTGTCACGGGCACTGGGTGTGCTAGCACAGCTCATCTGGAGCCGAGCCTTGAGCTTCCCTCTAGAAAGGCCTAAATCCATGAGCACGGATGGGTTGATGAAGTTCGTGGACTCTAAGTCAGGGTAAAACTTGGAAACTGGGGGGAAATTGACTGCCACAAGCTTAACAACAACAAGAAAAATAATATACTTTTGTTTCAAGGGGCCTTTAAAGACTTACAATTAAACTGTATCTGAGGCACTGAAAATATGTTTGAAGTTAAAATATAAATTAAGACTTTAAAAGATAAAAAATGATCCCTTCTTCCTAACCATCTCCCTTGTCCTGCCTGGTATGAGTTGTCCATCAGCCATAGGATGACCAGGACTAATGCATGTCATACGGGTTAGGTTTGGCCTCCACCATCTCTAGAGCAAGAATCCAACCCCTCTTTCTCTGGGTCAAAGCAGGTTACAGACAATCTGTAGTTACTCTGGAGCTTTTGCTTCTACTCTGCCCAGCCCTGTAGGCCAGGAAATCAGGACCTTGCCCTTCCTGTTTCCACAGAGTTCACTTGAGATTATCAGCTGTACCAAGCCCTTGCCCATGCAGTAAGACCTAGAGTGTAGAGCATGCCAAAGTATGTCACATAGCTGGACGTGCTTTGGCAATTTCTTTTTACGCTACCAAGCGACCATGAAGGTATGACATTTGTTGGGATTGGCACCCAGTGTTTCATTTGATTTTCCTTTTTAAAATTCACCCATTAAAACTGAGGTCTGGAAGTGTTATTTCCCACTACTTTAATACCTACTTCCAGACTTGATACACTTGTTCTGCCTCAAGCTGAGGATGCTCTGGACCTTCCCCTCTTGGTCTGTACTTAAGACCTCTTTAGTAGGTCTGTCTGATCTGTGGTCTTTCCCAATCACTAGGATTTAATATGGCACTTAATGTGAACTAAGCTTTTACTTCTACAGAACTCAAGCCAACTACTGTCTGACCTCTCTCCTGTTAATAAGCTATGAAGGATAGAACAGGAGCTCAGGAATGACCAGCCTCTTCATGGTCTGGTCCCAGGGGTATGAACATCTCTTTTTTTTTTTTAAACATTTTCTTTTGAGCAAAAAGATGATTCAAGTTTATATGATCACCTTTGAATATCAGGACCATGGGCTAGGGACATTCAATGTAGTAAGCCTCTCTTCTGATCCCCTGTCACAGAAAATGCTTCTTTATTTATCAGTGTCTTTTTTTCCTGCCCCTTCCTCAAGAGCTCACAGTACAGTGTGTGATTTAGAAGCTCCATTTGCATAAGTTTTTAGTTACTCAGAATGCTCTACTGCCTTTTCTTTGAGAAAGGATTGAGATACACTCCTGCTGTGGCCCCTTCTTCCCTTGATACTCCTGCCTGCGTTTGTGTGGACCCCTAAACTCCAGAACCACGCTGTTGAGATGGACACACTGTAAACTCCTGAGTAACTGTCAAGTCATTATACAGGCTTCAGGTTGTTCTGTATAAAATTTAAAAATAAATGTTTTTATTAACAATGCTTGAGCCTGCTATTAAATAAGGCCTATACAAATCTTTATTACGAGATAAGGAATCTATGTAGTGAGGTCTTAAATCTACTTAACAAGTATAAGTTTTCCTGTACATCCCTTTATCTTACCAGGTTTCATATTCAGTGGAAAGGCCCCCTTTGAGGTTCCCAAAATAGATTTCTCTTTCAAGGTTACAAAGTCCTTTACCTTTAGCCCTCATGTTTCCTAATTTTGTTACAATGTAGAATACTCAATGAGTACCACAGAGACCTCACAACTGCTTCATGACTAATCCAAGAACTAGTCAAGCCCACTAGGTGAAAGGAGCAAAGCCTACTGAGGATAGATGGACTAGGAGTGCTGGCCCAGGACCTGAACACTAGAGGGCTTTGGGGTATCCAGCAGTGCCTGCTTTGCAGTTTTCTGTAGGAGACCTCAAAGATGACAACGGGTGGTAGTCCTGAGGTTACCAGAAATATAAGAGATCTGAAACTAGATGATTCTGTCCTGAGGCTTTAGCTGCAAGTGACCTTCTGGAAAAGTCTATAAATAGGCAAAGGAGTGGGTACTAGGCCCTGGCATGTAGAATGTGCTACTATAGTTAGCTAGGACATGGTGTCCAAGAGGCTGCCTTACACCTTTATGTCTCCAGGGAAAAAAGCCACGATTTTCTTTTATTCTGCTATATCTACATTATTTTCCCAAAAAACAATAAACAATAGAGGCAAATTCACACTCACAATTTATTGAAATTTTATAAAAATTTAAGCCATATGGAAGAATAAGGTACAAATCAATCCAAGAGTACAAAGACAACTTCTTTAGTGTTTTCTTTGGCCCTGTGGCATTGATATGCTAAGACAGTTACTGACTACTTAGTAGCAGCACAGAAATACTTTTTATTTTTTTTTTTGTTTTTTGAGACAGGGTCGTTTTGTACAGTCCAGGCTGACCTCAAACTTGAGGTACTCCTCTACAGGTGGGCACCACCATCCCCACCCCACCACTTTTTTTTTTTTTTTTTTTAGGTAGGGTCTCACTATGTAGTCCGAGCCAGCCTTGAACTCACTGTATAGCTGAGAATGATCTCAAACTGGTGATGTTCCTGCCTCAGCCTCCTGAATGCTGAGATTATAGGACTGTGCCAGCACACTTGACTTAGAAATAGTGTTTTTTGTTTTTTTTTTTTTTTGGTACCGGGGAGTGAACTCATGACTGCCCACTTGTAAGGCTGGTGCTTACGCCACTGAGCTAAATCCCTGGTCCTGACTTGGAAATATTCTTGAACTGAGGCAGTATGGATTTCAAGCTGAGGGCAGGCAGTGTTTTTCCTGAGGAACCTCAGGCAGGGCAAAAGTTATTTACTACCAAGTATCTCTGTTTCAGAAGAGAAGTTCAGTTTATTCAAGGGTTCAAGAAATTGTTCTCGTGGCTGGGGATTTAGCTCAGCGGCTTAAGTGCCTGCCTAACAAGTGTAAGATCATGAGTTTGATCCCTGGTACCAAAAAGAAAAAAAAAGAAATTGTTCTCTTCCCAGTGAGATATCAAGGTGTTCTGCCAGGACCCAGAGAGAACCGCACAACCAGGTGTGGTGCATGCCTATAATACCAGCATTGGGGAGGCTGAGGCAGGAAGATCACTGTGAATTCAAAGCCAGCCTGGGCCATAAAGTGAGTTCAAGACCAGCTTAAACTGCTTAGTGAAACCCTGTCTCAAAAAAAAAACACTGTGTACAGGCTGCAGACATACAGGACTTCTGGGATAAGACTGACCCTTTCCTGGGCATATCTAACTTGTATAACCTCTACCTTTCTCCCCCAGCATTTCCAGCCAGTGCAGGGCCCAATTTCTGGAGAATAGGAGGAACAGTGTTACTGACTCCTCTCAGATTGGAGTAGGAGCCAAACCAAATAAATAAAAGAATTGGGTGGAGAGGCTAGTGAGTGAGTGAAGGCTAGGGAACAATCCATTGCCTCAAGTCTGGTGCACCTCATGGAACATCAGTTCACGAGGGATAGCTGTTTCTGGACCAAACTTGGTGGCCGCCCGGCGCTCAAAAGCAGCAACGTTTTGCTTGACAACCTCATCGAAAAACATGGTGGCCAGCTGGGAGTGCAGCAAAGAGCGAAATTCAAAGGAAATCTGGGAAAGCGTAAGAAATAGTAACTCTTCAAGACTACATTTTAGATAGTCCTTGGCCAAATGTAGGCACTTCTCATGCCTTCTCTCCCCAGCCCACTCCAGGCTCTTACCCCTGAAGAGCCCTAACTTAGTATTGAACAAACACAAACTCAAAACTATATAAGCCAAACATTGGGAAATAATGCTAGATATACTTTTTGGGGGAGACTGTTAGAGACAGGTCTCTCTTTGAACCCTGTAGCCCGAACTGGCCTTAAACTGACTGCAATCTTCCTGGCTCAGCCTCCCAAGTGCTGGATTACGGTTGTTACACCACCACACCTGGTTAAGTACTAATTATACTTATATGAATAATCTTGTCACAGTACCTCAGCTCTACTGTAAACCTCAGTCCTAAACCTGTGTTGTGAAGCCTCCTAACTCACCGAAAAGTCCACAGTGCAGGTTCGGGGATAGGCAGGAATACCAGGGCTGAATCGCCAAATAGTCTCTAAGTGGTTGAAGAGCTTGCCATCAGTGCAAACAGCCTAGAATAGTACAATCCACTAGTTAAATCATAGTATATGAGGCAGTAAGAAACTAGGGGTTGGGGTATATCTCAGTGGTACAGCACTTGCCAGCATGCATGGAGCCCTAGGTTCAAACTCTAGCACCACCAAAACAAGAAAAATCAGTTTTCTTCCTTTCCAATATTAGGGAACTATTTGACACAGAAAGATAAAGTAATTCAAAAAGGCCAAAATAGACCTTAAATGAAAATATTAAGGAGCACAAATGCTAGCCATTACCTCCTAGACAGGCCTCACCTTGACCATGTGAGGTTTGACCATGGAAACCGCAGAGGTATAGCGCTCCAAGACTGGTGGAAAGCCCACCTCCAACTGAGCCTTCAGGTGACCCTTGCGGCTGGATACCACCAGAGACTTCTTACACCAGGGCACAAACTCACGATACTCCTGGACATTGGCTACCACCTCATACATCTCCTGCATTGAGTACCTAGGGAAAGAGGAATCAGACAGGCCAAGGGACTGCCAGCTGGGTCAGTTTCCTTGCCATTGGCCCTTGACTCATACCATTGCCCACTAACTATACACCTTAGGAACTAGACACCTGGATAAGTAAGTCTGGACAGACTGGAGATTTAGCTCAGTGGCACAAGCGCCTGCCTGGCAAATGCAAGGTTGTGAGTTCAATCCCCAGTACCAAAAAAAAAAAAGTAAGCTTGGACATTGTACAAGTCCCCAGGTATTTAGTTACCTTGTGTTTTGCAGTTTGCACAATGCTTTTGCATTCATTATTTTGATGTCAAGAAATGGATGAGAGTGGTTAGTTTTTACTAATCACATAAACGTCAGGCAGGTTCTTCAAATTTCTAACAATGTAGCCCTAGGTAAATTACCTGTCTCCATTTTTCACATCTATACATTGGAAGTAATAAAGAGTGTGGTTTATAGGCATTGAGAAATAAATGAAAAAAATATGTAAAATACTGATGCAGCCTAGCTTCTGGCACATAGCAGGTGTTCAATAAATTAACTACTGTGTTTAAAACACATTTTTAAAAAGTCAAATCAAGCTAGGCATGGTGGAGGCCAGAATTCGCTCAGCAGCATATGCGCCTGCGTGGCAAGTGCAAGGTCATGAGTTCAATCCCAAGTACAAAAAAAGGCTGGATGTGATGGGGCACACCTGTAATCCAGCCCCTAGAAGGCCAAGGCAAAAAGATTGCTTAGAGTTCAAGGCCAGCCTGAACTACATAGCAAAACTCTAAAACAAAAAATAAGGGGGCATAAGTCTTTAAGAGACTCTCTAGCACTTTTTCCCCCCCTTTGGTACCAGAGATCAAACTCAGGACCTCACGCTTGACAAGCAGCTAAATCCCCAGCTTCTCCAGCACTCTTAAGAGACTGAAGCAAGAGGATGCCCAGTTTGAGCCCAAGCTAAAGAACATAGATGTGTCTGGCTGGGGTAGGGGAGCATCACTCAAGGCAGAGTTCGGGGTTCTGTCCCCAGCATGTATATATGCTGCAGAAGCAAGCACCATCCCCAGTATGAAAGCAACAATAACAAAAAAATAACAAAAACACACAGGCACTGTGGTGCATGCCTGTAATCTTAGTCCTCTGGGATTCTAAAGCAAGAGAAAAGCAAACTAGAGCTCATGCTGAGCAGCTTGGCAACTTACACCCTATCCCAAAATTTTAAAAAGTGAAAAAACCTGGGATATAACTGTGAAGGTCCCGGGTTCATTTCAGAAGTCGTGAAGTGGAGAGAGGCAGTCAGAGACGTAATGCCCTATTGGTATTTGTCTGGTTTCACTTAATGAACATGCACACTAAGGAAGGATGAAATTTAGGCTGGAAGGCTGGCAGAGGGAAAAAAAAGGATCAGTAACAGATCAGAAGGGGGATGGCCAAGGATGAATTCTGCTACAGGTAACCTCACCGCTACACCTGAGGTATGGTTAATTTGGAAGGCAAAAGGGGAGAACAAGATGCTCACCCCATGATCCTGCGCTCCGAGTAGGCCTTTCGCTTGTTGGTGAAGGGAGCAGTAAAGCCCATGAAGGAACGACTGGAGGGTAAGCCGGCCTCCGCTGCCAAGGCCTGTGCAGCGCGGGGCAAGAAGAGGCTACAGGAGATCAGAAACCTAAGATCAAAAGGAAAGGAGAAGCAACGTCAGGATTCTTTTTGTATTTAGCTATTTCCAGGATAAGGGGAAGAGGGGCGCATCCCAGAGTGAGGTCATCCAGAAAAGCTTTTCTCCCAGCACCTGCTGCAGCTCTCTGGGTTCCCCGGCCAGGCAGTCACGAGTGCGAAAGGTCGAGGGCTGCTGAGGACACGGCCAGAGGTGGGGATGCGGTAAAGGGGAGGACGCCGAGGTGCCACTTGCCTGCGGGGTTACACTAGGGCTGAAAGCAAAGCCTCCTAGAAAGCATCACAGCCCCCTTGGTGACAGGCTAGACACGTTATGGCCAGGGCGACCTCAAGGGCTGGTGAGCACCTACTCCGAGGGTATAATTTGCAAAAGCATCCTCCAGAGCTCTAGTTCCGCACCCGGGGCACCACGGCTGCAGGCCCTCGCCGCACCAGCACCCCAAGGCCTCCGCCATTCCCCGCCAAAATTCGGGGTGTCGGGAGACCCTCTCACTCTAGGGCGGACTGCCGCAGCTCCCTCTCACCTCATTGGTCCCGGTGGTCTCGGAGGGCCCCGGGGCGGGGCCGGGCGGAGCAAGAGACAGCCAGGGCGCTGGGCCGCCGCGTGCACCCCGGCCCGCAGCGGCCGCGCGCCCGCAGAGGCCATGCGCGCTACCCCGCGGGGCGCTCGCGGCGGAGCTGGAGCAGCTCAAGAGTTGCCTGCGGTTCAGCGCCCCAGAGCGCAGAGACGATGCGAGGCTGCGGCTCCTCTCGTTCCGCTCCCTCCCAGGCAGCTGGGGAGATAAAACTGAAGCCGCGACCGCAGCTCGGGTACCCTCGGGTCACGCGGCTGCCAGGGCTCCAGAGCTGGAGAGGGAGGAAGGAGGGGGCGACGCTGCCTGCCGGGAGATGTAGTTCCCACCTCCAGGGAGAAAGGGCGTTGGGAGTGCGTTTCAGAAGCTGCAGAGGCAGCTTGGGGGCGCGAGGTCGCCAGGCAAAAACTACTTGGTGAGTCCGGTCATAGGACCTGATACGTAGGCACCCATCTCGTGGGCGGGCAGACGGCAAGCGTCTGTGTGTTCTCTGAACGCCTCCCAGATCCTTTATCATATTCCGCCCTTACAGTTGGAAGCTCTGTGCATCGCTGTGCTCCTCCCAAGTGTGTATGCCTGGTGCTGTACTTTTACGTAAAAAAAGAAAATTCCGAGCTCTGGGGGAAGACTTGGCATAGCTTTCTCATTTAATATTTACAGGAACAAGTCGAGGTGAGAAAAGCCAGATTTCCTTTCAGGCGAAAGAACCAGTTTTGCCTAGAAAAGTGTGCATCCGATGAAGGATGAGACTTCAGGAACAGAAAACCAGGCAATGGAAAATTGACATATTACTTTCTGCTACTGAAGAAAACATTTGCTCTTCATAAAAGTGAGAAGAAAAGCAGGAGGGAGAGATCAGTAAACAAACAAAAAAATGGAAATTCTCCCGTGGAGGGATAGAGGAAGGACATTCTAAAATTGGTGTCAGGTACAGAGGTGCAGGCCTGGAATCTAGCGCTTGAGGAGCTAAGGCAGGAGAATCCTGCAAGTTTGAGGCCACCTTGGGTTACAATTCAGGCTTGAGTTCAAAACCAGCCTGAATTACATAGTAATATTTCTATTGAGGATTGAATGAGGGGCCTTCCCACTGAGCTGCATCCCCAACTCTTTTATGTTTTAAGATATAGACTCTCAAGTTACTAAATGGTACAGGCTGGGTTCACACTTGTAATCCTCCTGCCTCAGCCACAGAAGTAAAGTAGGTGGGATTACAGGCAAGTGCCATCATGTCTGACCTGATGCTGAACTGAAAGACTTTTAGATTGCTATGATGCAAGCCTTCCTCTTCTTTCTAAATTTTTTTTTTTTTTTTTGTCTTTTTGAGACAGGGTCTTGATATGCAGTTCAGGCTAGCCTTCAGCTCACTTTGTAGCCCAGGATTGTCTCAAACTCCGAAAGGATCCTCCCACCTCAGCCTGGGATTACAGGCTGAGCCACCACACCCGGCTTAATTCTTTCTAAATCTTTAGTCAAATTCTCTATAGCTTTGTCTAAGAAAGGGAGGTGGGTTTTAAATAAAGTCTGTGTTGCAATGTGTGACTAACGGGTGTAGAGGAGAGAAATCTTGCCCAGAAACAGAAGCCTGGAAATAAATACAGATCCTCTTGAGACTGGCATTAATTTTGGGGCTTTCTTCTGTTAGATTTAAAATTTGACTCTATCCTACCTGGATTTCAAGGTAGCAGGAACCATCCCTTTAACTCTGGCATTATTGAACATTTTGTTAAAAAGTGACTCTCCTTATCTACTGCATACAGAAACTCCACACAGTTAAGTGGTGAAGGAACCCAGGTTTGGTTGATCACTACACACTTTTTGCAGGGATTGAGCTGAGGGCCACACAGAAACTGGGCATATGCTCTGCCACTGAGCTGTATCACCCAGCTCTCCAAATCCATTAAAAAAAAACTATTCTACCTCTATAATACTGAGTACCTACTACTTAAATAATTATTGGGCTGGGGGTGTAGTAAAGTGGTAGAATATCCACTTAGCAGGTATGAGGCCTGAATTGGACCCTCAGTACCAAAAACAAAAAAATGATTAATCAAATGAGTATCATCTTTCTTTTCCTTTTATCCTCCTTTTTCTACCTAAGAGGTGCCCGGAACCCCAAATAAAAGAATGATCTCTTACCTTTTTCTCTTTTTTTTTTTTTTTTTTTTTTTTTTTTGTCTTTTTCCTTTTTATCGGTACCGGGGATCGAACTCAGGACTGCCTGCTTGCAGGGCAGGTGCTTATGCCGCTGAGCTAAATCCCCAGCCCCCTCTTTTTTCTCTTCTTAACATTTTCCCCCACAGAATTTCAGAGAGGGTCGGTTATGGCCTTGACTCCTACCTCCCTCCCCACTACCACAGCACATTATCTCTTTCTGGTTCAGAGATGGTGATCTGTGGTGGCCATGGAGGCGTACACCTGTCATCCCAGCTGTGGGAGGCAGAGGCAGGTGGATTGCAGATTCAAGCCTAGCCCATGAAATTTAGTAATAGCTCTTTCAAAACAAAAAATAGAAAAGGGACTGAAGATGTAGCTTGGTGTAAAGGTCTGGAGTTCAATACAAAAATTTTTTTTTTTTTTTGCTACAGCTGCCCTCAAGTGAGAATTTGACCTTGAAGGACAGTTTTATTCATTCTAACCTCACTGTCCTCTGACTAAGGGTTCGTGCATGTGAGACAGCTGCTTAGAATGAAGAGCAAGACTCTAGCGGGGTAAAAGAAATTAACTGGGATACAAGACTAAACTGTGACCTTATTAGCACTCTATCTTAACTGAGTTAACTGCTTCAGAATCCCCAAGGTCTAGCAGTTTATTGGTTGTCCCCCTGCTAATTGGATTAGCTAATTACTGCCATTTAAACCTTTCCTAGTTTGTTCCCTGTTCTTGAAACAACCAATTTACTGCCATGTCCCTGCTGTTGTACATGAATGAAATAATTTCCTTTTAAGTATACCTCCTTCAGGAAGACCCTCTGGGTTGAAGCATCCATTATCCTATGTTCTTTGTTTTGTGTATATGTATATCCCAAAGCATAAGTTAGAAACTCCTCAAAAAGAGACATCATAACTTGTAAGTTTTCACCTATCAACCAGTTACTACTACCTGGTATACATGATGTCATAAAGTTTCTCAGAATAAAAACCAAAGCTTTAAAAAGATAAGTATCCTCATAGAATTACCCAAACATAAATTCAGTAGTTGAATCCAGGCCTGTCCACAACAGAAGGCTTTGTTACCAGTTCTGTCCTCCTTTTATCTTGGATGTCACCCTGAGCCCTAGAAGTATCTGTGCAACCTATATCACATCCCTTCTCTCTTTACTGGGAAATCCTCTTTCTTGCTCTAAACACTATTAAAAATAACTCTTCTAGCTCTTCTTCCCCCTCTCAGCTGCCCGGAGAACTGGGCTGATAATCTCCCTTGTTCACCTCCACCCTGGTGCTGGACGTGGGCACGTGACCCTGGCTCAACCCTTGACTCCAATTCCTCAAGTTACCAAGAGCTATTTTGGGCAGTGGAACCCATGTATTTCCTCCTCCCTTCCTGTGGGCTATGTCCTAGACTGGCTCTTCCTGGGTGGTTCATCATACCCAATAGCAAGGGGACATGTCTCAGTTCCTGAAACCATGTGATCCCAGCTACCTCTAGTTTCTGCTTCAGCCTCCTCCTCCTCTTCATCACTGAGTATTAAGCATCTGTTCTCATATGCTTATCTACTAGAGTAAAAAAACACACACACAATTTAATGTATATTTTGCCTTCAGAAAGCTCATTCATTTTTTTCCATTAAAACACAGAACATAGAAATCAAAATAAATAAATTATAAAAGTGTTTTAAAAACAGACCAAAAAGGGCTGGGGATTTAGCTCAGCGGCATAAGCACCTGCCTTGCAAGCAGGCAGTCGTGAGTTCGATCCCTGGTACCGATAAAAATGAAAAAGACAAAAAAAAAAAAAAAACAAAAAAAAAACAAAACAAAAAAACAGACCAAAAAACCTCAGAAATCTCAGACTGGCTGCCTGTAAGATCAACACTGAGGAAGTTTAGGCAGGAGGATAGATGCAAATTTGAGCCCAGCGTGGTGGGCTACACAGTAAGTTCAAGGCAAGCCTCAACTATATAGTGAGATCCTAGTTTAAAACAAAACAATTGGGTCTGGGGATTTAGCTCAGCGGCATAAGCACCTGCCTTGCAAACGCGTGGTCATGAGTTTGATCCCTGGTATCGGTAAAAAAAGAAAAATTTCAGGCCTACATTAGGGGAGAAAAATTGACTGGCTAATTTATGGTCCCAGCTCCTCAAGAGGTTGAAGCAGAATGACTGCCAAAAGTTTGAGAGCAGCCTGGTCCAAATAGTGAGTTCAAGACCAGCCTGAATAACATCGTGAGATCCTGTCTCAAAAAATAAATAAATAAAAATTCTGGATGTGGTGACATACTCTTGGTTTTTTTTTTTTTTTTTTTTTTTTTTCCTTTTTTAGTACCAGGGATTGAACTCACGACTGCCTGCTACGCCGCTGAGCTAAATCCCCAGCCCCTGTGACATACTCTTGTAATCCTAGCAATTGGGAGGCTAAGATAGGAGGATTGCTTCAAGTTTAAGACTAGCCTGGACTACTCAGTGAGTTAGACAGCATAGACCCTGTCTCAAAAAACAAAACACAACAAAAAAAGGGCTGGAGATATAATTTAGCTGTAATCCTAGCATCTGTGAGGCCCTGGGTTCAAGCCAATAGTTCTACCCTCTCCACAAAAAAAGTTCCAAAATCCATTCTGAATTTTCAGACACTTATGTCATAAAATATATGGAACCATGTGTTGTGCTGCATCCTAAAATCCTTTTGTTGTTGTTGTTTGTTTGTTTATTGAGACAGGGCCTTGCTCTGTTGTTCATGCTGGCCTTGAACTCATGGCAATCTTCCTGCCTCAGCCTTGAGTGCTGGGATTACAAGCATGTGCTGCCACACCCAGATTCTAGCATTCTTGAGAAACTGAAAGAGAATATTGGAAGTTCAAGTCCCACCTGGACAATTGACTTGGCAAAGTGATTTGGTGAGACGCTGTCTAAAAAAAAAAAGGACTGCAAAGGCTCCACATTGTGCTGCTTGCCTGTAATCTCAGCACTCAGGAAACCAAAGCAGGAAGATTGTTGTGAGTTCGAGGCCAGCCTAAGCTCATAGTGAGTTTAGAACCAGACTGAACTACATAGTGAGACCCTGTCTCAAAAAATGGGAATGTAGGGGGCTAGGGATTTAGCTCAGCAGCACCTGCCTTGCAAGCAGGCGGTCGTGAGTTCGATCCCTGGTACCGATAAAAACGAAAAAGACCAAAAAAAAAAAAAAAATGGGAATGTGGCTCAATGAGAAGTCCGTAAATTTAGTCCTTTAGTACCACATGCTTGGGCACACAGTATGAAATGAGAAACAAAAATGTACAGTTGAAACCAGATTGGGGTAGTATAAATTAAGAAGCCAGGTGTGCTGGCATATGTCTAAGCACCTGCCTTGCAAGCAGGCAGTCGTGAGTTCGATCCCTGGTACGGATTAAAAAAAAAAAAAAAAAAAAAAAAAAAGAGCCCGGCACGGTGGCTCATGCCTATAATGCACTTGGGAGGCTGAGGCAAGAGGATCATTGCAAATTTGAGACCAGCCTAGGCTACAAAGTGAGCTCAAGGCCAGCCTGAACTACATAGAGAGACTCTGTCTCAAAAAGACCAAACACCAAAACAAAACTCCTAAGAAATGGCAAAATAAACAAAATACACAATGCCTGCCTGGCAAGGACAAGATTGTGGGTTCGATCCCTGGCACCAATAAAATAAAATTGCATCCAATTAAAAAAAAAAGGCAAAGAGCAACCCAATATGGTAGCAGGAGTATCATCACCATGAGTGTGGACTATATAGTGAGTTCAAGCCTAGAGTATACAGTGAGAACCTGTCTGGAAACAAAACAAACACCTTGCAATGAAACTAGTTAGCCAGGGAAGATTCCTAGGAAAGTTTTGTAATTCTAGGTATTGAAGCCAAGGCCTCATGCATAATGGGGAAGGACACTACCACTAAGCTACATCTCTGACCCTTGTTATTTTTTGAGACAGGCTTTCTCTAAATTGCCCAGGCTAGCCTCAAATTTGTGATCCTCTTCCTTTAGTCTCCAGAGTGGTTGGGCAGCTGGGATTATAGGTGTACATAGTAAATGTAAGTAATATTCTTGTGGGTTTTTTTTTTTTTTTTTTTTTTTGTCTTTTTCCTTTTTATCGGTACCGGGGGTCGAACTCATGACTGCCTGCTTGCAAGGCAGGCGCTTATGCCGCTGAGCTAAACCTCCAGCCCCCATATTCTTGTGTTTTATTTCAGCAGTGTTGGGGGTTCAACTCAGGGCCTCATACATACTGGGCAAGTGCTCCAAAATCCGAAAAGGTATAGAGGAATAGGTAAATTTTGCTGTCACTCCTTATTTCCTTTTCCCCAGTTTCTCTTTCCAGGAAAAAAAAAAAAAATAGATAAAAAATAAAAACACAGTTACAAGTCTTGAGTATCTTTTCAGCAGGACTCAAGATATTGAAGGCAAGAGGCTAAAATGCTACTTTTTCCCAAATGTCTTCTGCAACATTTTGATTTGCTAAACTCTGAGCAGGATCGTAAATTATGAACTGTACAATTTTTCAGTCTCTACTCTTCGCTTTCAGGGCAGGGACATCCTCAGCCGGTTCTTCTGATTGGCTGCTCTCTGACCTCCAAGGCGGGAGGGGCACCCCACACCCGCGCGCCCTTTTGTGTGTGGGGGGGCAAAAACCGTTGAGTGTTTTGAAGTGTAGTCGCCTTACCATTTTAACCTGCCAGTGAAGCAATTAGAGAGTTGAAAAGTGTTCCTTCGCGAAGGCCTTGGAGGCCTTCTCCAGCCGCCAGCTGTACTTTGTTATGGTTTTCTTGGGCTCTCAGCAGCTTGAGCATTTCTATTTCCTCGCTGCCCTACTCATGTCTCTCCCGTTGGAGACCTGCGCCTTCCCTCCCTTTGGAGCTACTGCCGTCTATAATCGCAGGTCTCCACGGCCAGGCTCCCTTCGTCTGTGTGGGAGTCGGTCGGAAGGAGTTAGCTCATCCTCCGGCATTGTGGGCTGGGGGGCTCCGGCAGGCTGCTGATCCTCAGCTGGAAGGCATTTGGAGGCAGTCTGGCGGGGCACCCTCTGGCCGCCAGACTGGAGAGGACACCGCGCGCAGCCTGCTCTGGGTGGCTGCGGAGCCCGCGCGCGAGGCAGGGGTTGCGGGTCCTAGCGCCGCCGCCAGGGGCCGCTGCGGGTCCCGCTCGCCCGCCCCCCGGTAGGCGGGGCCGCGTTCTCCCCGCAGCCGCCGCCGCACCGCCGCCTGGGCCGCCCGAGTCCCCGGTGGAGCCGCTGCCGCCGCCGGGAACTCGATGCGGACGGAGCCCGGGCCGGGCCATGGGGATCCTCAGCATCACGGACCAGGTCAGCCCCCTACCTCTCTCCGCCTTATCCTCTCAGGGCCCAGCGCCGCCGCCACGCGAGCTCGGGGATGTGCGGCCTAGGCTGGGCCCGAGCCCGGGGCTCCCGCGCCTGCTGCCCCGCCCCGCGCCGCGCTCCCCGCAGCCCGTGTCCTTGGGGGCCTGGCGGCTGACGGAGCACCGCAGGGATCCGCTGCAGCCGGGACCCCCGGAGCGGAAGCCGCCCAGAGACTCCCCCACCTCCAGCCTAGGTGCTCGCATCTCTCGGGTTCCGCTCTGGCGCCAGCTCCTGAGTGCCGGTTCTTCCTGCAGCCGCCCCTGGTCCAGGCCATCTTTAGCCGCGATGTGGAGGAAGTGCGTTCCCTCCTCTCGCAGAAGGAGAACATCAACGTGCTGGTGAGTTGGTCGCAGCGAGGATGGCGAGCCCGGTCGGGCTCCGGTGTTTTGGACCCCTCCCCACCAGTGGGGCGGCTCCGTGTCCCCTCTGCTCCGATGAGGCCGCAGTATTTCCCACCCTGGGGTGGGAGCCCGCTCTGCATTTAGGGTTGAACTGCAAGTCAGGTTTGGAGCATCAGCCAGTGGGGCTGGAGATCCTCAGAAAAGGTGCTGTCTTCTGAACCACGGGGTCTGCAGCGCCCTCACCCCTCTTGGGAAAAGGTTTCTCGGCCCTGACTCCACCCTCCCAAGGTGCTTGTCTTTGATTCTCAGTGCTGGGATTTAGGACGCTGCAGAACCCATGCGAAGATTATGGGGAAGGGCCTGTAGCTCTGAGACATGAACTGGGGTCATGGATAGTTCCTCCCCAAAGCGGCTTCTCTTTTCTGCTTTCCCAGGACCAAGAGAGGCGAACCCCATTGCATGCTGCTGCCTACGTAGGCGATGTCCCCATCCTCCAGTTGCTACTGATGTCAGGTGAAAGTGGGGAGCAGGAAGGTGTGGCACCTAGGGAGGGAAACAGAAGGGAGGAGTCTCTTTTTTGCTATCCAGGATTGATCTCTGGTGCTTGGTGCAGATGAGTCTCCAACTCTGTCCTGATTCCCCAGCCTGATGACTGATTTCCTTCCTCACTTCCCATCAAAATAGGGCATTGTATCCCCACAGGTGCTAATGTCAACGCTAAGGACACACTGTGGCTGACCCCTCTTCATCGTGCTGCTGCCTCCCGAAATGAGGTATGGCCCCCACCTACTTTCATTTTCAGAAAGGATGAGTTGACTAAAGGTGGAGTTTAAGGGTTGGAGAGCCTTGTTCTACCATACTAGCCAGACTTTGGCTCCTCCTTTCTACCCTAGAACTGGCTGGTAAGGGGGCTGAGTCTTGCCAGCTGATGTGACGTCAGGGAGAGCTTAACACTGGGCTGGCAGACTTCGGGGGCCCTGCTGCCAAGTCTGAGTGACTCATCCCTGCCTGGGGGGCCACCTTGAGTCTGATCCCCCTCTGGGCAGTGAGATTTCTTTCCTTGTAGTGGTGGATGGAGGTCATGATCTGTTCCACCCTTGCCCCACATTAGCAAGAGAGTTGACCGAACAGGGGCCAAACATGCCTCATAGGTGAGATCCTGAACCCCAGGGTCATCAGCCCTGCAAAGAGGGAAAGGAGATCTCCCTTTGGATTCTCTATCACATCCTTGGTTCCAGCCACCAGTGGCAGGGACTGAGGTCAATGGGGATGAGGTGGGTGGTGCTGAGGAAGAGCATTTTAGGCTTGGTTTCAGAGAGGAACTACTGTGTGATTACCGAGGTAATTGAAATAATATGGATGCTTAGGAAAGCTAAGGAGGTTGTTTAGGGTGTTAATGTAGCAGGAGCATTTATTTTTCCTGAAAGTAGCAGTTTGGAATATGTGAATCTACTTGTGTATATTTGTTCAGGGTAGATGTCTGTTAGTGGCAGTTTCAAGGCTAGGCTGGGGACTGATCCCCAGGATTGAGGAAGAGGAAAGGATCCTTGTTTTCTTCAGCAAGGTAAGGAAGATTTTAAGCTCTGAGGAGATTCAGAAGATAGAAGATAAGTATGGAGCAGCTCTATATGTTGGGAAAATAAAAGGCTGTGCTGGGTGGGATGGTGCCATTAGGTACATCTGACCTGTTCTTCTGCTTCCTCCTGTTTTACCTCCTGCTCTACCTCCTGCTCCCCCTCTGTCTTCTCTCCTGTCACCTGCCCTTCCACAGAAGGTGCTGGGACTGCTGCTGGCACATTCAGCAGATGTGAATGCCCGGGACAAGCTGTGGCAGACACCACTGCATGTGGCTGCTGCCAACCGGGCCACCAAGTGTGCTGAGGCTCTTGCACCTCTGTTGAGTAGCCTCAATGTGGCTGACAGGAGCGGGCGCAGTGCTCTGCACCATGCAGTGCATAGCGGGCATCTCGAGGTGAGGACCACTCCAGTCCAGGCCCAGCCTTCTATTTCCCTCTGTTCATATTTCCCTGCTTCTGGGCCATGAGACTTGGGAGAGAAGGAACACTTGGGTTCAAGTAACAAATGAATAGTTGCACTGAAATGGTTTTTTGGTTGTTTTGCTAAGGATCAAACCCAGAATCATGTTGATACTAAGCAAGTGCTGCACCACTGAGCTATATTCCCAGCCTCTCAAGTGAATTTTCTTTGCAGGAGGCAGGGTCTTGCTATATACTTCAGGCTGTTTGTTTTTTTGTTTGTTTGGATCAGTATCAAACTGAGAATCTTGTGCTTACCAGACAGGTGCATTTGCTGCTGAGCTAAATCTCTAGCCCCCTTCAGGCTGATTTTGAATTTACTGTTTAGCCTAGGCTGGCCTCAAACTCATGGTAATCCTCCTGCCTCAGCCTCCTGAATGATGAGATTATAGGCATGTACCGCCATACCCAGCATTAGATTGAAGTTCTTGATTTGGACTTTCAGAAGTTAATAAACCTTCTCTCTCTCTTTTTTTTTCTTTTTGAGAGAGGATCTCACTATATAGTTGCAGGCTGGTCTTGAGCTTACTTTGTAGCCCAGTCTTTTCTCAAACTTGCAACAAATCCTCCTCCCTCAGTCTCCCAAGTGCTGGGATTATAGGTGTGCACTACCATACCTGGCAAGTTGATAAACCTTCTGAAGATACATGGAAAATACTTATTTTATTTTTATTTATTTATTATTCTTTTTTTTTTTTTTTTTTTTTGTCTTTTTCTTTTTTATCCGTACCGGGGATCGAACTCACAACTACACACTTGCAATGCAGGCGCTTAGACTGCTGAGCTAAATCCCCAGCCCCCTATTCATTGTATTTTTGAGAGAGGATCTTGCTATGCAGTTCAGGCTGGCCTTGAGCTTACTTTGTAGGCCAGACTGGTCTCAAACTTGCAATGATCCTCCTGCTTCAGCCTCCTGAGAGCTGGGATCATAGGCATGTACCACCATTTCTGATTTGGGAAATATTTATATTCATACCTTTTTCTGAAGAGAGAGGCCTTGTCTGTCACCACATTTTTCAGTATTTTTATGAGTTTGAGAACACGAGCACCTGAAGAAACTTCTTTTGAGTTTCCCTCAGAATTCCAAATTTATGTGGTATCTTTGCCTTAGTACCTGTTCCTGTTTCCTCTAGTCCTCCCAATATTTCTCCTCACCAACAAAGGTATTAGGCTGTCATCCCAAGCACTATGAAAAAGAAAAAAAAAAGGCACGAGGCTGCCTCCAGCTTTGGGATGAGAGGCCTCTGCCCTTGTATAGATTGATAGCATGAACCTGATTCTGACTTTTATACCCTGATATAGACAGTGAACTTGCTCCTCAACAAGGGAGCCAGCCTGAATGTCTGTGACAAAAAGGAGCGGCAGCCTCTACACTGGGCAGCTTTTCTGGGTAAGACAGAATACATTTCACCCTTAGAGTTCCTAGAGCAGGGAGATGGGGTTGCAGCCTTTGGAGAGAAGAACTTAGGGCCTTAGGGTTCACCATCTACCTCTTTGAGAGTTTCCTGTTTTCCTAGGGCATTTGGAAGTCCTGAAACTGCTAGTGGCACGTGGTGCAGACCTGGGCTGTAAGGACCGCAAAGGCTATGGGCTGCTGCACACAGCTGCGGCCAGTGGCCAGATTGAAGTGGTGAAGTACCTGCTCCGAATGGGGGCTGAGGTGAGGTGCTGAGTGCTAGGGCTGGGGACTATGGCAGGGGATTGGAGGTTAGAGTCTGTGATGGAGATAGGAAGATGGTGAGACAGTTGGTATCACTTTGGGAGGTTGGGCGGATATGGTGAGAAGGTCTGCACAAGGCTTTCCTTATGTAGTTGTGCCCTCATTCTTTTGGGTCAGAAACCTGGAGGGGCTGAGACAGTCAGATTTCTGGGACTCTTGACTACAAAGTGCTATCTTTTTTAAACTGATACATCTCTTACCCTCATTCCTGGAAATCCAGATTGATGAGCCCAATGCTTTTGGAAACACAGCTTTGCACATTGCATGCTACCTGGGCCAGGATGCTGTGGCTATTGAGCTGGTGAATGCAGGAGCCAATGTCAACCAGCCGAATGACAAGGGCTTCACGCCACTGCACGTGGCTGCAGTCTCCACCAATGGCGCTCTCTGCTTGGAGCTGTTGGTCAATAACGGGGCTGACGTCAACTACCAGGTGCCTGAATGGGGGAGGCTTAGATCAGTGGAGAGAGGGACCTGGCTCTGGGAGTCCTGATCACATCTAGATAGCTCTCCTGGGGAGTTGTCCACTTGCCTCCTGGGATGTTTAGATCTTGGTGTAAGGACTCAGGAGAATGGGAACTGAAAAGATGCCCATAGGTCCCCTAGTCATCAGGGATGTGTCCCTTAAAAGTGGGATTGGAGCATTCTCTGTGCTTTATACTGAAAAAATTGCACTGTGTTTCCACAGAGCAAGGAAGGGAAAAGTCCTCTGCACATGGCTGCCATTCACGGTCGTTTCACACGCTCCCAGATTCTCATTCAGAATGGTACGGACTTGGAGAGAATTTGTGCCCTCATCTGCTCCTGCCCCAAGGAACTCAGCCCTGGAATTGCCTTGCTTTTGTTCTTCTTACCCCTTCTTCCAGGCAGGAAAAGCAATTGCATCTTTGCCCCACTTTCCTAAGGCTACAAACAAAATGTCCCATGTCAAACACTACATACATAATAAGCACTCACCTGGTAACTAACTGGTGCAAGTGGCCCTAAATGTGAATTTGTGTGTGTGTATCTCATCTCAGGTAGTGAGATTGATTGTGCCGACAAATTTGGGAACACACCCCTGCATGTGGCTGCTCGATATGGACATGAACTGCTCATTAGTACCCTCATGACCAATGGCGCGGATACTGCCCGGTAAGTCAGGGTCCTTCCCTGACCCCACTTCTGGGCCACCACAGATCTGTACATCCTGCTCACATCAAACTTGAAGTTACAAAGATACTTGCTGAAAGAAAACTTGGGAAACCTACCCTTATTTCTAGGATGGTGATAGACCACAGTAACTGGTCCCTCCTTAACCCAAAGACTAAGCCCCTCTACTTTTCCATAGGCGTGGTATCCATGACATGTTCCCCCTGCACTTAGCTGTTCTCTTTGGATTTTCTGACTGTTGCCGGAAGCTCCTATCCTCAGGTATGTCCTGGCTTACTGGGGGTTGGCAGGTGTACCCTCATCACTCCCAGCTTAGTTCTCTAGGATGTGATCTGTGGCTGGTCTGCCCCTCCAGGTCAGCTGTACAGCATTGTGTCTTCACTCAGCAATGAGCATGTGCTTTCAGCTGGGTTTGACATCAACACACCTGACAACCTTGGCCGCACCTGTCTTCATGCTGCTGCTTCTGGAGGGTGTGTTCTCCTTTCTCTCTCCCAGTCCTTGAGAAGAGAGCTAGGCAAGGGCTGGATCCCCACTGCCAGCCAGCTCCATTCACTCTGACAGTGAGAGCAGGCTGTCCACTTCCAGCCTCTTAGCCCATCCCCGAGTCTGGATAACTCCTTGAGGCTCTCTTACCTCTTGGCTTCCTTTTAGAAATGTGGAATGTCTTAATTTGCTATTGAGCAGTGGAGCTGATCTGAGGAGGAGAGATAAATTTGGAAGGTAAATGAATATGGAGGGGTACATAGCAGGTATGTGACTAGAGAAAATGGCAGGGGGAACTAAGTACAGGGAATGTTAGCAGCAGTGTGTGTGGTTGCTTTTAGATCTGTCTCTGATTCTACTTCCCCTGTTCCCCAGGACCCCACTGCACTATGCAGCCGCCAATGGTAGCTACCAGTGTGCAGTAACACTGGTGACTGCTGGGGCGGGAGTCAATGAGGCTGACTGTAAAGGCTGTTCTCCTCTCCACTACGCTGCTGCCTCTGACACTTACCGGAGGTGAGGCTCACACTTTGCCCTCCCAAGCACACACCCCTCCCTGAGCTGCCCTAGCATTTTCACTGTCTTCCCCAGAGCGGAACCCCACACTGCTTCCAGCCATGATGCTGAAGAGGATGAGCCGCTGAAGGAGTCCCGCAGGAAGGAGGCCTTCTTGTGAGTAACAGAGCAGACCCTTGGGATGTGCTTTCCCCAGAGCACCAACCCCAGCCCTGTTAGTTGCCCTGTACTCCAAATCTCTGCCCCCCTGCTGTGCTATCATCCCACTGTCCACTCTGCAGTATGGCACACTGGGTACGAGTGAAAACCAAAATGTGAATGTAGCTGCTTTCCTCAGCATGGGGCTTCTCGAGAAGACCAAAAGCTAAATGCATAAAACCATTAACTTATTCCACAAACTTGAACTGAATATTTGTTTACTAGCTTCAGAAAACTGTGTTAAGCACTAAAATAAGTAATTTTTTTTCTGTGCCAAAGATTGAATCCAGGGCCTACCCCATGCTAGGCAAACTCTCTGAGTTCATCTCCATCCCTAAGGATAGAAGATGAGTGTCTCTGGGAGCCCAGTGGTAAAGCACAACACCCTTGGTTCAGTCCCCAACTACAAAACAAGACACCAAAACAGAAAAGGATGAATCACCTCAAATTTCCACTCTTTGAAAACTAATCAACTATTGGGAAAATAAATAGTGGACTCTTACCCAGTACTTAGCAATATAAGAAGTTAATGATGGGAAAATTAGGTGTGTATAGGGAAATTCTGCACTATCTTCATAATTTTTTCATAAACCTGGCTACTGTAAAATAAAAACTGGGGCCAGAGATTTTGCTCAGTGGTACAGTCCCTTCCTTGCAAGTATGAGGTACTGAGCCCAATTCCTGATACCCAAAAATTAAAATACAATAAAAACTGGACCAGGCATGGTGGAAAATGCCTGTAATCCCAGCACTTGGGAAGCTAAACCAGGAGGGTTGCCATGAGTTTGCGGGCCAGTCCACATTATGTAGTGAGGTCAAGGCCAGTCTGAACTATATAGCAGTACCCTCTCTCAAAGACAAAACAAAATGTTTATTGCTAGGTATAGTGGTGCACTCCTGTCATTCCATTCTTCGGAATGAGGCAGGAGGAATATAAATTTGAGCCCAGCCTGGGCTCAAATAGTGATTTACTGAAATCCTGTCTCCAAAAAAGGGGAAAAAAAAAAAAAAAGGATAAAATGCAGGCATAGTGATACATGTATGAAATCCCAGCACTTAAGAGGCTGAAACAGGAGAATCACCATGAGTTTAAGGCCAGCCTGGGCTACTTGGCACGACCCTGTCTCAAAAAAAAAAAAGTAAAAAGGGCTGGGGATTGTAGCTCAGTGTTTAGGCTTCGGTTCAGTCCTCAGCACCACAGGGAAAAAGGGAGCCACGGATGCAGCTCAACATGAAGGTCCTGGTTTTAATCCCTAGTACACACACACAGAGTCTAAAGCTCAGAAGCCAGGTATGTTCACGTGCAGCTGTAATTCCAGCACTCTAGGATGCTGAGGCAGGAGGATCTCAAATGAGTGCCCTGGGGAATTTAGTGACTTGATAAGACCTTGTTCCTAAAGATAAAAGAAAGCAGGGGTGTACCTCAGTGCAAATATCCTGGGTTCAATTGTCAGTACTGCCAAAAGAAAGAAAGAAGAAGCTTATCTCTGCAACCTTTGGCAAGTTACTTAACCTTTCTGTGCCTCAATTTGCGCAACTATAGAGAGTTTAAAATAGTTAATATTAAAGTGTCTACTAACATATAAGAAGTGTGTCAAGGAAGTGCCGAGAAAGAAGTAAGTCACTAACTGGGAAACAGAAGGCTTCACAGGAGAGGAGCTAACTAATTTGCAGTGAGCTAGACTCCTTCAGAAGGGAGGCAGGGAGAGCAGGCCTGCAAGACCCAGGCCAGGCCAGGCCCGGCCCAGTGTGCCTGCAGGTAAGGCAAGCACAGCAGCCCAGAAAGCATGTAGCTGAGCCGAGAGCCCTGGGGCATCCGGAGAGCATCCGGAGCTTAGAAAAATGTCCAGAAGGCAGTGCCCACGACAGATCTTGGGAAAGTAGTAGGTTTAGAGCTGGGGTTGAAGAATGGACAGAGGGTGGTTAGAGGGGTTCCTTTGCCCTTCTCTGCACCTCCCAGAATCATGCCTTGGGCCTGACCCTCTCACCATCTGCCTTCTGGCTCCCCAGCTGTCTGGAGTTTTTACTGGATAATGGTGCAGACCCCTCCCTGCGGGACAGGCAGGGCTACACAGCTGTGCACTATGCAGCCGCCTACGGCAACAGACAGAACCTCGAACTGGTACGTGTGGGACAGTCTGGGGGAGAGGAGGCAGGGCCAGGGCCACACACTGCCTTTGGGTTTGTGATTTTGAAACCAAGGGATGTGCAGTAGGTCCAGAGGTTTAGAGGATTACTGTGAGTAGGGAAAGGGGACAGTTATCTTAGGAGTTTTCAAGTTTTAGCACCTATTTTCCTGTCATTGCATCATTGCAGCTCTTAGAAATGTCCTTTAACTGCCTGGAAGATGTGGAGAGCACCATTCCAGTCAGCCCTTTGCACTTAGCTGTGAGTCCCACATTTCCTCTGCCTTTTCCTGTCCTTACTCATCCCAGCACCCACATGAGGGTCAGCACTGGTGCCTCTGTCTCTCCTTCTTCCTTCTCGTGGGCATTGAGAAGGTGGTCACTGGGTGGGGAGGGGATGGGCCTTGCAGGAAAGAGGCCTGAGGGGCCCAAGGAGTTTGTGGAGGACTAAGGCCGGGAGCCACCCCCTGGGTCCTGACTGCACAGTGGGGATGGAAATGTCCTAGCTGGGTCCATTGATTGCCTGTACCACTCCAGGCCTACAACGGTCACTGTGAAGCCCTGAAGACACTGGCTGAAACGCTGGTGAATCTGGATGTAAGGGACCACAAGGGCCGGACTGCGCTCTTCCTGGCCACTGAGCGAGGCTCTACTGAGTGCGTAGAGGTACTTACGGCCCATGGTGCCTCTGCCCTCATCAAGGAGCGCAAGCGCAAGTGGACGCCCCTACATGCTGCTGGTTAGTACCTACCATGGGCTGCTGCCCTCCCTTACTATACTAAATCTCTCCTAACAGATTTAGGGCTGGGAGAGGGGTAGGACAAGGAATAAGGAAACTTCAAGTTCCAACTTTTTTTTTTTTAGTAACGGGGTGGGGTATCTGACTCATGATCTCGTGCTTGCCAGGCAGGCACTTAGGGTGCTGAGCTAAATTCCTAGTCCTCAAGTCCAATTGATAGCTTACTGCAGACACTGCTGCAGCGTTGAAGATTTTTTCCTCTGACAGACCTTCCATAACCCTGACTCTCAAGTGCTTTAGGTTCAGCTGGCCTCCCTCCCTTATCCTGACACTATCCTGACTCAGCTTTCTTTTCTCCTAGCTGCCTCTGGCCACACTGACTCCCTACACTTGCTGATTGACAGTGGGGAACGAGCTGATATCACAGATGTCATGGATGCCTATGGACAGTGAGTGGAGGGCAGGGGTGTGGTGATGGTTTTCCTATGCTCGCTGGACCATCACCCTTCCCCTGTTACCTCTACAGAACCCCACTGATGCTGGCCATCATGAATGGTCATGTGGACTGTGTACATCTGCTGCTAGAGAAGGGATCCACAGCTGATGCTGCTGACCTCCGGGGCCGCACTGCCCTCCACCGTGGGGTGAGTGGGCTCACAGGTGGCTCAAAGTATGGGATCACAGGGTAGCAGGATATTGGAGCTGAGCCAGGATTTTGTGCCTGTGATCTTACTGAGTCTTATTGTGTTGCTCCAGGATGAGTATGTGGTGTCCCTGACTGATTTTCCCAATTGCCATTTGTTATTATGTGCAACCACCTTCTCAGCCCAGACTATGCCAATGATGCCTTGTTGACAATCCTGTTGGATAGTGATGCTACTTCTCCTATCTCCTCTATGATCACTTATCCTAGAGCTGCCTCCACCTTCTGCCACAGGATTCTTTTCCCTTTCCCTTCCCCTTCCCCACCCTTTCTAGCTCTTTTTTTTTTTTTTTTTTCCTTATTCCTTTTGAGACAGAGTTTTACTATGCATTTCAAGTTGGCTTTTGAAATCACTTTGTAGCCCATGCTGGCCTCGAACTCACAGCAATCCTCCTGCCTCAGCCTCCTGAGTTCTCCTGCCCTGTACCCCCCTCTTTTTGTGACTTGGTCTTACTATGTTGCTGAGGCTGGCCCTACATTTCTAGGCTCAAGTGATCCTGTTGCCTGAGCCTCCCAATTAGCTGGGACTACAGGTGAGCCCAGCTTTCTCTTGGGATTATTTGGTCCTGGCATCTTGTTATACTCTATTTGGTCTTTTTTTTTTTTTTTTTTTGCTTTTTCATTTTTATCGGTACCAGGGATCGAACTCACGACCGCCTGCTTGCAAGGCAGGTGCTTATGCCGCTGAGCTAAATCCCCAGCCCCCACTCTATTTGGTCTTTGACTCCAGATCTCCATAATTAACTCTGGCCATCCTGCCTATTGAACGAGAGTCAGGGAAGAGGATCCTGATCCCATATACTAGAATCATTGCAAATACAAGGATTAGAGCACTGGAAGTGGTTATTACTCGGTCCAGTCTCCAGTAAGTGGCTCCTCATCCCACCTCTGCCTGTGTTCCCTATAGGCAGTGACTGGCTGTGAGGACTGCCTGGCTGCCCTGCTGGACCATGATGCATTTGTACTGTGCCGAGACTTTAAAGGCCGTACACCCATTCACCTGGCCTCAGCCTGTGGCCACACTGCTGTGTTACGGACGCTGCTGCAGGCTGCCCTTTCCACAGACCCCCTGGATGCCGGGGTGGATTACAGCGGATACTCGCCCATGCACTGGGCCTCCTACACTGGTACGCCACAGCCTCTGGCAGATACAGGGATGTGCGTGGGGTGATGAGAAAGATGGGTTGTAGGAGAGAATCTGAAAGTGGCTTGAAGGTTCAGGGACAGCACAGGACAGATAGAGGAAGCCTGCCATTTCTTCCATTGCCATGCTTTTTTCCTTATACTCAGGACATGAAGATTGTCTGGAGTTGTTACTTGAACATAGCCCATTCTCATACCTGGAGGGAAACCCCTTCACTCCTTTGCACTGTGCAGTGTAAGTCTTTTCCTCTGCAGCAGCCCTGTTGTAGGGGGCTGTGACTTGCCTTAGAATTATCTCCTTTGGCCCCGCTGACAGCCCCTCCTTTCTCCCAGAATTAATAACCAGGACAGCACCACAGAGATGCTGCTGGGAGCTCTGGGTGCCAAGATTGTGAACAGCCGAGATGCCAAAGGACGGTGAGTACTGAAAGGCCTTGGGGAGAAGCTGAGCTGCCTCTGGCCTCATCTCTCTGCCCAAGCCAAAGAGCCTTCCTTAGATCACTCTATGCTGACCCCTACCCAGGACCCCCCTTCACGCCGCTGCCTTCGCGGACAATGTCTCTGGGCTCCGGATGCTGCTGCAGCATCAAGCCGAGGTGAACGCCACTGATCACACAGGCCACACTGCGCTCATGACAGCAGCTGAGAATGGGCAGACCGCTGCTGTAGGTATGTGGGGGCCCTGGGGAAGGGAGGTGCTCTAGGTATGTCTAGGAGGGATCAGCCCTGCCTGTGAGCATGGGGTTCAGAACACAGAGGGTGTCTCAGTGTCTCATGGTACAAAATATATGCAGGTAGGAGGGTAGAAAGCCAGGATGAAAATAAAATTAAAAAAAGACAAAAGAAAGCCAGGATGCCTGCTGCTCTGGAGGGACCCATCAACCAGGTGCCATTTCTCCTAGAATTTCTGCTGTATCGAGGGAAGGCAGATCTGACTGTGCTGGATGAAAATAAGAACACTGCCCTCCACTTGGCATGCAGCAAGGTACTTCTGGACCTGGTGGCTGCATGAGGGACAGGGGTTGATGCAGGGTAGATCCTGACTACAGAGAGGACTGGATCAGAAGTCAGGGTTGCCTGGCTTACCTGCCTGCGTCTCACACTCCCCAGCTCCTACTCTGTGGCCTGTCATGCTTCTACCTCACGAGTCCCCACTGTCTGTTCCCCCTCAGGGCCATGAGAAATGTGCCCTCATGATCCTGGCAGAAACCCAAGACCTTGGCCTTATCAATGCTACCAACAGTGCGCTGCAGATGTGAGTGCCCAGGGAGGGGCTCCTGGCTGGGGGAGGTAGGTGGGTAAAGAAAGCAGCCCACACTACAGGGACTCTTGGCACTCACCTTATTTGTTCAACACCCTTGCTGCCCTCTGGGGCTGCTAGGGAGTTTTGGCTTCCTGCAGACTCTGGTCCACCTTTTTCTTTTTTTCTTTCTTCCAAGGCCACTGCACATTGCTGCCCGGAATGGTCTCGCTTCTGTGGTGCAGGCCCTGCTAAGTCGTGGGGCCACAGTACTAGCTGTGGACGAAGAAGGTGGGTAGGGTCCAGAGCTTTTCCTTTTCCTGGGTTTGGGATCAGGGACAGTGTTCAGGAGGTGATTTGTTAACCTTACTATAAATGAGATTTTCTTTCCAAGAGAGCTCTTCAGAACAGGGACCCAGCTTCAGTACTTGAGTCTCAAAGAGGAGTCAGACAGAGCCAGCAGGGGACCAGAGGACTCCCCACACAAACCCCAGGCCTTTGCCCCTGCACCCCAGTTTTCTTTTTTTTTTTCGTCTTTTTCGTTTTTATCGGTATCAGGGATTGAACTCACGACTGCCTGCTTGCAAGGCAGGCGCTTATGCCGCTGAGCTAAATCCCCAGTCCCTGCACCCCACTTTTCTTTCCCACATGAGCATCTGCCTTTCGCACCCCCTGGGCCCTCACCACCCTTGATCTCTGACCATGGTGGGTGTGTTCCTGCCACAGCTACACCAGACAGAGAGCCAGGGCCCAGGGATACAGGACCTGTTCCTTAGTCCTCTCCCTTTGCCCTATAGGTCACACCCCAGCACTGGCCTGTGCCCCCAACAAAGATGTGGCAGACTGCCTGGCCTTGATCCTTTCCACCATGAAGCCTTTCCCACCCAAGGATGCTGTCAGTCCTTTCAGCTTCAGCCTGCTCAAGAACTGTGGCATCGCAGCTGCCAAGACGGTGGGTGGCTGTGGTGCCCTGCCCCACGGGGCTTCCTGCCCCTATAGCCAGGAGCGGCATGGCGCCATTGGGTTAGATGGCTGCTACTCTGAGTAGCCCCCTCCAGTGTCCCTTCCCCTGCCGGTGGCTTGATATCTTATTCTATTTATTTAGAAAAAAATCTAAACATTTAGGGCACTTTAAAGGAGAACACGACTGGGTGGAGGGGTGGAGGGGGGAAGGAAGCACTGGGGAGCAGCTGCTCACCCCTTTGCCACACCATCCCAGCCTGGCAGGGGTCTGGGACAGACAGGGAACACCCCAGGCCCTTGGTACCCCCAGGGCAACCCTTTCTGCCAAGTGTCCCAAAATGATTGATAAATGCCTGGCTTTTCCCTCTCTTTGATTCCATCTCAGTTCCCCCTTTCTGCTGCCAGCTCCCCCAACTCTGTCCTCTCCATGTCACCTACCCCTTTACCCCTACTGCCAGGCAGACCTCTCCTCTTCTTCCATACCCATCACCACCTCCCTGCTCGGCTGGCCCCTCCATCCCTGCAGCAGTGAGAAGCCTTAATTTCTGGTACTGTGTGAGCACTCTGGGGCAGCTAGAGGATGAGGGGGGGAAGGTACTTAGCACTGGGGCCTGGAGCTTTTCCCCCACTCTATACCCAATCACCCCTGAAGTTCAAATGCAAAACACTTGAAGCAGCAACTACTGTACCTGGGCCCCAATCCTGCACTCTCCCCTGGCTCCTCATATGCAAATCAAGGGCTGGTTCTGCCCCCACAGCCTGCCCCACTCCCCTCCCACTGCTGGCCTGGCCCCCTAACCACGCACTTTAACCTTGCTTTTTTTCTTTTAACCTTTGGGAGAACAGAGCCTGTGGCCATTCCCTCTCTGGCTCACTTCTCTCAATTTTGAGGCTTGTCATGAATTTTTAAGTAAGCATTTTATCCTTTAGGGGAAGAAACAAGTTAATTTGCTGCCCATTTCAAAATCATAGCTCTAGTATGTCCTCTGTGTTTCAGGCATGTGCTGCTTGCATGTGTGTGGAGGGAAGAACTGTGTCCTTCCTCCTATGCCCCCCATCCCAGAGTTCCTTAAGCCCCCTGTCTGCTTACACCTTCTGTCATGTTGAGAGTACCCACCGCCCCAGTCACTCCTGATTTGAAGCCAAAGATGGTGGGAGGGGCGGGGCAGTCTAGGGACCTGTGGCTGAATTGCAAAAGCAAACCTCCCTCTGCCGGAGGGGGAAGCTAAAATGGAGAGAGCAATGGATGGAGCCTGAGGCGCGGTCCCCTGCCTTTCCAGTAGAGGGAGAGATGGGATTGAGCTGGGGGCTGCATTGATAAGATTCCTAGAAGTTGCACCCTAGAAGCCAAACTGGGTCAGTGTGAGAAGGGGGCAGTTTTCTCTCTAAATGTAGCATTGAATCTGGCCTGGTCCCTTCAGATGCCCTGTCCATCCATGTCCTAGGTAAGCCTCTGTGCAGCTGGACCCACTCCTGTAGCCCAGTGTTCCTTCCTCATACTCAATACCTCAGCCAGGGGCCAAGACACAGAACTTGAATAGAGGTCCTGCCCCCTCCACCCCGACAATGCATCCTTGCCCAGTTTGGCTGCCATCAGTATTGTCCCCTGAGAACTGGACAGGCTTCGTTTACACAGTACAAGGGGTCTCTCCTGGGGACCCTTCAGCCTCCTATCCCACCGAAGCTTGCTCTATTCAAATCTTACCCATTTTTCAGTTGTGTCCCTTGAATGTCTTGCCACCCTTGCCAAGGGTGGGCTGGGGGAGAGGGCCCATCCCAGAGATGTCTCCCTCCTCACATATGCCCTTAACCATACCTCATGCTGGTTCCCTGAAGCCTGGGGTGTTTGTCCAAGTCCTTATTTTTTTTTTTTTCAGTTTCTTCTTATTCCCTGTCTCTCTGTGTCTTGCTTCCCCAACTCTCAGATCCTAAACCATTTCAAGGCTTCCAAATGACCATTATTGGTGAGAAGGATTGTGCAGCTTTTAGTTTTTATTTTTGTTTTCAAAGCCAAAGGGCCTTGCAACGCCCCTCTTGCCCTCCTCCCATCATACCTTGTCCTCCCCTATATGACAATCAATGTGACCTCTTAAGGGCTGCTGCCCCCACCCTGACCCTGCTGGTTCTGCAAAGTTTGCCCCCTGACTTCAGTTCTTTCTCCTAAGATCTTCCCGTTATACCCCCTCCCTCTCATTTTGGTGCTGGGAATTAGGTGGTAGGGGGCACGGGGTGCAAGGACATGGTTTCTTGGGAATGAGTTGGGGTATCAGTCGTGTTCTCCTTTATCAATGCTTAGTGACGACAGGAAAAAATCTTGAGTATTTGTCAGGAGCCCCATTGTTTCGTTTTGCTAGATGAGATTTCTGGTGGCTGTCTGTTCCCTGCTGCTCCTCAGCACATTGTCAGCAGTGCTGGGGAGATGGGGCCCCCTCTGTCCCTCCTCATGTGGTTATGAGGAGGCCTGGAGGGTGAGCAGCCTCCTCTCCTTATGCCAAAGGAAATCCCGCACCCCACCCCGGGCTCCCCAGTCCCTAGTGTTTTTTGAAGCATTTTGACCATTCTCATGGCCACTGCATATTTATTTTAATGTTAAGATTTTTTTTTAAACCTCTTTGACTTAAACGGGTGCGGAGAAGTAAAACAGGCAGAATGCCCCCCAATCTTCGGGGGTCGGGTGGGGGAGGAAGCACCTCCTTCCCTTCGCCTGCCCCTCCCCACCTCCCCACCGCAGCTCTAAAGCACTTGCTTCAAGTAATAAGCACTTTTGTGGAAAGGCCTATTTGGAGTGAGGACCCTGGGAGCACCCCAGGTTCTAGCAAAGGAGATGGAGCGAGGGCTACATAGGAGACAGACTTGTGAATCAGAGGGCGAGATGAAAAGAGCCAGTTTTTAGTTTCTGATATTTGGGGGAATGTTTCTGATTGGGCGGTGGCTTTGGTAGGGTTGTGTACCATACTTCAGAAAAACAAATGGCACAAACTGTGGGTCCCAGGATGGACCAACAGACCCGGGTCACTGCCACTGTCCAACTGAGACTGATGGGCCACCTCCCCCATCCCGTGGCCCCCTGAGCCATAGGACTGCTGAAAACCACTGAATGTACAGCCCAGGTTGGGGTGGGGAGCAGCCCCTGGGGGAGGGGGCTTCTCCTTTTGTTTGGTGCTGTGGGGGGTGGGAGAGATGAGACTGAGGGACTGCCACCCCACGTAGACGTGTTTCCTTGGGGTGGAGGGGCTGAGGAGAGTCTGCCTCCCTCTCCAACCCCAGCCATGGCCCCTCTTCCTTCCTCACCCCTATCCGTTTTGACTGTAAGTCCAGCTCACCTTTGCCTTCAATATGTAACCAAAGGAAAACTCAATACTGTTTCCACCACTGTCTGCCCACCCGAGCACCTTCTTACTCCCTGGACTTAGAAGGGAGAAGCTGGGGGTGGGTTAGGTGGGGCCAGAGTGAACGGTTCTACAACTGTACCCCCAAAACCTTCTCTGCGGTCTTGGAAGGGGTCCTGAGAGGTGGGGAGGGGCCAGGCTGGCAGGGCTGGGAGTAGGCACACTCTGTATCTGACGCACATGGCACATGAGTGTTTCCTTGTCGAAATGACTCCAGTGACTATGGTCCAGCGGGGAGACCCCTTCCTCTTTCCCTCTCAGCCATTCATCATGCTCTCCCCATCCCCAGTGTTCATTCTCCACCTCCTTTCCCACCGCAAAGGAAAATAGCCTTACAGACCCTAACCCAGAAACCTACTCCTGGGGCAAACCAGTATGGGCCCCCATCCCACCAAGTTTGAACCCTACCTTTTGAAAAGGAGGGATAAGGAGCAAAGTAGCCCCTTCCCCTCTAATTATGATGGCTCCAGCCCTCCATGGCCTTGGGCCAGGCTGGGCAAGGGCGGAGGGTGAGGAATCTTTGAGGACCAAGCCCAGTGGTCTGGGAAGAGGGAGGTAGCGAGGGACAGGTCTGACTTGGGGACTCCTTCCTCCCCCACCCAATCCCTAGAGACCCAACCCCTAGAGAAGCGACCAAATCCCAGAGATGGGCGGGAGCTGGGGGGAGGGTCTGCTCTATGAATTACTTGAAGGTACTGATTCTGAGGCTGCTGTTGCCCACATAGGTGTGAGGGGGACACTGTCACTGCATTTGGGAGGGCAGAGCGTGGCGGGCGATAAGAGGATGTGTCCTCAGCCCTCACTCACTCTTGCTAGGCCCTTTCTCTGGGGTGTCTGCAAGCCTGACTGCCCCAGGGAAGGCAGGGAGAGCCTTCCCTCCCATCTCCATCCTCACTCTGGGCACCCTCTCCAATTGCACTAAGTAGCTGTTGTGCCAGTCTTACCCCACACCAGGGTGGGGTCTCTGCTTCCAGTCTTTTCCCACTGCCTCCACTCCCCTCCCAGACAATCTCCTTGTTCCACTTGTATTCCTGGATAGCTCAGCTTTGTATGTGTGTGTTTGGGGGTGGGGTGGGTTTTGGCTGGAGTGGGTTTGGCAGAGGCTTAGGGAGGGCTAGGAGACAGATGGAGGATGATGTCTTCTACCCCTTTCCCCAGCTCTGAGTCACAGAAGCCTGGGAGGGTGGGTGCCTACTCTTGCTGCCGTGTGTCTTGCAGATGTGCCAAAATGGGGAGGGTGGGATGGGAGGGTGCCTGGTAGAGCAGCCCCCAGGGTGGCTCTCTCAAAGCAATACAGTCCCCTGCTTGGGGACGGCAAGACAGGGGAGAGGGTTGGGGTAGGGACCTGGGGGTTCCCGTGTACAGCTGTGTATATTCAGGGGTATTCTCTGTCTGGTACCCACTGTGGGCATCTATGTGTGTGTGAACCTCCTTTCCCCATGCCCTGCATGACCTGTGATGCTGCAGACACCACCATCCTGTGTACAGGTGTGTCGGGGGCACAGAGGGACATGTTTCATGTCCTGTTGCACCCTCCACCCTGTGACCCATGTACTCGGTTGTAGGAAGTAAAGAGAACTGAGCACAATTCACTGGATTCTAGTTGAATCTTTCTCTAAGCAATTTCCCCATTCCTGCCCTTCCCCTACCCTGGATCTACCTGTGGTGCTAGTGTTGGGGTCGGGGGTGTTTAATGCTGGTGGGCAGCAATAAAGGGCAGATCTGCCCAGATGCCTGCATCCCCAGGGTGCTGAGGGCAATAGGAAAAAGTGGGGGCCTTGGTGCATTTGCCCCACCCTTCCTCTCCTCCCTGGGCTAAAGCACAATGCTCTTCCTGAAGATTGATGCACCCTGCCCTCTCCTGGCCCCTACTCATGTCCTCCCCCAACCTGCTTTGAGCCCTCCCACCACACCGGTTTTCTATGCTGTTTTGGTGCAAGTACAATTGTCGTAGTCATGGCTTTGGGATGGGTTCTGTTTATTAAAATCCTATTGCTCCTACTGGCCCTGTGTCCCGCCTCCATTCCTGTGGTTGGGGGGAAGGAAGGGCACTCTGGACCCCTTGCCACTGGCCTCATCAGCCACCAGGGACCAGGGGCAACAGCTGCTCCTCTAGCAGGGCTATTGTAAGCATGAGGCTGCCCCCCAACAGCAGCCCCAGCCCTTGCAGTAGCATATGGAGCTTGGGTAGGGGCTCAGGAGGACGAAGCAGGGCTGGTAGCTGAAAGAAAAAAAAAATGTTGAGATTTTGGCCTTGCCTCTGACCTCTTAACCTGAAAAGGCAGTACCAGAATCACCCCCACCCAAACACTTTAGACTCTTGGTCCTTGTCAGACTCTGTGGGCCAGCACCATGCAGGACCTGGTAGTGAATGTGGACTTCCTTCCCCTCGGGCCCAGATGCCCACTCCCTTTGATTCCTCTGCTCTTTCCCCAAACTTCTCACCATGTCCACGAGGGCCACATAGAGGAAGACCCCAGCAGTGACCCCAAACACCCAGGGAGTGAGGGGAACAGGGCCCAAGCTGAGCCCCACCCCCAAGGCTGCACCCCCTAGTCCCAAGGCTCCAGATACAAGGCTCAGCAGCAGCAGCCTCTGAAAGGACAGTCCTGCCTGGAGCAGCATTGCGAAGTCACCTGTTGGGGACAGAGCATAGGATAGGAGGGAAGAAGCCAGGGTTGCCCTTCACCTGTATCACCTACCAGTCTCCAAACTTGTACCCTTTGGAGATATGCTTTCTAGAGCCCACCCCACTTGTACCATTCCTACCCAGTTCATGGGGCAGCTCATGACAGAAGACTGCCAGGGTAGTGCTGAGGCCACTGGAGACACCATCCGAGAAGGCAGCACCTGCAGTCCATGGGTAAGAGGTTCAGTCCAGAAGTCTCCTTAAAGGCCAGTGCCTGCATCTACTCATCTCTTAACCTCCCAGCAACCCTCTTACCTCTATCCAAGAATGCTGGCCCAAGCCTCTTGGGACCAGCCCCTCACTTCTTACCTATGGCCAGCCCATCAGTAAGGTTGTGCAGACTGTCTCCCAGGAGGACCATCCATATGATGTTGGCATCACCTCCACCATGGTTCCCATGACTATGGCCTTGGTGCCCAAGAGGGGTTGGCATTGGTGGGGTCTGGCTGTTCTGATCCGTCTGGCTCTGAGCCCCTGGCTCTTGAGGAGGAACAAGGACAGGTATTGGGAGCTGCAGGTGAGGACTGTGGGCCAGGAGCCTAATCATTTTCTCCTCTAGTCACCTGGAGCTGCCTGCAGGGGCCAAAGGGCCATCCCAGTGCTGTCCTCAGGGTCTGGGTTTGGTGTTCCGAGATCCCTTCTCTTTTGTCTGCAGCATCTCTGAAATAGGAGGGTATCCCTCCTGGTGGAGGAGGCAGCAGAGCCAAGGGCTGAGGGGAGGCCAGGCCACCAGCTGGGAAAATGAACACCTGGTCCCACCTCTGGCACTGTGAGATGTCCTTTGGCCTCTACCTTTTTCCCAGTGTGGCACCTCCCCTGTCTCTTGTTGACTTGAACTTGGGAGAGGAACCAGAAGTCCAGGTCTATGTGAAGGTGCCCCTACCCACTCTTGTTAAAGAACAGCTCCTACACTAAACACCAAACATTCAAGACATAGGAGCACACCCTGCCCGTCACCTCTTGGCTTGTTTAGCCAGTTCTTGGCTAGGACTCTGGGCCCAAGCTGAGCCCTGGTAGCTTGGCTAGGACTCTGGTCTCAGTAAATAGAGAAAAGCGTGTCACTTACTAGCCTGAGCCCTCTGTGCCGGAAAAGCCCTAGCATGTTCTCCAGCATGAAGAGCAGGAAGAGGCCTCCAAGTACCAACATCCCTGGACTCAGATCTTCCTCTGGTCGCCCACTTGGTCCTGCATGCTGCCTCCCCTGTGCCTAACACAGAAGAGGTCAGGGTGGACCCTGGAAGTCCCTATACCTAGCAGCACCCTCCTCCCACTTGGGAGGTCACTGGCCTTCACTCATACTCTGTTGGGAGGCAGCTCTTGGCCAAAGCCAGAGATGGGGAGTGGGATATGGGGGAGGGTGGCAGAAACGGGGAGTGGATGGCCAATGACTTGGAGCAGGACTGGATCCAAGAGGCCAACTGTCAGCCGCCTCTGGGTCAGGAAGTCAGGGAAGGGGACTCACGTACATGTGGCAGCAGGTGGAGCAGCGCATCTCCACAGAGAGTGCTCACAGCCAGGGCTCCCAGGAAACCCAGCAGAGGCTGCAATAGATGAGGTCCAAGGAGCCGCAGCAGCAGCAGGGAGAGGGGAGAAGGAAGGCTGAGCAGCAAGACTGCCAGGGCACTGTGGAGCAGGGCTGGGGAGGAGAGGGCTGAAGTTAGGCCCCGGCTAGACCCAGAGGCAAGGGCAGAGATATGCTACAAGGGAGGCAGGGCCCCAGTGAGTTCTCTTCCTTGGCATGGAGCCCAGCCCCTACCAAGACTTGGTGTGCTCCCACCCTATTCTCAGCCACTGACCAGGTAGTAGGTCTCCTGGAGGAGGTGGGGCTGGGATTTGAGTGCAGACACGGCTGTCGATCTGGTAAAGCAGGGCAGGGCACAGAAGAGCAAACTGTCTCGGTGTCAGAGGCGCAGCAGGGCTCAGGCCAAAATTGACCAGCAGCTGGGAGCCATTTAGACACTGGGGAGTTGAGCATTGGGTCACACATTAGGAAATCAGCAGGAACTGTGATACGGATCTTTCTATCTGTACTGTTGCATTGACTCTCGGGTTTCTGCCAGGGTCCCCTTTGCTCACACTGGTAGATTTGTTGGGGACTGAGCGCATTTCCAATCACTGTGTCTTAATTACTAGTGAATAGTCAATCTAATGCAATGTCTTTAACTCAATGCAAATTGGTGCCTGTGAACACTGCCATCCATTTCCCTCCCAAACCCTAATAATCTGGTTGGTTTGGTGATGGAATTGATTGAAAATCCAGAACCCTCCATGCCAGAATTCTGGAAGGGGTTAAGAAATGCCTGAAATGTCCCTCTTAATATCTCTATCAGATGTTCATCCAGACTTGGCTGCTTCATTCTCTGTCTCTCCCTCTCTTCCCTGCCTTCCTTTCTGTTTTGCCTTTTTTTTTAGATACAGTCTATCAGTTGCCCAGACTGGCCCCTAACTCAAGATCTTCCTTTGGCCTTCTGAGTGATTGGTACTACGGATGCAGCACCATCACACTGGGCACCAGTCTTGAATGCTTCCTGCTGTAGGGCACTCACTGGGTTGTGTTGCCCACCCTCTTGTGTACATGGTGTAGTGGCATGAATGCACTGTCTTTCTAGATAAATCAGCCATTTAGACCTTGCAGATCTCCTTGCCAGAAAACCATGCCCAGATCCTACCCTGGACTGTTTCTCTGGATTCTCTGCTTTGCCAAATGTGGTCCCTAATCTGGACTCACTTGCTCTGAACATATTAGCGAAAAACATACCCTAAAGCTACATTAGGATTTTTTTTTTTTTTTTGGTACTACAAATCAAACTCATGACCTCCCATTTGCCAGGCAGAAGCTGTGCTGCTGAGCTGTATCTCCAGCACCATTCCCCCACCTTTTAAAAAAATTTTTGGGACAGAGTCTTACTAGGTCACTCAATTATCAGGGCTTTTTTTTTTTTTTTTGAGGGTAGTGTTTTGCTTTTCACGACAGGATCCCACTATAGTTTAGGCTGACCATGAATTCACTATAAAGCTCAGGCTGGCTTCAAGTTTGTGGTAATCTTCCTGCCTCAGCCTCCCAAATGTTGGGATTACAGGTGTGTACCACCAAGCCTAGTTTGAGATTTTTGTCTCTATGACTGTAAACATTTCAGACTCACATCCTCATTCAGGTGGTCAGCCAATGAATGGTCAAGCAGCAGAAGCCTGTGAAAGAAGTCTAGGCCTGAGGGAGCTGGCCCTTGGGGAGATTTTGACTCCTCTAGGTCACTCCACCCAGAGGGTCTCAGAGGCATCCCCGGCCAGACATCCACACTCAGCTCAGGGTCCTGCAGCCTGAAAAGGATGAGATGACAAGTCAGATTCACTCATGGCCTCATGCACCTGCTTGAGAAGTTCCTCAGGAGCTTAGGGCACAGGAGGATCAGCCACTGGCTAGAATTCCTGGGATCCAGAAACCACACACATCACAGTTGGAAAATCTGAGCACAGTTATAGGAGGGGCTAGGAATGGGGACTGCAGGAGGAAGAGAAAGGCCTGAAAACTCCAGATTGGGAACCAAGTTAGCCTGGAGACTTTGGACACTGGACTAAGAATAAGGAATTTAAGAGCCTGGGGGTTTGGAGCAGGAGAGGCCTCCTCCAGAGGCAGGAAGTTTACTGAGTAGTTGGTTCTGAAGAATCATAATTTAGGGCTCTTATTTTAAAAAGCCTGCAGTGGGCATCTGATCTAAGCACTGATCAGACTTGGGAATACGGTGTTTGTAGATAGGGGAGGGTTTAGTACCTGTGTGTGAGGTTGTCTCCAGATGGGGGTGCAAGACGACCAGTTGGAAGCCCATGGTGTCCCAAGCGAATTCCCTGAACTCGGCCCAGCCCCAAGCTGTGGAGGAGCCGGGCCAGGCCTTTTGCAGTCAGGGTCCCATTCTCTCCATACAGGCCAAACAGCTGTGCCAGGTAATGGCTCTGCTCCTGCTCAGCAGGGCCCAGGTTGGGGACTGAGCCCCCTACCCAGCCCAAGACCACCCCTACACACAGACCAACCAGCATATGCCATACTAGGGATCTCATCCTGAGGGGACAAGAGGTTAGAGGCTTTGGTTCTGGGTTTTATTCCTCCTGGAACATCCTGAGGACTGGGCCCTAGAAGAATAAGGAGGAGTGGGTCAGGGCCACTGCTTGGCACTCTAGCCCAAGACAGGGGAGAACCTTCACTCCCTGCACCTGCTTCCTCCTGAGTCCAGCAGCAGCCCCTGCTCCTGCCTCCAGCCTCCTGCCTGCTGGCTCCTCTGGAGTAGCCTCTTGTTTACCAGTCCTTGAGCACCTTTCTCACCCAGAGCCTGCCCAAGCTGAGCTGACTATCCATCTTCGGTCCCCAGACTCCACCCCTCAACCTTTCCCCATCTCCCTATCCCCCCTCATTTCTCGGTCTCACCCTTCCTGGCAACATGAGAATTGTTATTACTTCAGGTCCCAAGCAGGCCTCACTGTGGATATTAAAAGGTTCCTGAGGCAGGGAGGGAGAACTTAGCCAAGCTTCCAGGAGCAATGGAGGCCACGTCAGTGAACTGATGGGCAGACTCCCCTTTCTAGCCCACCTGCTTGGGGCGGGGCCAGGGGTGGGGCTAGTGTGGGAAGGTTCATAGGAGAGAAGAGTTAATGGTTCACTGGTCTCTAGGGTGGTGTCAAAGGTCGGTGTATGCTGGGTCCCCTAACAGGGAGGGGTCACCTGCCTTGAGAAAAACACATATCTAAGAACCTGTGCCCAGTTTTTTTCCACTTAAATAATTTTTTTAGCCCACCGGGTGTGTTGGCACACACCTGTAATCCCAGCACTTAGGAGGGTGAAGCAGGTAGACTGCCTGTGAGTTCCAGACCAGCCTGGGCTACATAGTGAATTCAAGGACAGCCCAAACTACACAGTGAAACTCTATCTCAAAAAAATAAATAAAAACAGAAAATTCTTTCTAGTCATAACTCAGCACCACTATATATATACCCCTTATGGGCTGGGGATTTAGCTCAGCAGCATAGCACCTGCCTGGCAAGCGCATGGTCATGGGTTCAATCCCCAGTACCAATTTAAAAAAAAAAAAAAAAGATTTGGAACTTACATATATACCCCTTGCCCCATATACCTTACCTCTGGTATTGAGCTTCCTGTCTGCAACCCCATGTTCCCTAGGAAAGTTGGACCTATGAGCCCCTAAGCCAGGAAAGGCAGACAAGTAGAAACTCAACATGCATGAGTGAGGAAGAAACTATTTTTAGCAATTGAATTCTCCACCCAGGAAGCAAAAGAGCCAATACTCTTCAGACTCATGGGAATGGTGAGCAAGAAAGGGGAAGCCCTCTTGGAGAGGGAGCCCCTCTCTTGATACCTGATCTGGCTTAAGGTAAGTAGAGCAAAGTCTGGCTGGGCCAATTGGTCCAGGGGGTTGAGGCTCCCATTACCTGACAGCAGGAGACGGGAAGGACACCTAGAGGAATGGGGACCCAGCCTTCTTGTGGTAGCAGGTGGGCAAGGGTCACCTGCAGGGAGGAAGCATGGGAGGGGAGCTCCCTTAAAGGGGCAGGACTGCTTAGCCTAGGTCCTTGCCTGTAACCTATCTATCTCCCAGGGACACCATGCCTAGAGGGTCTCTTGCAGGGACACCACACCTTCCTAAATGCCTGGCTGCTAACCTCTCCCATTTCTCACAAACAGCAACAGTCCGGTGCAGAGTGGAAACATTTATTAGGAGGGATTTCATTTAGACTCTCACATCACACACATGACAAGTAGACTGTAACTGTGTTTCTAAAGAGAAAGAAGGGCTGGCAGAGGGCCTGAATCCTAGGGACAAACAGCTCCAGCTGGACAAGTGAAGTATAGACTGAGGGTGGATAAGGCCACTGCTTGCTACCCCTCTAGGAAGTTTAGTGGCTAAAATACTGCTACCCCAACACCGATTCCAAAGCTAGCAAGCAGCCCAGGGGAAGACTGATTCGCCAGCAGAGACACCTGGGCTGAGGTTGGTGGCAGGTGAGGGGAGAGTGTCTTGCTATCTCTTGCTGCTTCTGCGGGTTTCTTTGCCGTTACTGACAGGGTTGCTGGAGGAGCCAGGAGGACCAGCTGCTGTGTGGTTAGGCTGGCTTCGAGTGATCCGGGTGCTGGGCGGGTGGGAGGGAGTGTGAGGGGGATGTGAGCCACCACCAGGACCTGGCGGGGTGCTCAGTCCATTCCCATTCTGGCTCTCAGAAGCTGGCAGTAGGAGAAACAGAGTTAGATACTTCTGGTATGATAAGGTTCCCCGAGGCCCACCCCCACACCCCAAAGAGTGACACAGTCTTTGATGTGCACAACTGCACACTAAGGGCAACTGGACCAAATGATGTGGGTTGTGAGTATGAATAGGGGCTCAGAGAAAATTTGATCATTTTGGAAATGGCTGTGTGAACCCTAGTAAGCAATTTTTCCCTTATTCATTTTTGTATCACTGAGAGAAGAATTAGCTGTTTAGTTCAAAACTCAAGGACCTCTTACAAAATGTGCCCTGACCAAGGTGACTGTAAAACTGGAGGAGTATGAGAATGGAAAAAGCTTTAAGTTAATGTGTTTAAAGGTAAAAGGGTAGGTGTTGTTCAGTGAAAGTGTGTGGCCTCGCTTATGTGAAGCTCTGGGTTCAACTTAAAATAAATACATAAATAAATAGGGCAAGGTGGCACACATCTGTAATCCCAGCATTCAGGAGGCTGAGGCAGGAGGATTACCATGAGTTTGAAGCCCACTTGGGCTAGATAAGTAAGTTCATAGCCAGTCTATGTTATATAGTAAGCCCATCTCAAAAAACAAAAAACAACACCCCAATAAACCCCCCAAAACAAACAAAATAATTAAGTGGGAGTTTAAACCATTTTAAGCCATGTGTGGTGGCTCACACCTGTAATCCCAGCACTTAGGAAGTGAGGCAGGAGGATTGTTGCAAGTTTGAGACCAGCCTAGGCTACAAAGTGAGCTCAAGACCAGCCTGAACTGCACAGTGAGACCCTGTCTCAAAAAGACAAAAATAAATAAATAAATAAATTTAAAATATATACTCATTTTAGAAAATGTAGCCAGGGGCCAGGGATATAGCTCAGTGGCATAGCACCTGCCCGCTCATGAAGTGCATGAGATTATGAATTTAATCCCTGGTTAAAAAAAAAAAAAGAAAAGAGAAAAAAAAACGGCTGGGTATGATGGTACAAATCTGTAATCCCAGCACTAGGAAGCTGAGCCAGGAGGATTGCTGTGAGTTTCAGGCCAGCCTGGGTTACATAAGTGAATTCAAGGCCAGCCTGTACTAAATAATGAGACCCTGCCTCAAAAAATAAAATAAGGTCTGGGGATGCAGCTCAGTGGTACAACACTTGCCTAGCATGCACAAGGCCTTGAGTTCAATTTCCAGTACTATATGCACACAAAAAAATAAATAAATATAGTATCAGGGATATAGCTCAGCAGCACTGTTTGGTAAGTGCAAGTTTGTAAGTTTGATTCCCAGTACAATAAATACATACATAAATAAGATAAACATAAGCAAAAACTCATTACAGTTGTTATCTCCAAAACATAATAATAAGTCACATTTAATTAATTAATTAATTACAGTGCCAGGATAGAGATGTAGTGACACATGCTTGCTGGGTAAGCACTACCTCTAAGCTCCAGTTGCCTGTACACAGTTTAAGAGCTAGATTGGAACCAGGCAAGTGAGGTGACTTCTCTGAGCTCCTAGAACTGTGCACCTTACTATCACTGTGCCTAACATAGTGCATTATAATCAGTGTCTGTACATCTGTCTCTTGCATAGACTATAACCCCCTAAAGGCAGGTGCTGTGATTTGTTTTTTGGCACCCAGTAGTTGCTTAATAAATGCTTGTAAATGAAAGCAGAGCCCTGCCTCTCACAAACACAGAGAAACACATAGTGTATAGTTTGTGTGTTAGTGCAAACTTTGTCTCTGCTGGACCTTGCTGCTTGACCAGATTAAGATATCAGTAGCCTGAACTGAAGACTAATGTCTTTTTTTTTTTCAATTCACAGAAGATGCTGAATATGCAGAAGTTAATTTTAAATTTCTATGCCATCCATGTTTTTTACTGAACTTTTTTTCTTTTGATACCAGGAATTGAACTTAGAACCTTGTGCTTGCCAAGTAGTCACTGTGCCACTGAGCTGTATCTTCAGCACTTTATTAGTTTTTCTAGCTAGGCATGGTGGCATATGCCTATAATCTCAGCACTTGGAAGGCAGAGGCAGGAGGATCACCAGGAGTTCAAAGCCAGTCTAGGCAACAACACAGTAATTCAATACTCAATACCAGTCTGAACTACATAGTCACACTGTGTCTCAAAAACAAAACAAACAAGGCCAGTGATATAATTCAGCAGCATAAGCAACTGCCTCAGAAACTCAAAGTCCTGAGTTCAATCCCTGGTATAACAAATAAATAAATAAATAAATAAATTTTTTTTTAAAAAGTAAAAAAATTTCTACCTGCTAGCAGATAGAAAGTGAATAAACAGATAGCAAATGAATTTTAGGAACAAACAGGTTTAGATTTACATTATTAAAAATATTTTTGTTGAGGCTGGAGGATTCTAAGTTCGAGCCCAGCCTGGAGAACTCAGTGACTTAGTAAGACCCAACCTCAAAATAAAGAAAGGCTGACAATATAGTTCAGGGTGACAAGCCTGGATTTAGTCCCCAGTAGTATGAAAGTTAACTAATTAATTAAAAATTTAAAAATAATTTTTAAATTATTATTCTTCCCCCAGAAATTGTAAATGATGGAGTCATTGATACCTAAAAATATACAACACTCACATTTCTTTTGTTTTGCACTTTTCCTTTTTTTTTTTTTTTTTTTTTTTTGGTGCTAGGACTGAATTCAGGACCTTTCCACTGAGCTACAGTCATACTTTCTTTTGGAAATATACACGTTAATTCTTGTGGTGGAATAAAATGTTAGTTTGTGGCTATATTATCAGGGTTCTCTACAGAGTCAGGAGCAATAGGCTAGGGATATAGCTCAGTGGCATAGTGCCTGCCTGGCCAGTACAAGGTCCTGAGTTTGATTTCCAGTACCAAAAAAAAAAAAAAAAGAAAAGAAAAGAAACAATAGGAGGTGCATACACTCATACACTGTATAACATTTTAGTCAGCAATGGACCACATATATGATGATAGTTCTATGTAATACAGTTAAAAAAAAAAAGTCCCAGTCAAGTGACATCATAGCCATGGTAATGTAGCACAATACATCACTAACATGTTTGTTGTGGGGCTGGGGATTTAGCTCAGTGGCATAAGTGCCTACCTGACAAGCAGTACAAAAACAAAAAACAAAATAGGTTACATGTTTGTTGTGACACTAGTGTAAACTTACTGAGTTGCCAGTGTATAAAAGTACAGTATATATAATTGTGTACAGTACATTATACTTAATAACAAATGACTGTCACTGGGTTATGTATTTACTATTCTGTGCTTTTCACTGTTATTTCAGAGTGTACTCTTTTGACTCATAAAAAAGTTAACCATGAATAGGACCAGGCCCAGGTCCTTCAGGAGATGTTCCAGAAGAGGATACAGTTACATGAGATAATGTCTCCCTGTGTGTTACTGTCCCAAGGCCTTCCAGTGGGACAAGATGTGGAGACAGAAAACAGGGATGCTGATGACCCTGCGCCTGTGGAAGCCTAGGCTAATATGTGTCTGTGTCTTAGGTTTTATTTTTTCTTTTTCACTTTTGTACTGGGGATTGAACCCAGGGCCCTAGCTATATCCCTAACCCTTTTTTGTATTTTATTTTGAGGCAGAATCTTGCTAAGTTGCCAAGTTGTCCAAGGTGGCCTCAAGTTTGGGATCCATCTACCTTAGCCTCCCAGTGTTGGGATTACAGACCTTGGCTATATCTTGGTTTGTAATGTGAAGGTTTTTTTGTTTTTTTAAAGGATAAGAAACAGGAAGGAAGGCACACTGTGGAGTGGAGATGCAGAGGGGAAGAAGTAGATGTAGGGACAGGGATAATGAGAGGGAGGGGAGTTGAAGGGCAGTAGGGTTATAATATGATATGTACTTGTACCAATTCCCCATTATGTCACAAACATGCACTAACTTAAGAAAATAAAAATAGGTTATATCATAGCATAGGCATGTAGCAGGCTACACCACCATCCAATGTTGTGTAAATACACTCTATGATTTTCACACCATGAAGAAATCACCTAATGACACGTTTCTCAGAATGTCTTTTCATCAAGGATGCATTACTATGTATATTTATACCTATCAATTTAATATAAAATGGGATTTGTTATAAGGAATTTACAAAAATACTACTTTTTTAAAAATTAATTTTTTTCAGTGCTGGTGTATAAACCAAGGGTCTTCACACTGAGCTACGTCTACATCTCATCCCATTTTTATCAGGAATTTACAAAAATATTTTTAAGATGCATGTAAGCCTATTTGGCTGAATTTTCCATATGTAGACAAATTGTTCTCTTTTTTGATGTGAGTGATAGTGACACAAAGATACTGGACTTAAACAAATTTTCAGATCTTTTCACCACCCCTTGCAATCCCAGCACTTGGCTGAGGCAGGAGGATCAACACAGGTCATGGCCAGCGTGGGCTACACTGTAAGACCCTATCTCAAAACAAACCCCAAAACAAAAACAAAAACTTCCCCCAAAACCTGTTTCCTCACAGAACTTACAAAAGGTGTAAAAAAATGAGCTTACTGAGAAAACTACTGGATAGAGAAGGACATACTGAGGAAACAGAGGCTTGGAAAAAACATAATGAAAATGCATCTTTCAAGTTGAGGACAATAAAGAACTTAGAGATCAAGGAGGGCCTGGGATTTAGCTCAGTGGCCGGAGTAAGTGCCTGCTTGGCAAACATGTGGTCCTGTGTTCCATCTCTGGTACCAAAGGAAAAAAAAAAAAAAGAGAGAGAGACCAAGGTATGGATGGGAACAGATTTACCTGGAGAGACTGCAGAGGATCCAGTGGCAGCCTGTGTAGCTGTAGGGCTGCTGTCGTTCTGCCCCTGAAGGCACAAGTACATGCTTAGACCCTGCTGACTATCATGCTTGTTGACTTGATCTACCCCCTTCCCCACAATCAGATAACTAAACTCACAGCTTTGTTGGGTGCCTGCTGAGTGCTGTACTCTGGGTTGGGCTCACTGAAGTTAGGAACCTCAGAATAAACCATGCAGAATCTGCAAAGGGAGAAAATAGCCAAAGCATGGAACCCACCCTCTAGGCCACTGCTGAAGGCCTCAGGAAAGCCCAGATGTAGGGTGTGGAGTGCATACTATTAGGCTTCCTCACAAGCCTCAACTATCTCCCCTTGGGGTGTGACTGCTTCATCTCTATCCTCAAAACAGCACTTACTCTCCAATCTTCTGCAGATCACCCCCACGGCCAGTGTACAGTGTCAGACAACCTTTGAATACTGACGCATACCTGTAGGGCAAGAAAGCAAGATTGAATCCTCAGGAGAGTTACAGAACTCCTAACCCTATCCCTCTTGACGGCATCCAACGCCTGACCCTTTGGTGAGTCGGATAATATCCCCAGGTTGGATTAGGTTGCCCACGTCGTCCCAGACAGAGATATTGATGCTGCCTGTTTTGTCAGCCACTTTGCAGGTCCGCACCTCGTGCCCGTCCTTTGTCTTGGTCACTCGGCCTGGAATGGGAAGATGGTCAGACAAATAGTGGTGGGGGCTATCAGTAATATGATATCTGGGTATTGGTGGGGTTAGGTGAAAACTGTATGCCCAACCCGTGGGGCAGGTGGGGGTGGAGGTGTATGTGTATGTAGAGTGGAGGGGCCAGCACCATGGAGAGGGCCTCGAGTGGAAAGAGGCTTGAGTGGCACTGGAGGCATCTTTCTGCCAAGAGTTACATCTATCCTCTACCCGACTGCACGCCCCGGTACCGGTGCAGGTGTCTAAGACAGACGGGGAGTAAACAGTGTCTTGGGGCACACCCTGCCATCAAGTGAAGAATGCAATAGTTATTCTCCCCCTCCCCACCCACTCTACAACACATCGCGGGAACAAGCCGCCCCAGCATAATCACCTGTCTCCAGCACAATGAAGATGAGATTCAGATTCTTCAGTCCGGGCTTGATATCCTTCACGAAGGTTTCCGTAGTCATGCTGCCCGAGCCTCGGTACCCCACTGGAAGGGGGAACAGGAGATGTAGGCTCAACGCTGGCAGCCTTTGCTCCCATTCTCCACTTCCCAAGGCCTACCTACCACACCAAGCTAGGATCAAGCAGCCTCAGCCCCTTTAGCCTTATAGAAGGTTAGAAGCGAACTTCCCTGGGGGCCTCGAACTTCCAAGATTAGCATGTGGGGGTCTCCGCATGCGATGCTTCCGGGCTGGAAGGCCCCCTGTCGGGATGCTCTTTCAGTCTCGCGCTCCTAAGTAGGGAGCGGACAGAGACAAGGGTGGAGAATCCGGTGCAGAGCCAAGGAATGGAATCTTACTCGCCAGACCTTCCCGAACCCTCATCCGAACGACCCGAGGCTTGCTCCATCTCCACCCCCACCCACAGACCACCACCCACCCAGTTAGCTGGCCGGACTGTGCACGCCGCTGAGCCGCCCGCAGGGGGAGCCACAGGCCCTGCTGCCACCGGATGTTGCCGGGTGGAACCCCAGTGTGCGCACGTTCGCCGGAAGTTTCCCTCGTGCTCTCTTCCGACCAATCAGAATTATCCGAGCGAGCGCAGAGTCCCGCCGCCGGCCTTTCGTCCAGCCAATTGGATTTCACGAGCCGCGATAGGGCGGATATCCGATATTAAAGGAGCCAGGGAGATGTTTGGCTCCGCGAGGGGAGATATGGACCACCAGGGGGCGCCTCAGTCCCCAACTTGTTTTTTTTACTGTCCTAGGAGAATGTATTTAGGCTGTGGTTTTCTCTCCAAGTAGTGACAAAATGGGAAAGGACCAAGGGCTTTGGAACCTAGAGAACAGGTTAGGATTCTAGCTTAGCACTTCACTTTCTTTCTAACAATTCTCAAAGATGGAATTCTATTTTATAGATGAAAAAAGAAGTTAAATAGACAGTAGCACACGCCTGTAATCCTAGCACTTGGAGGGCTTGGGGAGAATTGCCACAAGTTTGAGGCCACCCTGGGCTACACAGTGAGTTCAAGGCCAACCTGAACTATACAGGGATGCTTAATCTTTAAAATTTTATAAATCGGTACCGGGGATCAAACTCACGACCACACGCTTACAAGGTAGGCACTTATGCCACTGAACTAAATCCCCAGCCCTGATCTTTAATCTAAAAAAAAAAAAAAAAAAAAAAAAAAAACAACTGCACACACACAAAACATACTTTATGGCCAGGGATATAGCTCAGTGCCTGTCACAAGCATGAGTTCATGAGTTAAGAGTCCACATCCTCCTGTACCAAAAACAACGCAAAACTTATTTCATATAGAGAAGCAATGCCTAGGGGGCAGCAGGCACTTGTGAATATCAATTTCTTCTTTTCCAAGCCTTATCTTTTTTTTTTTTTTTTTTTTTTTTTTGGTCTTTTTCGTTTTTATCGGTACCAGGGATCGAACTCACGACCGCACACTTGCAAGGAAAGCGCTTATGCCCAATCCCCAGCCCCTCCAAGCCTTATCTTTATTCCTGACTTGGGGTCTTTATCTTTAATGCACTACTCAGTTGGGTCATGGCTTCCGGGACAAATAGCATTCACACTAGACAGACAATAGGCAGACTCAACCCTCTTTGGCAGACTGGATGGAACACAAGACATAAAGGGCACTTATTTATTTCTCTCATTAATTTGTAAGGCATCTACTCTACTGCTCTTATTTTACGTCTTAGAATCCCCTCAATGGACGAAAGATAGACTGGAACATTTAATGGCCTTGGGCACCTGTCAGATTGTCAACAAAAGGCAGCTAGCTCCGTACTATTATATATAAATCAATTACATAAAGATATATTAATGTGCATTACAATTTGCTTAGTGAATATCCGTAACAAATACTATTTAATGACAGATTAGCCTAAGAGATCATGTAATTGCAATGCCTTGGCTTGCTTAATCCCTTATCTTCTCACAGCGTGCTTTAGACTCCACCATGACTTCCCTCGGAACCCAGGTTTTCTCTCCCGCCCACATTCCCAACCACGACGCTGCCACCTACGCAAATTAAAACCAGGGCATTTCTCTCCCTTCTTTCCACTTAGGGTCTCAGGGGACTCTACTACATTTGAAGAATGAGGTGGATACGGCAGAAGCGTGGCTAGACAGGCGGCCTTGAAGCTTTGAGGTGAGATACTCCTCCTCTCTCTACCCCGCTGCCTCCTTGTTAACTGCAGTATTCATTCCCATGACAGTGAGTCACAGGGTCGGTCGGGAGGCTCTAGAAACTAAGAGGGGCAGCGAGGATGGCAAGTCCACTGCAAGTTAGCTGTCCCTGGACGATCTCACACTGCGCACCAGCTCTACAACACAAGACTCGTGAGCCCCTTCAAAGCAAAGAATCGCCTTCCAGGGTGGTCAACTCGAGGCTCGCCCCGCTCATTTACGCCGTAAAGAACATAGAGTAGTTCCTCCCAAACGGCTAGAGTCCCGACTGGGACCATAAGGACTTCCGGTGTAGAGCAGAGGCCCGGCTAGCCGTAGGAGCTCCTGGGCCGCAGCCCACTGCTTCTAGTCTACAGGCGTAAAGAGGCGGGCTTGGTGACTGGCTTCCGCTGGGTTGCGAAGCAGCAGTGGGCGGGGCAAAGGATCTGTCTGAGACGGCGAGGAGTGATTGGAACCTTCTTACCCCTCCCTCCTCTTCCCCTTGCCTTCCCGGGAAAGGCTGGGACCCGGCCTCGGGCTGTTCGGTGGCCGTTGCGGCCTCAGCTCCAACCCAGCCCTGGTACAGGAGTCTTGATAGCGTCCAGGGCGGTGCGTACTGCTCTTGCGTGAGCTTCCACCTAACCTAGGCGGGGCTGGGGGCGAGGTCCCAGGGGAATTGGGCGAGGGTTCGTGATACAGGGGTTCGGAGAAGGGGTGGAGTACAGATGAAAAATGGAGTAAGGGAGCAGCGCTGGGGAGGACTTGGGAGATGAGAAGGGCGCCCTAGAGGCTGGGTTGTTGGGGAAGGTCCACAGGGTTGGGGGAGCCTTGAGAAGTACTGAAGGGGGCCTTGTGCCGGCCGAAGGCCAGCGAGTAGTGGACTGGGGTGGTGTTGAGGGGGGACAACGTGCTGTTTAAATGGGCAGTGATTGACGGGCCTGGAAGGGAGGAAGGGAACATTCCGGGGAACCTGAACCTCCGCCCTCGAAACGCCATACCTTGGCTCCTCTCCCATGCCTTGTCTTTGGCAGCCTTGTCATACTCTTTAATTCGTCCCCCTCTCTTCCCCTCCCACCTCTCCGTGAAGGAATCTCACATTCTTTACATCCTTGTCCTTGGGTTACAGCCCGGCCCTCACGCGCACTTCACACACGGGAAAGCCAGCTCCAAACTGGGACGCAGGGAAATTGCGAATGGGGAGAGGGCGGAGGAGCCCGAAGTGCAAGAGGGGTGAGAGCGTTTTGACTGGAGAATTGGCAGACACCTTTCCTATTAAGCATCTGACTTCATTTCACCTATAAGCAAACGTGGCTCATCCTGAGGCCACTGCTCTGGGTCCTGATCTGTGATAGTCTTATCCCTTCCTATATAGTGACAAAAAGGCAAGAAGCTGATAGCATTGTTGGCTGCTAGTCTTTCGCCTACCCCGGAATGGCCGGGCTGGGGTAGGAATGTGATGCAAGAGTGCTACTGCCCTGTGTCCAGTCGCCTTTGTGGCCCTGCCTGGTTTCCAGTCGTTGAAAAGAAGGAACATGTGTGTTTTCAAACATTTCCTTTGTCATGAGTTAAAGGGTGAAGGAAATGGGGAGATGTCGCTCAAAGATTACAAGCTTTGAGCTATAAGATACATTCTGAGGACTGAATATGAAGCGTGGTGATTATATTTAATATTATATTGTTTACTTGTTTGCTGAGTAAGTCATAAGTCTTTGTACACATACACACAGTTGACAACATGGGTGAATGTGCTAGTTACTAGTGGTAATCATTTGATGTTTTAGGAATCAAAACAGCACCTTATACATTTCATGTATATATAAAAATATATAGTTATACCTTAAAATTAGTAAAGATACAAAGAAATTTCCTCCAGTTCTCTGAATTTACAGAATTTTGCTATTCTATTGCTAAAAGTAGTACTTTGCCTGAGGATAACAGTATCAAGTATGCTTTTGTATTATCTCATTTGATTTGCAGGACAATGAATAGGGTAGATAAAGCAAGTATCATTTTCTGTACTTGATAGTTGAAGAAACTGAAAACTATACAAAAGTCACATGGCTTGCTTATTTACTTATTTAAACATCTTTATTAGTATATGTTTGTGATACATAATGAATATATTCATCATGAAATATTGGTACATACATATATCACGTTGATCAATTTTACTTCTTCCCCTCCTTTTTTCTTTTTTGTTTTGTTTTGTTTTGTTTTGTTTTTGAGGACCAGGGATTTAGCTCAGCAGCCTAAGTGTCTGCCTGGCAAGCATGAGGTCATGAGTTCAATCCCCAGCACCCTAAAAAAAAAAAAAGTTTTGTTTTTGAGACACCATCTTGTCATGCAATTCAGGCTGGCCTTGAAGTTACCATGTGGCACAGGTTGGCCTCAAACTCAGTGATCCTTCTGTCTGAGCTTCCTGAGTATTAGGATTATATGCACCATCCTTTCTTGTCTTCCCCTAGCCTCAGATTTCCTTCCCATCTCCAGAAACTCTTATTTCTCTATTTAATTTAATGTATTTTATTTTAAATTTTGAAACAGGATCTTCCTAAGTTGCTCAGTTGCCTGGGCTTGGCTCAAACTTGTGATCTTCATTCCTCAGACTGCTGGGATCACAGTTGTGTGACTATATGGCTTGTTTAAAGTTGTCTAGTTGGTTGGTGGTCTAGTTGGATGAACTAGAATCCAAGTTTTCTGACTTCTGTTCTTGGCCCAGTCAAAAAATGTATTTTATTTTAGCCAAGGGGACACTGAAGTTGGATTGGTTTCCCAGTGTGGGCTGCTGTTTGTTTTTTGAGACTGGAGACTGAGCATAGCCAAAAGCATTTTTTTTTTTATTGGTACCGGGGATCGAACTCACGATCCCCCTGCTTACAAGGCAGGTGCTTATGCCGCTGAGCTAAATACCCAGCCCCTAAAAGCATTTCTTGAGGTATAGTTGTATATACAAGCATGCTGAAAAAGGGGATATTGTCCAAAAGAACAAGGCGTTACCTTCTTTCTTACTTTTATCTTTTTGAGACAGGGTCTCTCTGTGCAGTTCAGGCTGGCCTTGAGTGAGCTAGGCTGGTCTCAAACTTGCAATGATCCTTCTGATCCTCCTGCCTCAACTTCCCAAGTGCTGGGATTACCCAGGCATGAGCTACCACACCTGGCCATAAATATTTTTTCTTTTTTTTATCCTATTGAGTAGACACATCATTCCGGCACTGCCCCCATATACCGCAGGGAAGAGAAAATGTGCCTGTCACTTGTTTCTTATTAATATAAAAAATACATTCTAAACATACCGTGTCTGGTAAACATAGTATATTAATGAGCATATGTACTCGATTCAGAAGATAAAGTGATCTTTGTTTTTGTTTGTTTGTGGGGGTTTTTTTTGCTTTTTTTTTTTTTTTTTTTTTTTTTTTTGAGACAAGGTCTTGTTATGTAGTTCAGGCTGGCCTTGGGCTCACTTTATAGCCCAGGCTGGTCTTGAATTTGCAACAATCCTACTGCCTCACCTCCCAAGTGCTGGGATTGCAGGCATGCTGGTCTTTCTATTATGTATAAAAATCATCATTATTATCCTGACACAGTTCTTAAATATTGATAGACCTGTCCTGGCAAGGAAAGGAGAATAGTTGCTGTTCTCCTGTGCATTGTTGAATAGCTCTCACAGCACCGTTTATCTGAAGCCTTCTCTTCCTTGCTTGGTTGCAGCCTAGCAGTGGTAAGAATCTAGTCAGCCCAATCTTACTGGTCTTTAGCCACCCAGGTTGCCTGGGATAATCTCCTCCTTGACTCTTTTTTTTTTTTTTTTTTTTTTTTTAGCCTTGTCCCCTGAAGAGTATTTCCTGAATTGGGAAGTAGAATTGTATCTTTGACAACATTTGTGACCATCTCCATAAAAATAATATTTTCACTGAGCATGGTGGTGCATGATTATAACTCTAGTACTTGGGAGCCTGAGGCAAGAGGATCACCTTGAGTTCGAGATCAGCCTGGGCTACATGATGAGTTCAAAGCTAGCCTAAACTACAAAGTGAGACCCTGTCTCAAAAAAAAAAAAAAAAAAACAAGATGCTGCTCCAATTTTCTGTTGGAGTATATGCATGACTGAAATTCTTTTTACATGAAACAATTTGTGAAAACAATTGGAAACGTTAATACATTCTACTACAGGTATAAGTTGTTATTAATCTATGTTATGCATTTGAAATGATTTACATTACTTGTAATTTGTGCTGAATAAAAGTGTTTTTCTAGCCAGGTGTGGTGGCTCACACCTGCAATCCTAGCACTGGGGAGGGTAAGGCAGGAAGATTGACATGAGTTCGAGGCCAGTGGTGGCTACATAGTGAGTCCAGAGTCAGCCTGGACTACATAGTAAGCTCTTTTGTCAAACAAAGTAAAACAAATTTTTAAAAAAATATTCCAACAGCTTTTTACTCAACTTCGTCCTTTTCTTCCCTCTTCCATCTGTGTTTTTGTTTGCTTGAGATAGGTTCTCTTATGCAGTTTCAGGATGGCCTTGAATCCAGTGTGTAGCCTAGGCTAGCCATGAACTCATCATGGCACTTCTTCTGCCTCGGCCTATGGAGTGCTGGGACCACAGGCTTGAGCCACCATGCCCAGCCTCCTGTTGTGTTTGAATCTCCCAGGCCATGAATGTGATCCCTTAGCAATCTCTCTCTTTTGAGGAAGGTCCTGCATGTTCACCCTGAAAGCTGAAAGCCCTTGCAGGAGTTGTCTAATCCTCAATGGCCTCTGGCCAGATCTAAGTCTTTCTAATCTTACTGCCAAGTGGAGGTAGTGCCTCTGACTCACTCTTCTTTTCCATGTTCCTATTAATAGTGTGCGTCTGACTGTGACAGCACATCCCTTCCTTGGTGATGGAACTTGTCACTGGGGAGGAGGACGAAGTCGGAGAGTAGCCAGCAAGATGGGTTTCTCAGACAAGTGCCTGAGTGGGACTGAGTGGAAGCATCAGGGGCGTGGAGCCTTGTGAACAGGGAATCTACCCCCCAACATTTGGAAGGTAAGCACTTTGACTTGGAATAAGGCTCTAGGCTTTGCCTCTTTTCTTTGCCAGTTGAAAACCAAATTTCTTTTTCTTTCTGCCTTTGAAAACCAGATTTCTTTCTTTCTTTTTTTTTTTTTTTTTTTTTTGTCTTTTTGAGACAGGGTTTCACTATGCAGTTCAGGCTGGCCTTGGGCTCACTTTATAACCCAGGCTGGTCTTAAACTTGCAAAGATCCACCTACCCCTATGGGAGTGTGCCACCATACCCAGCTCAAAACCAGATTTCTAAAACGTCTTCCTACAGAAAACCACCTGCAATTGACTCACATCCTCTGGTTCTTTTTTGCATATTCATGTCTCATATGAATTGTTAACTTGTTGGTAATTGGTTAGTTTTTTGTCTTTTTGTGTGTGCATGTCTGTTTTCTTTTTGAGATAAAGTCTCACAATGTTGTTCAGGCTGGCCTTGAATGCTTAGGGATCCTCCTGCCTCAGCCTCCCAAGTGCCAGGTTGACAGGCGTGTGCCACCATGCCCAACTAGTTTTATGTCTTTTTATGTTTTTTTATCCTGTATACTCAGTGAACTTATTGCTATGCCTTAGTCTGAGGATAAGGGTTCTGTTTCTCTTCTACATGACTCAATTGGCAAGAAGTTTGTCTGTGTGGGGAAAAGGTGAGATTTGGGATAACTAACAACACAAATAGTTCTCGGTTCTGGTAACCAAGTAAGTGGGAGGTCTCTGCTTTGCCATTAAAGGCTGGCAGACCTACTTTGGGCACTGGATGGGATCTTTCTCTTCTTCTTCTTCTTTCTTCTTTCTTCTTCAGCTAAATAAAAGACCTCTTCCTTTCACCTACAAAGTCAGGAGTTGCCTAAAGAGAGCAAGGTTGGTTGGTGATAAAGCCAAGACCCCCATTTAAAGCAACTACTGTAACTCCTAATTTACCTGTTCTTCTTTTATCTTCTCATAGCACTTACAGAGCATCTTAGGACTGACATAGTTAGGATGCCTCATGTCATAGACAGTAAGGGGACTGAAGCTCAGAGAGAGGTTAAGTAACCTGCTTAAGATCACCTTTGGTGAATGATGGAGCTGGAACTAGGACTCAGATTTGGTTTTTGACTATTTTGGTGGGGTTGGGAGAGGGGCAAGGTCTCTTATGTTGCCCACTTTAATTTCCAGCTCCTGGACTAATGTGATCCTGCTGCCTCAGCCTCTCAAAGGCTCTCAATACCTTTTCTGGCCAAGTTTAATGAACTTAAAATGGAACTGAGATTTTGTTTTTTTCTGTGGTACTCAAATTGAACCTAGAACATTGAGCATGCTAGGCCAGCCCTCTATCACTGAGCTTTATCCTCAACCCTTAACTGACTTTATTTTCTATTCTGTCATCAATCCCTATTTCATTTCATAAAACAGAGTAAGTGTTCCAGTGGGCTGAGCACAAGAGTTGATTGATTGTTTTCTTTATTTGTTTGCATATGGAAATTGAACTCAGGGCCTTTGTACTGAGCTACATTCCCACCCATTTATTGAAATTTTGGGGCAGGGTCTCATTGAGTCACCAGATTGCTTAAGTAGTACTTGAATTTGTCATCTTTCTGCCTCAAGCCTCCTGATGCTGAGATTACAGATCATCTATCTCATTTCTTATCTAGATTGAAATTCCTAGGAGTCATTCGTTTCCTTAAACTGGAACAGGTTATGGGGTTCTTTGTCTATGAGTCTGGTCATTTGTAGTAAGTAATTGAGGCAAGAGAATCTTCAGCCCTCCACACCTTTGTCTTTTGTTGTTGGTTATGTTTTTGTTTTATTTTATTTTTATGTCGCCTAGGCTGACTTTGAACTCACTCCAGTCCTCCTGCCTCAGCCTCCCAAGCACTGGGATTATAGGTGTGCACCACCAAGCCTGGCCTACACCTTTTTTTTTTTTTTTGGTATTGAACTTATGACCTTGGGGCTGGGGATTTAGCTCAGCGGCATAAGCGCCTGCCTTGCAAGCAGGCAGTCGTGAGTTCGATTCCTGATACCGATAAAAATGAAAAAGACAAAAAAAAAAAAAAAAAAGAACTTATGACCTTGTGCTTGCCAGGCAGGTGCTGTGTGGCTGAGCTAAATCCCCGACCCCAGACCTGCACCTTTATTAACTTCAGGTAGAGGGGAGACTACATCACTTATACCTCACTTTTGCACTTACGCTTTTGCCCAGCATTGGTGGCAGCAAGACCGTTTATCCAAAAATATAGATCACAAGTTAAGGAAGCTGCTCTAATTTTACTTTGTGTGGGTGTGTGTGCGTGCATGTGTGCATGTATTTGTGTGTGAATGAGCACAGTTCACACTTTAATGGATGGGGGTTCAAGAAACCCCAAATAGATGAGGATGATTGTTCATTAGTAACAGTCTGTTTTGACCACAACAATAAATTAGAAGGTCATAGAGAGGGGTCTGATAATGCTCTTGGATTCTTAGAATAATGCAGGCCAGGACTGCAGAGAAGGAGACCCTAGTATAACACTGAGGAAGTAACAGTTACTTAGTTTGATTCTGGCCCGAAACATAGACTATGATAGTTTGGATTCAGGATCTGCAAGCCAGAGAGTTTGGGACACCTTAATGCCATTTCTGTCCAGCTTCCCAGCTTGAACAAACTCCTCCAAGACTTTTTTGTATCCTGTACCTAGAGTATCTGGGAAACTGTCCTTCCACTGTCTGTGGTCATTGGCAGGGACTTTGGAATTTTTTTTTTCCAGAACTGAGGATTGACCCAAGGTGTTTGCACTGAGCTACATCCTACCATCACCACCCTCTTTTCTTTTGAGACAGGGTTTTGCTCTTCTATTTAGGCTGATCTTGAATTTACTATGTAATCCAGACTGGGCTCAAACTCATCGCAGTCCTTCTGCCTCAGCCTCCCAAGTACTAGGATTACAGACATGTGCCACCACGCCAGTTATCATACCCCTTTTTTTTAAAAAAAAATTATTCTGAAACAGGTATTGCAAACGTGCTAACAAAAAGTTTAAAATAAATTTAAAAGAATTACTTTGACTTGGGCTTGGTGGCACATGGTTGTAATCCCAGTATTAGTACTTAAAATCTGAGGCATGAGGATTGCCAGAAGTTTAAGGCCAGCCTAGGCTATATAGTGAGTTCAAGGCAGGTCTGCGCTACAAAGCAAGACTCTGTGTTAGAAAAACACAAACAAAAAATTTCTTGAAACAAGGTCTTGCTAAGTTGTCCACACTGTGCTCCTGCCTTAACCTCCTAGGTGCTGGGATTAGAGGTTGTATAACCATGCCTATCACGTGCTGTGATTCTTGAGATCCTTGTAGTTTCAGTTTTATTAAGTCTTCTGCCCCAGAGTGGTAAACAATGGAGTTCTTCTGAAGCATCCCCTTGGAATAACAACTCACCCCTGTGCCGCCTAGAGCAATGTTGAGAGACTCAGAGATTTGAAGAAGAGTTAGGGGAGCCTGGCCTATCAGATTTGGTCTTTGCCTAGAGGCAAAGTAAGGCAGTCTAGTCAGAGAACTGGCTTTTCATGCTGTATGTAACCCTGTCAATATTTGTTTATCATATTCTCAAGGCATAAGGAAGTATTCTAACCATATTAAAAATCTAAAATGACCGTATGACCCTTTTTTTTTTTTTTTTTTTTGAGGTATAGGCATTGAACTTTGGGCCTCGCACATGCTAGGTAAGCACTAACCACTGAACTATACCCTCAACTCATTTACTCTTTATTTTTGCGGTCACAAGAAAGGGTACATAAAGGAAGGAGAATAAAGCACAACTTCCAGGCAGCTAAGGAAAGGAGTTATATTGATTGATTGGTTTTATTGTTTGTTTGTTTTGGAGACAGGGTCTTGGTTTACAGTTCAGGCTGGCCTTGAACTCACTATGTAGCTCAGTCTGGCCTCACAGTGATCTTCCTGCCTCAGACTTAGAAATGCTGGAATACAGACCTGTGCCACCACGTGTGACAGATTCGTTTTTTATTTTTAGTACTGTGGATTGAACTCACGACCTCACACTTGCCAGGCAGGCGCTTATGCTGCCGAGCTAAATCCCCAGCTGTCATCTTTAAAATTTGTTTAAGAGAGGATCTTGCTATGTAGTTCAGGCTGGCCTTGAATTTATTATGCAGCCTAGGTTTCCCTTCAGCAGTCCTGCCTCAGCTTCCCCAGTGCTGGGATTACTGGTATGTATTACCACACCTGGCTGGGAAGGGGTTAGATTCAGAAAGAACTGTGTCAGCTGGATGAGGTAGCACATGCCTTCTACTTGAGAGGTTGAGGTAAGAGGATTGTAAGTTCCTGGCCTGCTTGGGCATCTTAGTGAGACCTATGTCAAAATAAAAAATAAAAGAGCTTCAATGTAACTTATTGGTAGAGTGCATGCCTAGCATGTATACAAGGATCAGGGTTCAATCCCCAATATGACACACACACAAATAAATAAAAGACTCTGGGACTGGTGATGGGAGGCTGAGGTAAGAGAGTCACCATGAGTTTGAGTTCAGCCTGAGCTACATAGTGAGTTTGAATTCTACATAGCTTTACATGGTAATTTTAGCTACTGTGGAGGCTGAGGGAAGAGGATTGAGCATGTGTGGCCAGGCCAAGCAAAATAGTAAAACTCTTAAAAAGTGATGGGGATGTAGCTCAGTAATGGAGTGCCTGCCTAGCATGAACAAGACTTAGGTTTCCATCTCAAGTACTGCAAAAAGAAATAAAATGGAAAGCAGTGTGATGGCACATGCCTGTAATCCCAGCACTTTGTTTTTTTTTTTTTTGTCTTTTTCCTTTTTATCGGTACCAAAGATCAAACTCACGACTGCCTGCTTTCAAGGCAGGCGCTTATGCCGCTGAGCTAAACCCCCAGTCCCAATCCCAGCACTTTGGATGCTGAGCCAGGAGAATCACTGAGTTCTAGGCTATTGTGGGCTCCATAGAGAGATCGTGTCTCAAAAAAGAAACAAAAATAAATACATAAAATGAAAGTACAATGAAGCACAGTACAATCTTTACAATCTTTAGGCCTGTTTTCTATATGCTCTTATAGAATAAGAGAAAAAAAAGTAGCAGTACAATATGCTTATTGCCAGGAATAGCTGATTTTTCTTTTTTCTTTTTTCTTTTCCCTTTTTATCGGTACCAAGGATTAAACTCACAACTGCCTGCTTGCAAGGCAGGCACTTATGCCGCTGAGCTAAATCCCCAGCCCCGAAAAGCTGATTTTTAAAAAAAATCCTGCAGAAATGTATACCTCTAAAATATAATCCTAGAACCCATCTGGGGATGGTGTACACACCTGTATCCTAACACTCTGGGAGATTAAATCAAAAGGATGGCAAATTCAAACCCAGCCTGAGCAATTTAGCATGAGCCTAAAATAATTCTTTCTGGGTTTTTTAGGGGAAGGGGGCAGGGTCTCACTGTGTAGCCCAGAGTGGCCTCTAACTTGCGACTCTCCTCCTGCCTCATCCTCCTGAATGCTAGTATTACAGATGTACACTACCACACCTGGAAAAATAAAAAATGTAAAAAAAGTACCAGGAATCGGGCATGGTGGTGCATTTCTGTAATCCCAACACTTCGGAGGCCAAGGCAGGAGGATCGCTTTTAGTTTTGAGGCCAGCCTGGGCTACAATGCAAGTTAAAGGCCAGCCTGAATTTCATAGAAAACCCTGTCTCAAAAAGACCAAAAAAACCACCAGGAGATGTTGCTCAGTGTGAATCCTCAGTAACTCAAAACAAACAAATAAATAAAATGGTTAATTAATTTTTTAAAAAGGTTGGACTGTAAACTGATTCTGCCTAGATTTGAATCAGGCTCCAGCTCCATCATTGGTTAGCAATATAATTTTAGAAAATTTTTTTTTTTTTTTTTTTTTTTTTTTTTTGTCTGTTTCATTTTTATCGGTACCGGGGATCGAACTCACGACCGCCTGCTTGCAAGGCAGGTGCTTATGCTGCTGAGCTAAATCCCCAGCCCCTAGAAAAGATTTTTAACCTTTATGCTTCTGTTACTTATTTGTAGTGAATAATAATAATAGCATCAATCTAATAGAGTTGCCTATTGTAAGAGTTAGATGAATTAATACACCACTAATGCTTCAAAATTGCAAAGCAAACAGGGCATGGTGGCACATACTTGAAATCCCAGCATTTGGAAGGCTGAGACAGGAGATTAGCCGAGAGTTCAAGGCCAGCCTGGACTACCTAGGAAAGCCTGCCTCAGAAATCCAAAGACAGACAGACAGACAGACAGACAGGAAAACAGGAAAGCAAGAGAGAGAGAGAGAGAGAGAGAGAGAAAAGGAAAGAAAGAAATTGCAAAACAAGGCAGGTGGGTAGTGAATGCCTGAAGCAGAAAGATGGTAAGTTTTCGCTCACCCTATACAACTTTATGACTCAAGTGTGATTTTATCTCAAAATAAAAACTAAAAAAAAAGAGCTAGGGATGTAGCTCAGTGTGAAGGCCTGTGGTTACCCACCACACACACGCCAAACACATGCTGGCTTCATTATTATTTAATGGTATTCATAAAACATGATCATTCTGGATTCGGTCTTCAGCACCACACAAAAAATCATTATAGGAAAAATTAATGGAGAAAAAAAAAGAAAAACTAATGGAGCAAAACTGTGAGTAAAATGAAAAGTACAACAAAATCTACAGAGACTACTTTCTTTTCTTTTTTTTCTTTCTTTCTTTCTTTCCTTCCTTCCTTCCTTCTTTCTTTCTTTCCTTTCTGTTTCTTTTCTTTATGTCTTTTGTCTTTTTGAAACAGGGTCTCATTGTGCAGTCCAGGCTGGTCTTGAACTCACTTTGTAGCCCAGGCTATCTTCAAAATTGGAGCAATCCTCCTGCCTCAGGCTCCTGAGTGCTGAGATTACAGGTGTGCACCACCACTCCCAGCAACAGTTTCTATAATATGCAACCTTCCAGGTGTTTTCCAATATGTGTTTATACTTAAATGTTTTTGTTAACAAAAATAGCAACATAGTATATATAATAGTTATAAAAATACATATATAAATAACATTAAGTTAATAAGAAATGTGTATCAATATTACATATTCCATTTTATGAATATAAGGAATTCTGTATATTTATGGTATTTCTGATTTTTTGGTATAACAAACAATACTTAGACAAATTGGTACCTTTTTTTTGCACCCTGGGGTGTGATTATTTCCTAAGGATGATAACTTACTGGAAGTGAGATTTCTAGATAAAGGTATATGTACTTTTTAGGATACTTACCACCTTTTGTTTTGATTCAAGTGAATTAACCTCTTCTAGGAACCTATATTTTCTAAATCTTGTGATTGTATTGTATATCATAAGTTGTATTATATGTTATATGACATACATATGTTTATAGCATGTTAAGTGAGTATTTTGAACATTTTTTTGTTTTAATCCAAATATCTTATAGATTTGGGTGGGTTTTTTTTTTTTTTTTTTTTTTTTTTTTGTCTTTTCCTTTTTTTTGGTACCAGGGATCGAACTCCACGACCACACACTTGCAAGGCAGGGGCTTATGCTGCCGAGCAAAATCCCCAGCCCCTAGATTTGTTTATTGATTAGTGACTATGTAGACACATACAGAAAACCTTTCCAAAGGTACAAAGGGAAAAGAAATGAAAATTTATCTCATATCTGTATGTCTTAGTTTTTTTTCTTTAGTGGCAGTTTCCAGTGTATCTTTATGGAGCGTTTTATCCACATGGAAGGATATACACATGCATACTGTGTTTTTGCACTTTATTATTTTGTATCTTCTTTTTTTTATCCTAGTTTTTTTCACTTAACAAAAGCTCTTAGAAATTTATCAATAGGTGGTATGTGTTTTTCGTTCGTTTGTTTTTTTGAGTTAGGGGTCTTGCTATGTAGTGCAGGCTGGCCTTGAACTTACACATATAGCCCAGGCAGGCGTTGACTCACAGCAGTTCTGCTGTCTCAGCTCCTGAGTGCAAGGATTACAGGCATGTGCCAACTGGAATGTGTTTTTATGGGTTTTTTTTTTTTAGAAATATTTATTGAGAGACAGAAAGCTTCTGTCTGAGAGAGAGAGATGGAAGGGGTCCTAAGTGAGTTGCCTCAACTGAAATGTTTTGAAGGCCCCAGTGATTTTATTTTTTTTTTCTGATTAATTTTATAGGTATTGTAAAGAAATGAAATTACAGTGCTTATTTAATTCAGGGAGACATATTAGTCAGCAGTTTAAACCCATATTCCCAGCACTGTGGAAGGCTGAGTTAGGGGATTGCAGGTTTGAGTTCAGCCTGAGCAACTTGGTATCTAGGGAGAACCCTGTCTCAAAAGAGAAAAGTAGAAAAAAAGGCTGAAGATCCAGCTCAGTCCAAAGTCCCAGCACTGTTGAAAGTGGTAGCGATCCCATGGAGTCCACGTCAGTTAGTCTAGATATGAAGTATTGGACACTTTTTGTTTTGTTTTCTGACAGGGTCTCACTGTGTAGCCCAGGCTAGCCTCAAACTCACAGTGATCCCACTGCCTCAGCCTCCTGAGTGCTGAGCTTGCAGCATGTGCCACTACACCCAGCAGGTTGCTCTATTTTAAAAATGTTAACTCTCTGGACCACTAGGAAAAGAGTCTAGTAGATTTTTATTTTTGAAACAGTTGCCCAGTCTGGTTTTGAACTTGGAATCCTCTTGCCTCAGCCTCCCCAAATGCTGAGATTACAATTGTGTACCACCACCTCCACCTTAGTTTTTCTTTTCTTTTGGTGGTAGAGATCAAACCCAGGGATTCATGTGTGCTCTACCACTGAGCTGTACTCCCAGCTCTGGGTTAGGTGCAGTATTACTCAGCTGTGCTCTTCTGCACTGGCTGTGTGTCTTTGAGTTATACACACACTCAAGCACTTGCCTTTCCTTTCCTCCCTCCCTTCCTCCCTTGTTTGAAACTGGAAATTGAACCCAGGGCCATGCTTATGCTAGGCAAGTATTCTACCAGTGAGCTACATTTCTAGCCCTTTTCATCTTTTATTTTGGGTCAGGGTCTTGCTAAGTTATCATAGCTGGCCCCTATCTTGTGATTCTCCTGCCTCAGCCTCCTAAGTAGGTAAGATTATAAGTGAGTGCCACCACACATGGCTCAGGCCTTTGAACCGTAAGGAAAAACTCACATAACCCACTTGTTCAGCCTCCTTGCGCTGTCTGACTAGTTCTTTCCTTCCCTTCCTTTGAAATCAGGCTTTTGACACCCTGTCTTTCCAACTGCCCTTTTACTCTGAAACACAGCAACCTGGTTCCACTTCCAGCGCTGCAGGAAAACTGCTCTCCACAGTGCCACTCAGCTCCAGGGAGCTGCCCTGTTGTGCAGCCAGACCCATGTCTCACAGCAGTCTGAATCTGGTGCTTTCATTACCCAATTTTTGTCTCTTTGAAGCTTCTGACACTTCTTTTCCTTCCTCTAAGTCCTCTATCCTGACTTTTGTTTTCATTTTTATCGGTACCGGGGATCGAACTCACGACCACCTGCTTACAAGGCAGGTGCTTATGCCAATGAGCTAAATCCCCAGCCCCTATCCTGACTTTTGAATAAAAAAAAATATGTAACAGTTTTACCAGGAGTTTTTTTTTGTTTTTTGCAGGTGCTGGGGATTGAACCCAAGGCCCGGCACATGCTAGGCAAGTATACTACTGAGTCTTTCTTCTATCTCTGGCCAGTCTGTCTGTCCGTTCTTTCTTTCTTTCTTATCTCCTTTTCTTTCAAAGGTAATAATTAGGCTGGGCACAATGGTGCTTACCTGTAATCCCAGCACTTCAGAGGCTGAGGCAGAATTGCTGTGAATTCAAGGCTAGCCTGGGTTACCAAGTGAGACCTTTTCTCATAAAAACCAAAAACAAAAACCCAAGTGTCATGGCTAGTATTCTCTGTACTCTCGGGATATTAAAAATTGAAAAGGTGGGCTCAGGGATTTAGCTCAGTGGTATAAGTGCCTGCTTGGCAAACACAAGGTCGTGAGTTCAATCCCTGTTCCAAAAAAAAAAAAAAAAAAAAAAAAAAAATTTGAAAAGGTGTCTCCCAAAGGCAGTATGGCAATATCAAGGAAAAGAAATAATAGGCCTACCATTCAGTATAGGAGTTCTGCCTCTGGTAACTAGGGGAGAGGTGTGTTCATGTGTTCAAAATCATGTTACAAGAGTGTTACCTCAAAAAAAAAGTATCTCAACAGAACTTGTTTCAGGGTGGGAAACTGGCAACTAAGTAAACTTCCTGTTATAAGGGAAGAGTAGAATACATTGTAATGGAAATTTACTTGTAGATTGAAAATTTATACTACTAGAATGTATGAGAACAGGATGGTTGAAAGAACGAATGTATCAAACACAGTGGTTAGGGAGAAGAGAGGCTCATATTTACATTGTTTGACTGTTTTAAAATGAAAACACCTTAAGCTAGGCGTGGTGGGTCCCTCCTGCAATTCCAGCACCAGCTAAACAGGATTGCTGAGAATTGGAAGCCACTTTGGCTACATGGCAAGACCCTTTCTCAAAAACTGCCTCCCTCCAAAAAAGAAAGAAAATACCTTCATATATTTCTTGTGCAAGAAAAAAGAATAAAAATAAAGCAAAAAAATCATTGTTGCCCAGGTGTCTGTATTCAGATTCACTTGTCATTTTTGTTTTCATTCTATATACTTTCCCTGTATGGCTTATTTTTGATCCACCTGCCTCAGCCTCCTTACTCCTGGATTACAAGTGTACATGGCTTCAGCATGGCTTCTTAAAACCCATGGGTTCAGTTTTCAACTTTAGGAATTTCACTGAGAATCTCAAACTTAACTTTCCAAAATTAGGATTATTGTCTTCCTTCCTAATCCTGAAATTCTTATTTTAGTGAATAAGAATTTCCTACCAATTACCCAAAGTAAAAATATACTCATCCCTATCTCTCTCCCCATCTCTTTTCCCACCTCCCTCATCTCTCTTCCTCGTCTCCTCTCCCTTCCCTCCCCTCTTATCCTCTTCCCTTCCCTCCCCTCTCCTCATGTCCCTGGGCTTCAATTTGGGTGCTCCCTTCCTTATCCTTCTATAGCGCTATGATTACAGACTTCTCACCCCATTAGTCTGTTTCCTAAATGCCTTGGCTCAAGTCCTTATACTCTTTTTTTTTTAAATTGGACTTTTCACAAATAATCTCCTAAACAAGGTTTTGCTTTTTCTAATTTTCCCTACTCCCAGCTTTTCTATATAACTTTTAGATTATTTGTCTAAAACTGGAAACTTTTTATATCAATCTTTTTACTTAGAATCTTTCAGATGAACATATATACATTCTAAGTGTCTCCTCACAAGATTCTTATTACAGAGGGAAAAATAGCAACTCTAGTGTAAAGAAACTTGACAGCATTTACCCAAAGGATGAAAGTTAATTTTACTAGTAATGACAATAATCACCATCTCTCATGCAGTGAGGTTACATGTCACTTTTGTGTTATTTTGTCCAAAGATAAAGACTTCCATTTAATTGTGAAGAAGGTTAGACTGCATTCTTAAAATATTTCAAGATCATAAAAGACAGACTGTCAGATTAAAGGAGTTTAAAGAATATTGAAGTTGGGCAGACATGATAGATCCTAGCACTCCTGAAGGCTGAGGCAAGAGGGTCATGAATTTGACCCTAGCATGGGCAATTTTGCAATTTAGTGAGATGCTGTCTCAAATACTTTTAGAAGAGCTGGGATCAGTCTCTTGTAAGGGAAAAAAAATCTTGACAATTTAATGTAGCATATAGTATTGGATATTCTTTTGCAAAAGGTAATCCCAGCTGTGCAGAAGGATGAAGCAAGTTTAAGTCCATGTGGGCAGTTTAGAAGGGCCTTATCTCAAAAAAAGGGGGGGGGCTGGAGATAAATGGCTCAGCAGCACAGTGCCTGCCTAGCAGGTGCAAGGTCATGAGCTCGATTCCTAGTACCAAAAAAACCCCAGCAAAACCCAGGTGACGTGGAATACACCTGTAATCAGGCTGAGGCAGTGGGATCTAGGCTGCATATTAGTTCAAGGCCTTTCTGAGCTACACAGCAAGATGCAACCGCAAAACAAACAAAAAACAAAGGTCTAGTGCTGTAGCTCAGTGGTATAGTGTATGTCTATCTGCTCACCTCAAAAAAAGAGAAAAGGGAGGGGCTGGGGATTTAGCTCAGTGGCATAAGCACCTGCCTTGCAAGCAGGTGGTCGTGAGTTCAATCCCCGGTACCGATAAAAATGAAAAAGGCAAAAAAAAAAAAAAAGAGAAAACGGACGGAGGGGAGGAAAAAATGATTATTGGGACAGATGGCAAAATTGGAATAAGGTAAACAGATAACAGTAGTACTTCAATGTCAGTTTCCTGCTTTGATAATTTTTAGGGATTATTAGAAAATATTTAGAGATAAAGGTACCAAGCCTCTCAGACAAAAATTTAGAATCCATCTATTGTATGTGAATACAGAGAGAACTACTAAACAAATATGATGAAATATTAACACTTAGGGAATCTAGATGAGAATTCTTGGTCCTGTTTTTACTTTTGGAGGGGGGTCTTTTTGTCTTTATGAGACAAGGTTTCACTATGCAGTTCAGGCTGGCCTTGAACTCACCTTGTAGCCAAGGCTGACTTCAAACTTTCAGCAATCCTCTTGCCTCAGGCTCCCAGAGTGCTGCAACTTATTTTTACAATTTTTCTCAGAGTCTGAAATCATTATGCTATAAAGTAAAAATATACATTTAGTTCATACAGGTAACTCCTTGGTTGCTCTTCATGGCTTTCATTTGATTCTCACTGTAGCTTCATGTGCCAGGCTTTTGCTGTGGCTTCCCCTTCTCCGTTCTTGTCTTCCAGCACATCTCCACACAAACCCTCTACTAATTTCTTATGTCCCACAGGGATGGGCAGGGGTGTGGATATTTCTGAAGGTGCGGTGGGGTGGGGCCCCCCTTAAGGACCCTCCACTTCTCTTTGGGTCTTTGCCCTCACTCTGCTAGAGAATGCATTAGTGGGGCTCACAGAATTGGGGCTTTTCACAAGAAGCAGGAAGGCTAGGGACACAGCTCAGCAGCACAGCATCTGCCTGGCAAGCACAAGGTCCTGAGTTTGAGTTCTGGAACAAAAAATAAAATAAAAAGAAAGAAATGAGGGAGTCAACACTGGTAGAGTGCGAAATAAAAGTTTATTTCAAGTGTAGCAAATGCAGAGGAAGCAGAAGTACTATCTTAGTAGCAGAGTGAGCTGCAAGACGAGCATCCTGTCTAGGATGGTCCTGTGAGTATGAGAACGTGTCTGTATTTACAGGGGTAAATCTGTTTCGTTGATTGATGTGGGCTGAGCCAGTCAGGGTCTTAGCTTTTGTTTCTGGGAAGGGAACAATGTCAGTGTATGGTAAATGTAACACTTTCATAAAGCATACAGTAGGGTGGTTTCTCAAGCACATGCTACACGATAAGCACGTGATGATTTTGCTGTGTTAGTCATCTGTGTTTTCCCCTGGGTTTTTACACTTTTTTTTTTTTTTTTTTTTTTTTTTTTTGACATGCTTAGGGATTGAACCCAGGCCCTGGACTGACTTATCTCCCAGCCCTTTTTTCATTTTATATTTTGAGATGAGGTCTGGCAAAATTGTCCAGGGTTGGGCCTAATGGTCCTTCCACTTTAGACTGTTGGGGTTATGGGTGTGTACACCATGCTTGGCTGATTCATGTTGCTGGGCTCTATTTCATGATCCATGACACTCTATTCTCATTTTTCTATATAAGTGGTTCTCAATAAGGGGGTTTGCCCCCCACTTTTGTTCCTTGAAGAATGTTTGCCAATGTCTAGAGATAAATGTACTCAGTTTTTATGATTATGGGAAGCTGTCATTTTGAGGGTAGAAAGGCGAGGGATGCTGCTACATATTCAGCAGTGCACAAGACAGCTGCCCGAGCCTGTGTGCTGGTGGCACAAACTTGTAATCTGACTCTGGGAAGCAGGAGAATTATAAATTTGAGCCTATCCTGGGCAACTCCGTCTTAATGAAACCCTGCTTCAAAATTAGAACAAAAATTAAGAAAAAAAACCCTTGCCATAACAAAGGATTTTTTAACCCAAATGACTTTGGTGCTGGGTTTGAGAAAATTGTTTAAAGGTACTGTGAGACTCAATTTTGAAAATTCTTTGTAAGCATCTGTCAGACTCAAGAGCTCACTATTCTGTGTTCTTTTTTTTTTTTTTTTAAGACCAAATCTCAGTAAGTTGCCCAGGCTAGCTTTGAATTTATACTCCTGCTTCTGTGTTCCTTATATTTTGTGTTAACCTCCCCATCACTTACCCAGAGGAACAAGGGTTTATTAAGTTCAGTGATGTATACTCAGCAAATGTTTTTTGTTTTTTTGTTTGTTTTTGTCTTTTTGAGACAGGGTCTCACTATACAGTTCAGGCTGGCCTTGAGCTCACTTTGTGGCCCAGGCTGGTCTGAAACTCGCAACGATCCTCCCACCTCAGCCTCCCGAGTGCTGGGATTACAGGGCTGAGCCACCACGCCTGGCTCTCAGCAAATGTTTTACTGAATGAATATGCAATTTTTTTTTTTTTTTTTTTTTTTGGTGGCACCGGGGATCGAACTCACAACCTTGTGCTTGCCAGGCAGGTGCTTATGCCATTGAGCTAACTCCCCAGCCCATGAATATGTATTTTGAAATAGTTTTGCAAAGTTGATATTACCAAGGTGAAGATTAGGATCCTCCTGCCTCAGTCTCCCAGAATGCTAGGGTTTAGGTGTGTTCCACTGTGCCTATTTTGACTTCATTCTGGGTGTGTGTGTGTGTGTGAGATAGGGTCTTGCACATAGTTCATAGAGTGGCCTTAAACTTACTATGTAGCTCAGGTGGGCCTTGAACTCACAGTGGTCCTCCTGCCTCACTAAGCATGCTGGGATTATAAGCATGTGCCGTCACACCTACTTTGGCTCGATTCTTAGAAGCAAGCTCTGCTCACTGAAGGCAGTAATGGTCCCTAGATACCCTAGGTTGTACATCCTGCCAGCTGTGCTCTCCTCGGGGAAAGGTCTCTTGAGAACTCTTAGTAGAATTCCCAGGCATCACTCTGTGTCCTGGGTGGGTCACATGCTCATGAGCAGCTGAGATATTATCTCTAAAGAAAACTATGATACTATTTATAGAAATGGGATGTTTGTAGACAAAATAGTAGAAGTCCATTATTGCCTGGCTGCAGCAGATCTCCAGTTAAAGCAGTGTTTACACACATCAGACATTGTATTGATTTGTTATTTGAAGGAATTATGCTTGGTGTAGATTAGATAGAGAAATAAATATGAGTTCCTACTGTTAAGGAACGTTTTTTAGGGGGTAGTACTTGGGAATGTGAGCCCAGAGGTGATCTACTCCCTGTCCAATATCCCTAGTCTATTTATTTATTTACTTACTTATTTGTGTATTGTCTTTAAGACAAGATCTTACTATGCAGTTCAGGCTGGCCTTGGGCTCACTTTGTAGCCTAGGCTTGAGCATGTAACTATCCTCCTGCCTCAGCCTCCTGAGTTCTGGAATTACAGAAATGTACCACCATGCCCAGCTGCCCTTTTTATTTTTTGAGATAGGGTCTTGCTCTAAGGTTCCCAGGCTGTCCTCAAACTTGTGATCCTCCTGTCTGTACTTCCCAGTTTCTGGCATTATAGGCATATACCACTGTGCCTGGCTTCTTAAGGAATCAAAGATAGATTAAAAGGACCAGGGATATAACTCAGTGGTATAGCACCTGCTTGGCAAGTATGAGGTCATGAGTTCAATCCTTGGTACAAAAAAAAATAATAAAAAAGAATAGATTGACTATCACTTACCTGAAATGCTTAGGACCCAGTTTTTTGTAGAAAAGGCCCAAGTCAAACATGAAATTCTTTTGTGTTTCACTTGTACCTAATTTTTTTTTTCTTTTTTTTTTTTTTTTTTTTTTTGTCTTTTTCGTTTTTATCGGTACCAGGGATCGAACTCATGACTGCCTGCTTGCAAGGCAGGCACTTATGCCGCTGAGCTAAATCCCCAGCCCCACTTGTACCTAATTTTACACATTATTTAGTACACCTCCGCTTAGACTATGACCTTGCATGTAGGGTCAGATATGGAATCTTCCATTTGTGGTGTCATGCTGGCACTAAACAGTCTTTTATTTTGAAACATTAAGATTTTTAAATTACAGAAGCTCAACAGTTTAAGCTTAGGAAGGTTATTTGCCTGGGTAATACAGCTAATGAAGAGCAGATATGAGAATGTTAGCCAGGCATGCTGTCATCCCAGCACTGAGGGAGGCTGAGACAGGAACACTCCAAATTCAAGCTCAGCCTGGGTAACTTCTTAGTGATTTAGCAAGACCTTGACTCAAAATAAAGAACACAAAAGGACTGGAGATGTGACTCATGCTCTAGGTTCAATGCCCCGTTCTTAAAAAGATGATGTAGGAATGTGAACCATGTTGATTTGAACTTAATCCAGTCTTATTTTAGCTACACTTGATCTTCCAAAGCCTTTCCGTAACCCATCTTTGACCATTTTGGGGCTCACCTATCCACTGACTCAGCCTATCCTTTTTAAGGTATCACAGGTTGCTGGCTGGTCTGTCGATTGGCTGCCCCTATATCAGGTATTTTTTTATGGTACTGGCAGTTAAACCCAGAGCCTTAACACTGAGCTATACTCCTAGCCTCTTTCCTTTATTTTTTATTTTTTAAAATTTTGAGACAGGATCTCTGTGTTGCCCAGGCTAGGCTCCAACTTGAAGTCCTCATGCTTTAGGCTCTCAGAATTGTGGGATTACAGGGTTGGGCTGCCACTTCTGCTAGGTGTCCATTCTTTTTTTTTTTTTTTTTTTTTTTTTTTGGTCTTTTTCCTTTTTATCTGTACCAGGGATCGAACTCACGACTGCCTGCTTGCAAGGTAGGCGCTTATGCCGCTGAGCTAAATCCCAGCCCCTAGTGTCCATTCTTGATCACAGCCAGTCCACCAGTTTTAGGTAGTGAGAGCTGCAGTCACTGGTCATTAACTTCTTGAGTTTGACTTTCAAGAGCCCAAAGACAGGGCGTGTTAGCATTGTTGCAGTTTGCATCTTTGTAGTCCTTAACCTCTTTTTCTCTTCTCTTCCTCCTCCCTTTCCCTTCCCTGTCCCAGCCTCCCCTCTACTCCTTTTTTGGTGGTGTCTTGCTGTGTTCCCCAGGCTAATCCTGAACTCCTGGGCCCAAGTAATCCTCTTGCCTTAGCCTTCCAGGTAGTTGGGAGTGCAACTCAGCTCCTAAAATCTCTGCTGCATTCTGTCACTGCCATCTGAGCACAGACTCTTGTCATCTCTTTCCTGCTGAGATGTTCCTGTCTTCAGTCTGTCTTCTGTTGATAGTGACTCTAAAAGGGAGCTTTTACCACATGTTCCTAGGTCTCAGTGACGTCCCATGGCCTTCAGGAAGTTTCCTCACATTGAGACTTTTTGTGCCGACACTGTTGCTTGCTGCTTCAGGCTTGTATCCTGACATTCACTCCCTGTACCACTTAGGTGAGCCTCTATGTGAACTGTGTACAATTCCCCAAATCCATCGTGACCATTCAGTGAACCTTGCCTTTTCTTTTCTCTTCCCCACCCCTTTTATTTTTATTTTTATTTTTTTTGAGACAGAGTCTCACTATGTAACCCAGGTTGGACTCAAACTTGGAGAAATCCTCCTGCCTCAGTTCCCTGAATGCCGAGATTTTAGACATCCACCACTATTCTGACTGAGTGTGCTATTTCTTGTACCTAAACCCTTACTATGTAGTTAATTCTTCCTTGCCCCATAGAGCTTATTTCTGGTGATATCTAGTCCTGAAAAACTTCTCAAAACCCCCTTCTCCCAGCCTGTGTTACACATCCACATCCCCTGCCCCATAGGCCCTGGTGCCTCTTACTTCACACATCTCCCTTATTAGCATTAAACTTTATTGAGTCAGCTTTATTTTATCTCCCCTCAAATGACTGTCACATTGCTGACTCAGTAAATATTTGTTAGATCAATGAATAGATGTTGGGAATGAGTTTGTGCTTGGTCTTTTCTGAACTGTTCCCTTTTTTTCTGTCCCTCCTAGGACCTGGGTTTCAGTGATGAGACATGGGGTATGATGTAACCCGTTTCCAGGGGGATGTTGATGAAGACCTTATCTGCCCTATTTGCAGTGGAGTCTTGGAGGAGCCAGTACAGGTGAGTTGTCTGGGAGGTCTGGGGAGGTAACATGGCAGTAGCACTGATGGAAAATGTTCATGAGGAGTGGTATGCATAGGGCCATCCCTGTATTCTGCTCCCCGCCCCCACTACCACAGAGGTCTGGTATAAGGAACAGGGGTAGCTACAAGAGAATGGCTTCCAGAGTCTGCCTCAAGCCCAACGATGCAGGTCTCCAGTTCTGAAGTAGCTCTGGGATTTTTCTGATAGCTGCCCTTCCTCTGCAGGAACTCTTGAGTTGGTCTGACTTCCTGTCTATGACTGACTTGTGGGCTCCTGTGTGCATTTAGATGATGTAGTGCTTTGGATAAGCAGCTAGTACCCTGCAGCCCTCTCTTATTTGCCTGCTGTCTCATATGTAGGAAGTGTCAAATTGGATTTACTGACCTGTTTTCTTCCTGGAATCTGCTGAAAAAACCAGCACTCTGCATTTTGATAAGAGAGCTGCCACCTTCAATAGGTTTTTCTCTGGCAGCCTTGCCAGACTAGAGTCAGTTGTGTCTTCCTGGGGCAGGCTTGAGAAGCAGTCCTGGCTTTGTAGGCAAGTTCGATGACAGAGACCAATCCTTAACAGATGCATTGACAGGACATCATTCTACATGGCCCTTACTGTCCTCATTTCATAAATACCAACTAGTTTTCTGCCACTCTGGCCAACTGCAGGTAATCCCATTTTCCAAACCAGGACACCATATATAAAAAAGGAAACTATAAAGTTTCCTTTGCTGCTTATATAACTCCCAGGGGCTCCCCTTAACCCTCAATTTATTTTCTCTGTAGTTTCCAACCACCCAAAGGAGGACATGCTTGAGCTGAAAAAAAATTGAGACCATATTCCGGTGGCAGTCAAGCCTAGACTTACCTCTTCCTGTCCCTTTGCAGCCTACCACCATTAGAGGTATATCGGATGGGTGGGCCAAGTTATTCAAGGCAGTGTCAGGGTCACAGGTGTGTCAAGTACCTCCGCACCATGGCAGGGCTGTTTTCTGGTACTGTCCTTTGAGGCAAGTCATTTGTGGAGCAGTGAGTGGTATTGGTAACAGCCTAAATCAAAAGCCTCTATCTACCCCCACCCATGTACCTCCATCCAGAAGGTGGGCGTCCCAGGGGTAGAAGAGCCTTGCTAGAGATGCCACTTTCCCCATTCCAGATTTAGCTTTTTTTTTTTTCCCTCCATGGGACAGTGTAGTGATAGATTTAGCTTTTGAGTAGGTAATAAATTCATATGGTTGGGGCTGGGGATTTAGCTCAGCGGCATAAGCACCTGCCTTGCAAGCAGGCGGTCGTGAGTTCAATCCCTGGTGCCGATAAAAAGTTAAAAAAAAAATTCGTATGGTTAAAAAAATCAGGTGCCATGGTCCACATGAATAATCCCAGCTGTTTGGTTGTCTTCTTTTGTTTTGGCGTATTTTCAAGACAGGATCTCTGTATGCAGTTTGGACTGACCTTGAACTTGGTTATGTACCTCATGCAGGCATCAAACTTATGACTCCTGAGTGCTGGGACTAGAAGTACACTGCCACACCCAGCAGTCTCAGCTACTTGGGAAGCTGAGGCAGAAAGATCATAAATTCCAGGTCAGTCTGGAATTTAGCAAGCCCCTGTCTCAAAATTTTTAAAAGGCTGGGAACGTTTTTCAGTGGTGGAGTACTTGCCTAGCGTATGTAAGGCTCTGGGTTCAATTCTAGTACTAGGAAAAAATCAAAGTAGTGTAAAATGTTATGAAGATACACAGTGAGAACTCTTACTTCTCACCACTCCCTGTCTACCTAGGCCCCACAGATAACTTTTTAGTAGTTGGTATCCTTCATGTGAGTATTTTCTGTAGACATTCTGTATACTTCTCCAGTGGCAAGTTTAAAAGTTTTCATCATTTATTCATTCATTCATTTATTCATTGTTTTTTGCTGAGACATGGTCTTGCTATGTAGTACAGACTGGTCTTGAACTCACTATGTAGGCCAGGCTGGCATTGAACTCTCAGCAAGCTTCCTGTCTCAGCCTCCTGAATGCTGGGACTATCAACATGTGCCACCACGCTTGGCCTTAGTTTTATTTTTTAGATTTTTTTTTTTCAGTGCTGGGGATTAAACCAAGATTTCATGCATGAGTGCAAGAGCTCTATCACTGAACTACCCAGCCCAAGGTGGCAGGTTTAGATAAGGGATGCCACTGAAGAGGACACAGCTGAGGTGAGACCTGGATAATAAGGGGCCTTTCGCCCATTAAGATCTAGAAGAGGACCATGCTTTTAGGTAATAAGAAACAGTAAAAAAATAAAGGTCCTGAGGCAAGAATGAGTTGGGTGTGGTCAAGGTACAGAAGGAAAACCAAAAACAGCCAGAACACTCCTGAGAGCATTGCCTGGAGCATGGTGTAAGGTGAGGAGATGTCAGGCACAGAGCAAGATCAAGCAGAGTCTTAGAGGTCCTGTGTGGAGTGTTTAGAGTTACTGGAAGTACTTTGAGAAATCATTTCCTTTTTTTAAAATCTTGGTGGCAGTGACACTGGAGATTAAAACCCAGAGCATATGCATGCTAGGCAAACACTGTTCCGTTGAGCTGTATCCACAATCCCCTTTTTAGTTTCATTTTGTGTTAGGGTCATGCTAAGTTGCCCAGGTGACCTCCAACTTGTGATCCTCCTGCCTCATCTTCCTAGGTAGCTGGGATTACAGGCATGTGATCTGCCCCATGCCTGCCTATTATATATTTTAAAGCAAAGAAGTAAGATGATCTGGTTTGCATTTTTATCATTTTATTTTATTCTAATTTATTTTGAGATGGGGTCTTTTTATTTTGAGACAGGATCTTGCTAAAGTAGTAAGGCATCCAAGCTGGACACAAACTTGAACTTACTGGGATTATAGGTATGCACATCACTGCTCCTGCTCCTTTATTTTTGAGATGAGTTCTTGCTAAATCACAGAATTACACAGGCTTCAATTTGGGATCCTCCTATCTTAGCCTTCTAAAGTACTGGAATTAGTCATGAACCACCAAGTAAATGATCACTCCTGCTGCTGATAGGAGGATAGATTCTAAAAGGATGGTGTCTGAGCATCTCTGGGGTAGATTTTAGGACCAAGTGATATGTTTGGTACACAGTAGGCATTCGAGTCATTATTCATCACTGTCTTACAGGGTGCCTGTTATGGCTGGTGCTACATGGTATTTGTGCAGGCACAAGGGCTTCTCTCAGAGAAGTTGGCTGAATTATGGATCTTTATAAAATTGAGGGCTGGGATGTCACTCAGTGGTAGAGCACTTGCCTAGCTTGTACAAGACCTTGGGGTCCACTCTCCAACATCACATAGGTAGAGCAAGTGAGAGAAAAAGTAAATAAATTCCAGTTGTGTTAGTGCATGAGATCTTGTCTCAAATCCCACACACCAGAAAAAAAAAAAAAAAGAAGAAACCTGGCGTGGTGGCTCACACCTGTAATCCCAGCAGGAGGATCACAGGAGGCTGAGGTGGGAGGATCGTTGCAAGTTCGAGATCAGCCTGGGCTACAAAGTGAGCTCAAGGCCAGCCTGAACTGCAAAGTGAGACCACATCTCAAAAAAGACAAAAAAAAATTTTTTTTAAATAATTAAAAAAGAAAGAAAGAAAAAGATAAGAAAAAAAAACTGAAAAGAGTATGATTCCACAGAAGAACTCTATCTCTGTTTAGGAATTCAGGTTTGACTATTGGAACTCAGAGCAACACCTCAGATCAGTCCTCATAAGAAACTATGTCTACATAGAGAGGCCTTGTACTTCTCAACAGAAGTCTGTGTTTGCTGGGCTAAGTGGCTGGCATATGCCTGTAACTTTAGCACTCAGGAAGCTGAGGCAGGAGGATGGTGAGTTTGAAGTCAGCCTAGGTTACACAGCAAGACTGTCTCAAAAAATAAACAAACAAAATAGCCTAAACTTTTCTTGTTTTGAATTTGCTACTTGTTTGCTGGAGACAGGTATTGCTGTACGGCCTGGGCTGGTCCTGAACTGCTAGGCTCAAGTGATCTGCGCACTTCAGTCCCCCAAGTGCTGGAAAGAAGGGCACCAGCTGTATACTGAGCTTGTTCTGTCTTCTTACCTTAAACTTCTGCCTATAACTCTTTGCCCCTCTCCTCTCCACATCTATAGTCTGAGTCATCTTTCAAGACCTATAGCAAATTTTGCCCTCTTCATGACCCTAACCCTACTTTGTTTGTTTTTTTTTTTTTAATTCCTAGCCCTACTTTGGTTGACCTAGTCTCACCCTCTGGATGTTTTGGCAATTACTATGTATACAATCTAGTCGGCAATTAATAATTGGCAGCCTTGTGTCATCTCTCCCATTGTCCTGGAATGTCATTTATTCTCTTACTGTTATATAACTTCTTACCTGCTTGTCTGGTCTTACAGTCCATTTGTTATCTTTTTGTTTGTTTTTAGTATTAAAGATTGAACTCAGGACCTTGTGCTTGTCAGGCAGATGCTGTGCCACTGAGCTATATCCCTAGCCTCCATCCATAATGTTGAGCACAGGAAATGTATTTTAAGCATGACCCCAAAATGCCTTGCTCATAGTAGATCTGCACTTTGTCACAAGCTCAGGGTCTTCTGGTCCCAGAAGCTTCTGTGTCTTAACTGGCACCGTAGTTAGTACATCCAGATTCTCCACTCCTGCTAATTCCTTGTGTCCCTTTTGCCCTGCCCTCTCTAGGCCCCTCACTGTGAGCACGCCTTCTGCAATGCCTGTATCACTCAGTGGTTCTCTCAGCAGCAGACGTGTCCCGTGGACCGTAGCGTCGTGACAGTCGCCCACCTCCGCCCAGTGCCCCGGATCATGCGGAACATGCTGTCAAAGTTGCAGATTGCCTGTGACAACGCTGTGTTTGGTTGCAGTGCCGTTGTCCGGCTTGATAACCTCATGTCTCACCTTAGCGACTGTGAGCACAATCCGAAGCGGCCTGTGACCTGTGAACAGGGCTGCGGGTGAGAGTCTTTCCCCTTTGTCCTCTGCAGAGCAGAGTCCCCCAGGCTTTGCCTATTTCTGACGCCCTGGCATTCTCTGCTTTCTGATTTTCCCCAGGACCTCAGTTCTTTGTCAGTTTTGCAACTGTGATCTTTTTGCTCTTGCTTTAATAAGAGGAGAGCACAGGAATCAGCGATCTATGTAATGACACTAAAGATTGATTCACTTTGTTCTTCCATTAGGGTCTAATATTCCTTATCTGTTTGTAGGCTGACTGCTCTTCAGAAGCAGTCTGCTTTTCCAGACTTCTCATATTTCCTTTTGCCTTATTTTTTTCTTTCTGAAAGGTGTGAAATATTTGATTGAATACTGATAGTTGGGCAGTAAATCTAGGGCTTCTCAGAAATAAACCTGGTGTGGTAGCACATACCTGTAATCCTTGGGAAAGAGAAGCAGGAGGTTTAATGTGAGTTCAAGGCCAACCTAGGCTACATAGTGAGTTTAAGGCCAGCCTGAACTCAGAAAAACCCTGTCTCAAAAAAAAAAAGAAAGAGAGAAAGAAAGAAAGAAAGAGAAAGAAAGAAAGAAAAAGAAAGAAAGAAAGAAAGAGGAAGAAATTAATTTAAAGAGTAAGAAAAAATCCCCAATCAGGAGTTTTCTGCCATAGAACGAGCCATTTTCCCACATCTCACTGAATGGGTTGGTTTTTCTTTCCTCACCTGGACTGCAGCCTGGAGATGCCCAAAGATGAGCTGCCAAACCACAACTGCATTAAGCACTTGCGTTCTGTGGTGCAGCAGCAGCAGACACGAATCGCAGAGCTGGAGAAGACATCAGCTGAACACAAACATCAGCTGGCGGAGCAGGTAGGGTCCAGAGAACACTCGGCATTCACCCACCTAACATCGATCCAGTGGCTCCTCTGTAAGGAGCTTTACTAAGCACCAGAGATACAGTAAGAAATGAGAGCTCTGTCCCTGTCTTCCTGAAGCTTATAGCCTGGTGTTCCTCACAACTCTCAGCAGCCCTCATTCCTAGGTAAACTCTTATTTTTTATCTGCTGTCTGCCTTAACCATCACCCCTGGTTCTGCTTCTCCCCCACAGAAGCGAGACATCCAGCTGCTAAAGGCATACATGCGTGCAATCCGCAGTGTCAACCCCAACCTTCAAAACCTGGAGGAGACCATTGAATACAACGAGATTCTAGAGTGAGTATTACATAGGACATGGAGTTGTTTACTCCACATCCTGGTACCAAGGCCTGAAAGGAGGAAGAGCAGGGGAGTGGTGGAGAACAGTAAGAGCCGGCCCAGGGCCACTGCTTCTCAGATGTTGGGGTGAAGGACAAGGGCAGAGGAGAGGTTAACCTCAGCTGCAGTACAGGATTTCTTATTTATTTGGGTAGATGGAAGGGGAAACCTGTCCGAGGATGCAGTTTATCTGGAATTAGGTAAGTATCACCATATATAAAAAGCCCTGTGTTAAAAGGCTGTGGAGAGCTAGTAAGGCCAAAAAGAAATAGAAGATATCGTCCCTGTCTTCAGGTAGCTTACAACCCAGAGAAGAGGTAGAGTGCAAGTCCAGGAAAGTGATCTAGAACACAGCAAAACAAGCGAAGTTTAAGATCTCTTTCAGTTCTGGAGTGCTATACAGTTCATAGACTATAAACTGTAAGTGTGTATATATACCATATATATGTATATATATGGCAAATAATGCCAAGTGGGACACAGTTCAGTGGAACCATTGCTTCATTCAGTGAGTAATATATTGAGTATTTACTTTGTGCCAGGCATGATGTACATTAAGCATTGGGATTGGGATTTCAGAGAAAACAGGAACAGAACATAGACTTGTGGGATTTACTCTGGAGAGTAATATATGTTGCCTCAGATGGGGTCAACTAGGGAAAGATTTGAGTTTTCTGAGCCAATGCTAGAAGGCAAGATGAATAGGGTCAAGTTAACCATGGGGCGGGTAGGTGTTCTACTTAGGAGAAAAAGCCAAAGCAATGAAAGATGATTGATTGAGCTGGAATGACCACCTCCAACCCTCTCCCCACAGATGGGTGAACTCACTGCAGCCAGCCAGAGTGACCCGCTGGGGAGGGATGATCTCCACCCCCGATGCTGTGCTCCAGGCTGTGATCAAGCGCTCCCTAGTGGAAAGTGGCTGTCCTGCCTCTATTGTCAATGAGCTGATCGAAAATGCTCATGAACGCAGCTGGCCTCAGGGTTTGGCCACACTAGAAACGAGACAGATGAACCGGCGCTTTTATGAGAACTATGTGGCTAAGCGCATCCCTGGCAAGCAGGCTGTTGTGGTGATGGCCTGTGAGAACCAGCATATGGGAGACGACATGGTGCAGGAGCCAGGCCTGGTCATGATATTTGCGCATGGCGTGGAGGAGATATAGGGGAGCTTGACTGGCTGTCAGGAGGAGATGAAAATCTGAAAACCCTGTCATTCCAGCAGCTGGGCCCTGAGTCCTCCCTGTTTTTTCCTTAAGGCAGAGCCACAAATCCCCCTGCTTTTCGGCACTGAAGAGCACTGGGACGCTTTGCTCAGCCTTCAGGGAGGAAACCTAGATTCCTGTCTTTTGCCATATTTTTTCTCCTAAAATGTCTGTAAATTCTGTCTAGAGGGAATGTCCCCACTTTTGTATTTTCCTGCCAAGAGCCCATGGTTCCAGATATTTGCAGAAAGCACAAAAAGATTTGTTTTCCCTAGGGCTCAAGGTGGAGTGAGGAATCTAATCATCCCTCTCCTGCAAAACCAGGGAATCAGACCTATTGACTCTTAAGTGTCATTTAGAGGGCAGCTCTGGGGAGTAGACATCCAGAAGAAATGGTAAGGGTGAAACCAAAACCCTAGAAGTAAACAGGCCATTCATTGGCCATCTCTTGAGGGAAGCCTGGATCTCTGTGCCAAGCACTCCCTCTGCAGCCCACCGTAAGGTGCAGCACCCACCGAGACTGCAGGTGCACAGGTTGGGATGCTGAAAGTTCTGGGTGAGCTCTTTCTTCCTATACCTTCCTAATGGGGGAATGACAGGGCTAGGGGTGGGAGTTAGGTTGTTGGGTTCATATGTTCAACAAGAAGCTGCTTTCAGGCTTTTGCCGAAATAGAGTAGTCGGGCTGGGGATTTAGCTCAGTGGCATAAGCGCCTGCCTTGCAAGCAGGCAGTCCTGAGTTCAATCCCCGGTACCAATAAAAAGACAAAAAAAAAAAAAAAAAAAAAGAAATAGAATAGTCACTGCCTTTTGTGGCACACCAACAAAAGTTTCATAGACCTCCCTCTCCAGCCCTGTGATTGTAGTTATTTTGTAGTTATTTTGATAATTTCCTTTGGCTGTTGTGTGTCTGTATTTCACAAACTCAATCTGTTTTCTACCTTTTTTTTTTTTTTTTTTTTTTAAGAATGGCCTTGTCAGGGCTTACCCCATATTCTAGCCCAGCTACATTGTTGACATTTTAATTTATTTACTTTTTTTTTAAGAAATGAAAAAGAAAAAAAGTCAAAATTTAAAGTTTGTTTTGGTTTGGTTTTTTGAGGGTGTTTGGTTGGTTGGTTTTTGCTCTTCCTCTTCCTGTTGGGATTCTGAATGGGGTGGGACAGGGAGAGGGTGTGTTATACATTTTTCCTTTTCAGCACAACCTTTGGTTTTAATATAGGAAGAGCCAAGGGAGTTGTTGGCTGAGTTTTTGATAACACCTGTTCCCACCCTCTGTAACCGATCTGCACTGTGGAGCTCCTCTGTTCCTGTGATGGATGTGACAGTCCAGCATTGACACACGGGCCCCTGAAGAAATTTCTTCGCAGTCCAGCATCTTACTCTAAATCCTGGATTTAGAGCACTGATTTTGAAGGCAACCCTCCCCACAACTTTCCTCGGAGCTGGGTTCTAAGTTTCACCTCACAACTAATAAGAATTGCATCTTTGTGTCTCTGAGAATAGGCTGTGCTCTGCCGTATCCACCTGAGGACTTCAGCTCTGTCTCAGGCTACTGGGGGCTTGCTTTCTTTTATCCCTGTAGTGACTGGCAGAGTAAGCAAGGGGGGTATCTGTGCTTTTTTTTTTTTTTTTTTTTTTTTTGGTCTTTTTTGTTTTTATCGGTACCAGGAATCGAACTCACGACTGCCTGCTTGATAAGCAAGCACTTATGCCACTGAGCTAAATCCCCAGCCCTATCTGTGCTTATTTTAATGTGCAGGTGGGATAGGGTTGGAGAAAGATTGGGGGTTCCTCTCCACCATGGAATGGTGTCTTTGTATGGAGATTTCTTCCCGACCAGCTTGCCATTGGTCTGGATAGTTGGATCATGGCTCCACTAGGATTGGGATGGATAGATAGAAGTTTGAAGGAGATAGGAAACAGTTCCAGCTCCAGAACACTGTCCTCAGGAATTTTTGACTATTAGTCTGGTTATAGTTCTACACACACACACACACACACACCCGCCTTACCAGGGGCCATACTCTCCTCTTCACCCCCAGATGGAGCCAGCCAGCTCAGTTCTGGCTCCCTTCCCCACACCCCTTTGCAGTGGTGTCTCTGTGGGTTGCTGGTTGTGTTGTATGTGCTGTTTCATGGTGTTGACTGCACTAATAAACCTTTCACTCAAATCTCTGAATTCTTAAATCGCCATCACTCCCCTTCTTGCAAAGTTTTCTTTCTCTGCTTAGGCTTTTCTCCCACCCCAGTTTCCTTGCTTTGTAGCCCATCTTGAACTGTTTGAGTAGGACATCTGTCTGGGAGTGGTGTACCCCTCATACCCGCTTGGGCTGCACAAGCCCTACTGTACCTTTTACTCCCTCTTGTCCTGTAGCAGCCAAAACGCTCTCCAGCAATCTGAACTGTGCTGTTTCCTTTAGACTAAATCCCATGTCTTCCTGAGTGCTTCTGAGATTGGGGATATTTTTTACTGAAGATACACAAGCCCCTTTCCCCTCGACCTACAGGCATACTTGCTTTGGAGTCTGGAATTCCATTGTAGGTAAAGAAGTCTACCCCTCAGTTGTTCCTAACCAAGAAAATAAATGTGAAGAAGAGAAACCAAAATAATCATGCCTGGTGTGGTTGCCAAACCTTGATAAAGCCTTTTCCTAAGGGTTTTCTGCCACCACCTCCCTGCCAAGGGAAGAAAATCTCCCTCCCTCCCCTGAACTGTAGTTTAAAAATTTGTTGAACATTTATCATGCATCTAATGTAAATCTAAACATAGTCTAGAAACTAGTTAGTGTGTGTGTGTAGGGGAGCAGTTCTTGCACTCACTCAGTGCTTTCTTACATGCAACATATGATTAGAAAGTAATGACCATGGGGCTGGGGGTATAGCTCAGCAGCACAAATGCCTGCTTGGCAAGCGCAAGGTCCTGAGTTCAATCCCCAGTACCAAAAAATAAAAAAAACAACCACATCACAAAGCAGAACAAGCATAAGAGATTGTATATGTACCTGAGTGATACCAGTAGTTCTTTTTTCCCTGAAGCCCCTTTCATTTTGCTTTAAGAACCTACTGCTTGGGGCTGGGGATTTAGCTCAGTGGCATAAGCACCTGCCTTGCAAGTGTGTGGTCAAGAGTTTGATCCCTGGTACCGATAAAAATGAAAATGAAAAAGACAAAAAAAAAAAAAAAGACCTACTGCTTGTTCTTTTGAATGTCATAAATGGTGCCATATCTTTTTATGGTAAGTTTTTTTTTTTTTTTTTTTGAGATAGTCTCCTTATATAGTCCAGGATGGCTTCACAATCTTCCTGTGTGTTAGGATTATAGGCTTGTTTCTGGGTGCCCAGTTTAGATTTGATTTTTGGAAACAAATATTCATTGAATGTCTACCCTGCAAAGTACTCACATAGGATTGGGAGGAGATTTGAGGGTTCATGTAACAAAATGGGACTGCCCTACGCCGGGTGTAGTGGCACATGCCTATAATACCTATATAGCACCTGAGACAGGAGGCTGGCTGCAAGTTCAAGGCCAGCCTCGGCTACAAAGTGAGTTAAACGCCAGCCTAAACTGCATAGTGAAACCCTGTCTCAAGAAAACAAAAAGGCATTGCCCTCCAGAGAGCTTACTCCCTTAGGGTGAAGTGATGAGTTCATCTGGGGAACACAGTGGGGAGCATGTCTGGCTCAATGTGTTTAGTCAGGGTATAGAAGAAGCATTTTGGGGCTTAAGAGCAAGAAGTTAATGCCAAGATATCTGCCTACAGATGATAAAGGAGTTCTAGGAATGAATGCAAACCCTGGGATCAGACCATTGGAGCACATGGCTATAATCACCAGCCTCAGAGCTGATGCCAGAGAATCCGTTAGCCCAGCCTGGGCACTTCGCAAAACCCTGGCTCTGAGAAAGGGTAGGGATGTGGCGCAGTGTGAAGGCTCTGGGTTCAATCCCCAGCACAGCAGGGTGGGGGGATTTAGCAATTCTGGAAGAAATGGGTAAGAAGGTTGACTGATTTTTTTTTTTTTAAAGTAATTTTGAAGTAATTTAAATATGGCTCGGGTTAGGGATTTAACTCAGTGGTGTATGTGTCTGTGTGGCAAGTCTGAGGTCATGAATTTGATATCTGGAAAAAAAATCCTTAAATGTGGCTCATAAATTAACTGATGTTCTAGAAATGTTTTGAGTAGCATCCTAAAACAACTGTAAGTTGAGATTATTTTAGCATAGATCCTTTAATGATTTGCTTTATGGAATAAACTGCAGAGGTTTAGCCAAGCCTCTTAAACTTTGGCAAAAGTCAACAACTTGGAGACAATAATTAAAAGTTCTTGAAACATTAGCTTTAAAAAAAGTTACATAAAAGCAATTTAAATTGGGGCTGGGGATTTAGCTCAGCGACATTAGTGCCTGCCTCGCAAGTGTGCGGTCGTGAATTCCATCCCTGGTACCGATAAAAATGAAAAAGACCAAAAAAAAAAAAAAAAAAAACAATTTAAATTAAGATCTACATTTACAGCTAAAAAGTAGAGGGGCATTAGCTTTCTTTTTTTCTTGGTACCAGGAATCAAACTCATGACCTCAAGCTTGCCAGGTAGGTGCTATGCTGCTGATCTGTATCCCTGGCCGGCCATTAGCTTCCTGTGGTTATAAGGTCAAGAGACAAAAAGAACTTCATGAGAGGAGGCACAAATTACACTGTCATATAATCACCAGCCCAATTAGATGGGAACCATTTTACTGGGAAAAATTAAGAATTAAAAAGAAATGGGTGATTAGGCAGGATATGTGAACAACAGGAGCTTGTATTTAGTCAGGAGTTGAGGTTCCTGGACAGGGAGTACTGTGATGAAGGAAGTGTGGTTTTTTATTATTTATTTATTTTTTGTCTTTTTCGTTTTAATCGGTAAAAGGGATCAAACTCATGACTGCCTGCTTGCAAGGCAGGGGCTTATGCCGCTTAGCTAAATCCCCAGCCCCTTTTGTTTTTTGAGACTGTATCTCATGGAGCTCAGCTGGCCTTGAACTTGCAGGGGCCCTCCTGTCTCAGCTTCCTGCCTATTGGGGGGGTACAGCTGTGGGCCACTATGTTCCAGCTTGTTTTTTTTTTTTTGGAGACACGGACTTTATATGTACTTCAGGCTGGCTTCGAACTCAAGGTAATTCTCTTGCCTCAGCTTTTAGAGTGCTGAGATCACAGGCATGCACCACCACACCAGGCACTGAAAGCACAGTAATAGAATAATAACACTAGGGAAGGGTAGAATTAAATGTGACGGAAGCTGGTATCTTGAAGGCCACTATTAATAGGAATGAATTCAGATGATGTGCTAGAGGAAGCAATTCATGAATGGTGGGTGTGGGATGAAAGGAAATGTCAAAGAAATCTTAAAGTTGAAAACCACAAGAAATTCAGAGGATAGTAGTAAAAACAAAAATGGGGTAGCTAGACATAGTGATGCATGCCTGTGATTCCAGCACTTAGGAGGCTAAGGCAAGAAGATTGACAAAAGTTAGAGGCCAGCCTGGGCTACATAGAGTTGGAAATCAGACTCAACTACATGAACTGTGTCTCAAAAAAGAAAAAAAAAATTTTTTTTGTGCATATGATTTGGGGAGAGAAAGCAGTTCTGTTGCATTTCAGGTAATATTAGGTCAGTTATGTAGATTGCTAGAGAATTGTTTGACTAAGAGGCCATGCCTGGAAAGGAGGCTTTGGTTGTCTTGGGAGAAAAGAGAACAATAAAGTTTTGGTAGAATTCCATTGGAAAGGGAGAAAACAAGTGGCACAGAAAAACTATATTCTGAGAAGGTAAAAACAACAATGTTCTTAATGCCAGTGAAATTTTTTTTCAGGAGGGTGTGTAGTAGATGCCTGTAATCTCAATGCTTGGGAGGCTGAGGCAGGAGGATCACCATGAGTTAAAGGCCAGTCTGGGCTACATAGTGAGTTCAAGGCCAGCCCAGCCTAACTACACAGTGAGAGCCTGTTTCAAAACATCAAACAACAACAACAAAAGAAAGAAAACAAGTTGGTGATTTATCAATTATCAAATTATCAAATCATGGTGAGGTTTTGTCTGTTCTGAATTAAAGGACTGATCTAGTCAAATAGGAAAATTTAAGGTGGAATGGAGGGATATTTATGGAAAATTCCTTATGAGGTTGAATAGGACTGTAAGTCAAGGTGGAGACAGTAACTTCAGGGAAGATATGCAAAGCTAAACTCTACAGCAGAAACTAAAGCTGTAGGTGGAAAGTAAATATGTAACAATGGGGGAAAGTGGAAAGATCAAGCAGCATAAAGATAAAGAAATGACCAGTTGGAACAGAAATGAGAGGATGGAGGAACCCGGTGTGGGGTGGAACTAAAGGGATGCTAGAAATGTATTACTTATCATACACAAAGAGTAAAATCTTGGCCTGTCACAAAAGTTACAAGAAAAGCATCTGAGACTGCAAGAGCTACCTTCAGGTACCAAACTAACTCTTCTACATTCCCATACCTGGGCTAGACTAGGACCTAGAGCCTCCATTTTGTAAACGGTGAATTAGTCTCTCCTTTACAGCATGGTTGTCAGCTGCCCTCTGCTGGTCACTTTTGGTCTTGGGTCTCCAAATAGTTAACATGCAAAACTAGCTATGCAAGATGCACAATACAGTACTAAGCCAATTCCATGAATTATTCCCATACTATATAAATAAATAAGCTTAGATAATATACAATCATGAAAATTATTTCTGTATATATTTGATTACATCTGCGAATAAGGCCTTGTAGAGAATATGTAAAGAAACAAAATATACAGTGCTCTCAGTTTATAACCTAATCCAAATGAAACATATACATATATAAACATTTATACAACAGAACTTTATTCATTTGGCTTTTTGCAGTACTGGGATAGAAACCAAGGCTTTCTCAGAATTATATCCTTTTTTAAATTTTAGACAGGGTTTTACTATTATTAAATTGCTCAGGCTGTACTGGGAATAGAACTCAGGATCCTGTGATTGCCTGGTAGGTGCTGTGCCACTGAGCCATATCCCTACACTCTGGGCTTGAACTTTTAATCCTCCTGCTTCAGCCTCCACAGTGGTAAGATTATAGGCATACACAACTAGGTCTGGCTACAGGCTACAGCAAAACTTTAAGAACTGCATGACTTTTTTTTTTTTTTTTTTTTTTTTTTTTTTTTTTTTTTGAGACAGGGGCTCACTGTGTAGTTAAGGGTGTCCTTACACTCACAGTCCTCCTGCCTCAGTCTCTGAAGTGCTGGGATTACAGGCATATACCACCATACCTGGCTTATTTGTGTCAAGAGTTTACATTCAGCTGGGTTTGCTAGGGCTTGCCTATAATCTCCATACTCTGGGAGGGTGAGGCAAGAGGATTGCAAGTTCAAGGTAAGATGAGGCAATTTAGATCTTATTTTTTTTTTTTTTTAAAAAAAGAGTAGGCATATAGCTCAGCATGAAGGCCCTAGGTTCAGTCTCTTGTACTATAAAACAAAACAACACAACAAAAACCCAGAAAAGCATCCATTTTACAAAAAGAAGGACTTCACACAACAAAATTAATGAGAAAGATGGCAATAGGTTGTCAAAAACTTTTCAGGAGTAATATTTAGTTGGAAACTGAATGAATAAAAAGATTATTCCACTCAGGTATGGTGGCACATGTCTGTAATCCCAGCAGTGGGGAGGCTAAAGCAAGAGGACTGCTGTCAATTCAATAGTTCAAGAACAGCACGGCCAATCATGGTGGTACACACCAGTAATCCCAGCACTTAGGAGGCTGAGGCAGGAGGATTGCTGTGAGATGAACACTAGCCTGAACTATATAGAATGACCCCATCTTAAAAAAAAAAAAAAAAAAAAAGAACAGCGTAAATAAGGCCAAATAACTCTACTAGGAACTAAAAGAATGCTGGTGGATGGCATTTACTGGGACCCGACGAGCCATGCTAGGACCTGGAGCACTGGGAAACCAAGTGCGGCTGTGAGTGTGGCAGAGTATAGCAGCCCAGGACAGGAGCCACCGGTGTTTACTAGGTCTGGTGCCAAGCTGGGACTTGGAGCACAGGGAAATCAAGAAACCCCTCCCCCCCTTGCCTGTTTTGTTTTGTTGAGCTTCAGTATACATGAAGGCGTGGACAGTTATTTTGAGGAGAACCAAAGACTCTAGGACAGCCATTAGTGACTTCCTTATTGTCTGGTTTTGAAGACCTAAAATGCCTTTCTCATTCAGTTCGGATCAGTTTTATACTATGTTGTTTTTGTATGAATTCTCTGTATGTGAAGACATGGACAACTATTTGGAAGAAAACAAGAGACAATATGAAAGAGACAATATGATAGTGAAGATCTGAGGTCGTCTAACTTTGAAATTTTTAATCTCTTACATTGGTTTCTTATGTCATATTTTGTTCTGTTTTGTTGTGTTTAATTTACTTTAAAATAATAAAAAAAAAGAATGCTGGTGGACAGAATGTAGTGCGAGAGGAAGAATGGTGAGAGAAAAGGTCTGTTTCAGACCATGCAATACAAAGGCAAGGTGAGCTTGGAGCAGCTGCTATGTTTATCATGGTGTAGCTCAACATACATCACTTGGGCTGAGGTGTAGGATCAGTGATAGAACACTTCCTAGCACATGCCTGATCCTGGGTTTGATCCACAAAGCTGAAAAGAAAAACAAAACTGTCATGACAAATAGTAGGCTCAACCTGCACTCATCCCTTAGAAAAGTTGACTGACCTGAAACATATTTAGAAGGCAGAATGATAAACAGAACTTACTTCCAAATTTCAGAAGCATGTCAAGAAATTCTTTATAGGCAACTTGGCGAATACTGCTGGCAGACTGATGGGTTCCAGCTAGGGTGAACACTGAACACTGCTAGGGTGTGCAGGGGTCTAAAGGACATGGGGGTTGGGACCAGGGATTTAGCTCAGTGGTGTAAGTGTCTACCTTGCAATTGCAAGATCGTGAGTTCAATCCCCGGTACCAAAACAAAAACAACAACAAAAAAAACAAACAAACAAACAAAAAAAAAAAAAAAAAAAAAACCCCAAAGGACATGGGGGCTAGGGGTGGTACTAATGAAGAGCAGATGGGGCCAGGCGAGTACTACTCATTACCCTTGAGTGTGCGGCTCTCTGTGGTGCTGCTGCACTATAAATAAAGTACGAGGCTGGGAGGAATAGTGCAGTCCTGAAATCCCAGCATCCCTGGAAGCTGAGGCAAGAGAATTTCACAGTCAGCTTAGCCTGGGATACTTAGCAATTTAGGAAGAACCTGTCTCAAATTAAAAAAAGGAGGGGGGGGCAAGGCATAAAGACTTGGGCTCAATCTCTAGTAAAACACACACACGCACACACAGTACAAAGAACCCACTAACAACATGCATCAAGAACTGGATGAGGTGACATTCCCTGGCTTGCCTAATACACAAAGAATTTAAAACAGTACCAGGCACATAAGCAGCATTCAGTAGAAAGTTACCCTCCGTCTTGTAGCCGCAGCGTCTGTTTCAGTAGTTCCAACCCAGCCCTGCCTACTTGACACGCCTCAAGTAGTGGCACAGACCGTGCAGTGGGTCTTCAGTGTCAGCAGACTCACAAAGCAGGACTCCAGTCACAAAATTCAGAGGCTCAGCTTTCCTAGAAACTCCAGGTTTGACTGTTACTGCGCAACAAGCACTCAGGTTTCCAAACAAAACTTAACCCAATTCTTTGCTGTCCCCTTAATAAAAACAATCTGTGCGCCCAAGCCCTGCTAGCAAACGTCAAGTTGGAAAATTCTTTAAAAGCCTTGTATCCTAGCAGCGAACACAGTGCAGCACAACTAAGCTTCTGAGATCACCCTCGGCCCCCTTATCGTAGGAATGCGATGCCTTTTCCAGACCGAAACAGAAAGTGCAAGCAAGCATGAGGACCAGAGCTCTCCTTCTACCCGTCGTAAAGCGAAAAAGAGCAGCCGTCACGAACAGGATTCGAACCTGTGCGGGGAAACCCCATTGGATTTCGAGTCCAACGCCTTAACCACTCGGCCACCGTGACTCCCAAAACTCTGTTTTGTCGCGCGCTTACAGAAAGTCCACACCACGCCCGGGCGGGGCTCCAGGCCGCGGAGAGCGAGGGACGCAAGCACCTGGCGCCTCCCGGCCCTTGCCCCTGCCGCTGCGCCTCACCCCTCGGAGCAGAGTCGGGCGCAGCCGGGGACCAGGCGGGGGCTCGGGGAGCGCAGACCTGTCAGAAGGAGCTGCCAACCTCGCAGCTCAGAGAGGGCCGGGCCCGGGGTGGTGCCTGCGGGAACTGGGTGGGGGGCGTGGCGCGCGGGGCAGGGTCCGGCGTGAAAGAGCGCTGGGCATGGAGGAGAACCAGGAACTTTTCGGGGAAAGGGCTCTGAGCTCTTCGGAATTAGGGTTCTACAAGGGGCTGGAACCGTGCAGGAACGCACTCGGGTTTATGGGCTGGGCTCTTGGGACACGGTGGAGGGTTGGGCCTCTTAGGCTGAGAGGCAGAAGAGAGGGGAAAGGGCATGGCGGGGAGTAAAGAGCGCTCCAGAAAGCGGCGCCGCCCCAGGAAGTCGCCCTCGCCACCGCCGCCAGGCAGCCCGCCGGAGTCCGTCCGCGCCCGCGCTTGGCCGCCGCGCCGGGCCTGCCGGCAGGGGGCGCTACACAAACCGGGGCCGGCCCAGGCGGCGGGAGGCGGCGGCCGCGGCGGCGGGAGACGGTGGGAGGCGGGCGGAGGAGGAGGCGGAGGAGGCGGGAGCTGAGTGGAGCGGAGCGGGGCGGGTGGCGGCGGCGGCGGCGGCGGCGGCGGCGGCGGGGCCCGAGCCCGAGAAGATGGCGGTGCGGAAGAAGGACGGCGGCCCCAACGTGAAGTACTACGAGGCCGCGGACACCGTGACCCAGTTCGACAACGTGCGGCTCTGGCTCGGCAAGAACTACAAGAAGGTACGCGGGCAGGGCCGCTCTGGGGCCGGGGGCGGGACAAAGGGACCGCGGCCCGTGGCGCCGGTGCTGCCCGCCCTCCGGCCCCTCCCCTCCCCGCGGCCCCCCGCGGCCCGCCCGCGCCACCCAGCCCCCACCCCGCCGCGCCCCGCGCCCGCCGTGCTCTCTGCCCCGGTTTTGCTCCCTGCCTGCCGCCAGCAGCCAGCGCTGCCCTAAGCGTCGCCCTCCCGGCTTTGCTGAGGGAGACAGCCGCGGGGTGGACAGGATGCCTGGTGGGCGTCCTCCGCCCCCGCAGCGTGCGGGCCACAGCGCCCGCCTGGGCGCCCCCACGGAGCCAGGTACCAGCAGAGCCAAAGCCACCCTGGTGCTTTGTGTATGTTCAGAGATGATGAAAGCGGGAGAGTAAACAGCCACAGAGCAGGCCGTTGGCTGCTTATCAGCCTGGAAAGGGTCCCTACCCCTGGATCACCTGTGTCCCTAGCTTACCCTGCACCCCATCTGAAGGGCCATGAAACCTCCCATAGGGATAGGGTACGAGAGTTCCTGGGCAACTGTCCCTTCTCAAACCATTCCTCAGCTTCACAATGAAGTCACTCTATAACCTAGGCTTGCACTGCCCTGGGCTTGAGGTCCAGAAACTAGGATCAGCTTTGTATCTCTAGCTCCTGACACCCCTATCCCCTATAAATGGAGATAAACAAATAGTGAACAAAAGGGTTCAAGAAGACTTACCTGTCCTTTTTACCAGACCTCTTCCTGGTGTCTTTGTCTTTAGGCCTAGTTTTATCTGGAGATGGCCTGCTTCTCTTCTTTCTTACTACCCCAGGATTCTCTTTCCTAGCTTTCCTTCAGCTTTGCAATTCTTCCTGCCCAGCTTAGCAGCCTGTTAAGTAGGTTCGGCTGTTTAGGAGAGATTCCCCACTAAGTCTGGTGTGCTCTCGGCCTGCTATCCTATTCCAGGGTCTCTCTGAGTGTCAGAATTCTGACAAACAGCTGTCAAGTCTGTACCCTAGCATGAGGACCTTTGAAGGGGGATCAGTCTAGGGGCTTAGTCTCTGGCCCTGGAGGTATTGACAGCCTGTGACCTGGTTCAGCTTTCAAGCTCTTAGCCCTTTGTCATTTACCTTTCCCTTCACAGATCTCTTTACACCTCCCACTTAGAAGTATGCTTAGGGTGGAGGAAACAAGGGTCAAGAGGTAAAGAGAAAGTTAGCCTCCTGATTCAATTTGAATTAGAACAGAAAGCTGGAAGGTAGGTAGCATAATATAGAAATGTTTAAGGAGGCCCAGCATTAAGTGTGGGAGACATAGTTTCCTGGGAAGGGTTACATGTTATCTTGCTGTTCTTCATCAGACAGGCAGTAGCCTGGGCCTGGGAAGTTATTTATGCCCAGTTCTGGAAGAAGCAAAATGCACAATTTCACTCTGCATCTGCTTCCATATCTCACTTCCTTGCTCCTTTCTTTTTGACTATGTTAGAGAGGGAATCATTGCCTTCCATGAAGTTCCTCCAAGAAATACCCTGTTGTCTCACTTAAACCTCCAGAGGGATGTTGCTTCCCCAACCTGAACTCCATAAACCTTCAGAATTTTACAGTTCTTAGTGCTGTTGGCTGGAGGTCAAGGTCCTGCAACTCCAATTTCAGGATGTAACTGAGAAAGAGTAGAAAGTGTCCCATACCACCAACACCCAATTCTAGGCACCTGGGCTGATGGCTGCATAATTCACCTTCCTAGTTAGGGGTTCTTAGGTCCTCCTTTCTACCATTTTCTTTACAGAGACTTGACATGTAAAGGGCAGAGATACTATTTTCTCTGCTCTGGAAGCTCACAGAGCCCTTGAGGAAAAATGGAAGAGAAACATTTAATCTGGGGTCTATTTCTCTTTCCCTCTTTTTCCTAGTATATACAAGCTGAACCACCCACCAACAAGTCCTTGTCTAGCCTGGTGGTACAGTTGCTACAGTTTCAGGAAGAAGTTTTTGGCAAACATGTCAGCAATGCACCACTCACCAAACTGCCGGTGAGTGCAAAAGCAAGGGGATGAGTCCTCCAACTGGAGAGAGTATGGTATTTTAAATAATATTTGTAAGTTTAATAATTTTTATGATTTGGTTTATTTCTTGCCATCCCTAGTCCTGGTTTAGGGCATTACTGGTTAGGGCTAGTCCCCAAGTTACATTTCCTTTGACTCAGTCCACCAATCTCGCATGATATGGTTAAAAGGGTGTGAGGGCAGGGGATATAGCTCAGTGGCTCAGCGCCTGCCTAGCAAGGATGAAATCATGAGTTTGATTCCTGATAAGTGATGTGAGATTTGAATTTGTACAGGTTTGTGTTTGAATCCCGCCTTTTCCACCCGATGGCTTGTGATCATTGGCAATTGTTATCAGTCTTGGTTCCTTCATCTTTAGCTGAGATTGACATACCTATCTTACAGGAATTCCTCAGTAGCAAATGAGGTAACCCAGTAAAGTGCTTGACATAAGGTGATACTTTGTGAATATTGGTTTCCTCTCCTAGGCCACATGATAAACTGGCAAAAAAAAAAAAAAAGTTAAAGAAGTCTAGTTTTGGGTGGCAGATTAGTTCAGCATGGGCTTTAGTAAAAAGATTTTTAAATTATAAGAGAATTTACAATGTAACTCTCACATACTTCTTCCCTGTCTGGATTTTGTAGATTAAATGTTTCCTAGATTTCAAAGCAGGAGGCTCCCTGTGCCACATACTTGCAGCTGCTTACAAATTCAAGAGTGACCAGGGCTGGTGAGATGCCTTCTCTTTATGCTTCTTACATTAGTTTAGAAAGAATCCCTTATTTCAATTCACTGAGGTCTTTGGGGAGAACACAGGTATAAACTCTATATGTTGCTAATTCTAGTTCAGAAAAGTAGGTGGGAGCTTGGGAAGGGAGTGGCACATGCCTGTAATCCCAGTACTTACAAGGTTGAGGCAAAAGAATCACCATGAGTTCAAGTCCAGCCTGGGTTACATAGTGAGTTCAAGGCCAGCCTGAACTACAGAGTGAAACCCTGTCTCAAAACAAACAAATAAGGGGCTGGGGATTTAGTTCAGCGGCATAAGCGCCTGCCTTGCAAGCAGGCGGTCGTTTGAGTTCGATCCCTGGTACCGAAAAAGACCAAAAAATAAATAAATAAATAAATAAATAAAACCAAAAAGAAAACAAAAAAGGAAAAGTAGGTGGGAGTTAGAGCCAAAAATATTTTCTGTATATGTGTGTGTGTGGGGGGGGTATCTCAGATTGTTCTTTGTCCTTTTGGACTGAGCAGAATGATTCATAGAGTTGAGATCAAGAAACCCAGATCCTGGGTGATTTTGGGAACAGCTTTGAGCAAGATTACCTCCTAATTCCTATGTTAAATTGTAGACATGGCATAAGTGCCTGCCTGGCAAGCATGAGGTCATGTGTTCAATCCCCAGTACCACCAAAAAAAAAAAAAAAAAAAAGACATAGACAAAAAAAATCACAGACATGAGCTGCATCACTCACTGGATTATTGTCTCTTCATAAGGCGGCGTTATGATTTCCAGAACCCATCACGCATGGACCGAAATGTGGAAATGTTCATGACCATTGAGAAGTCCTTGGTACAGGTAATAAATGGGAACGTCCGTCTTCCTATCTTCAGTGAGAATTTAAAATACTTCTACCCATGACCTCATTACTATCTGTTTCCTCTCCACAGAATAATTGCCTGTCTCGGCCTAACATTTTTCTGTGCCCAGATATTGAGCCCAAACTACTAGGGAAATTAAAGGATATTATCAAGAGACACCAGGTAAGTGTCAGGTCAGGAGACATTTCAGAACTCCATGACTTTCCCTGAAGTTTTCCATAAAGAAAACAGCCCTGAAATACCATGGTTTTTTTTTTTTTTTTAGGGTTTTTTGGAGAAATTGGTTTTTTAGGGGGTTAATTTGAGGCAGTCATCATGTAGTTTAGCCTGGCCTTGAATTCACTACAGAGCCCAGGCTGGCTTGAAATTCAGGTACCACCATATGTGGTTCAAAGTACTATGTTGCTGGGTATGGTGGTGCACATCTATAATCCCAGCATTTGGGAGGCTGAGGCAGGAGGACGCTTGAGAGTTCAAGACCAGTCTGGGCTCCAAAGTGAGCTCAAGGCCAGCCTGGGCTGCAAAGTGAGACCCTGTCTCAAAAGACACTAAAAAAAGAGGCTGGGAATTTAGCTCAGTGGCATAAGCACCTGCCTTGCAAGCAGACGGTCATGAGTTCCATCCCCAGTACTGATAAAAAGTTAAAAAAAAAAAAAAAGTACCATATTTTCTACTGCATGGATGACTTTTTATACTTGGCAACGTCAGCACTTAAAACCTGTGGTGCACACCTGTAATCTCAGCACTCAGGAGGCTGTGGCAGGAGCATCATTAGGAGTTCAGACCAGCCTGGGCTACAAAGTGAGCTCAAGGCCAGCCTGAGACCCTGTCTCAAAATGACAAAAGAAAAAGACTTAAAACCTTGAGTTGGACTCAGTGGCACATACCCATTATCCCAGCAGCTTGGGAAGCTGAGGTAAGAGGATCACAAGTTTGAGGCCAACCTGAACAATTTAGTAGGACCTATCTCAAAATTAAAAAGGACTGAAGATATAGTTCCTTGGGAGGCCCTGGGTTCAGTCTCTAGTAATGAAAAAAAGGAGAGAAAAAAGCCTTGTACCTTTCTTTTCTTCCCTGCTTCTTCCATTTCCCAA